GGGAAAGAGGCACTGTGAACTGTGAAGTGTTGTGTTGTTACAGTTAGGGATGAACCCTGAATGACTCTATACGTATAGGTAGAGGACTTCTGTCGGATTTGCAGTAGTTTAGATCTTATTATTATTGTCAAAGGCCACTGTTTTGTGATTGTGAAAAAGATCCAAAGGAGAGTTGTTCCTGTCAAGTGATTATGGGTCTGAATTAAGAATGATGTGTCTGAATTTCATTTCATGAATAAACCGGTTTCATGGTGGTTTGGTTTGCCGGTTGGAGCGACGATTTTTCGCGGCTTGTAATTGCATTAGGTTGTTATATTTTCTTCTCTTTTTTTTCCAGTTAAGAAAAAAAAAAAGAATTAATGGATACAATTTTCATATGGAAACGTCGTGTCGTGAGGAAAGAAGGGGTGCAGAGTCATTACTCTGAGATTAAACGCACCTAACCACTCTCTCTCTCTCTTCCCCCGATTTCTTCCTATCCTTTTGTTGTCTTCTCTTGCCAAACCCTGGATTTTCTGTCCTAAATCTGACTAGGATCCGGCTATGGCTTCGGTGGAGGCGAAGGTCGTTGGTATGTTCGATCCATATCTTTTCAGATTCTTTTGTTTGGCCTCGCTATTGTCTTCTCCGATCCTGTTGTTTCGCAATCTAGGGTTTATTCTGACTCGATATTTTCCCCCTCATGTGACCGATCATTTGATTCGGAAATTTCCCTTGGTTAGATTATGTATAGAATCTGTCGATTTTTCCAATTACTCCTGCTGGGCTTGTGATCTGGAAATGATTGGGGGAGAATGTTATAATTTTGTGAGTTCAATGGCTAAAATCTGAACAATTTTTTTTTTTTCAGTTCCCAGGAGCTTCAGATTGTTGGAAGAACTCGAAAGAGGTGAGAAAGGAATCGGAGACGGGACAGTTAGCTATGGAATGGACGACGCCGACGATATCTACATGCAATCTTGGACTGGAACCATCATCGGCCCTCCCAATGTACGTATCTCCATCTCTGTAGCTTGGTCAAAGACTGTATGTAAGTTTAACGCCGGAAAAGATAACTTGATAGCTTCTAGTGACCGTTGAGTCGTCTGAATAAGAAGGCTTATGCTCGCGGCTGTTGTGTCTGAAGCCCAATTCTGACAAATTCCATGGCGATGTGAAATTGGCATTAGTTAGATCTAAGACTTCATGAGGTTATATGGTCAAGTCATTAGATATAGCTCACCCTATTCATATATAACACTGTAAGCTGCATTTACCAAAAACTTGGCACTTTCTCAGACCCTTGTAGTAAGAGGGCCAAGAAATAAGTAAACATTAGTTTCGGTGTTTTTGTCTTGTAAAAGGATTGATGTTTTTTTCTAATATGGATGACAGACTGCCTACGAAGGGAAAATATTCCAGCTGAAGCTGTTCTGTGGGAAGGATTACCCGGAAAGTCCACCGGATGTGAGGTTCCAGACGAGGATAAACATGGCTTGTGTAAACCCGGAAACTGGAGTGGCAAGTTGCAGTGATATTAGTTCTAATGCTCTTGTCTTGTTTGGCTGAAACATGGTTAACTTAATTAGAAGATTGGCCTCATTGTTAAATCAGGTTGAACCTAATCTCTTCCCCATGCTCACTAACTGGCGGCAAGAATACACCATGGAAGATATACTGGTTCATCTGAAGAAAGAAATGATGTCACCACAGAACCGGAAGCTAGCTCAACCCCCCGATGGTGATCTTTCCGATTTTCCTTCGATTTTTTTTTTCTCTGCAGCTTTAGCTAACATAATCATCACACATTGATGGATGAACATTAGAACGAATAAAGGGGTATATTTTTTTTCCCAGGTAACGAGGAAGCAAGGACGGAGCAGAAGGGATTAGTGGTGAAATGTTGTGTCATGTGAACCAGGTCAGCAGTTTGTATTATGAACGCGGCATTGTATATAAACCCATTGGATGCTGTCGGCTTAGGACGATACGTCCTTATTCCTACTTAATGTATCATGCTTTGTCTGAGAATATATATCACTCTTCCGCCCGCCCAAAACAGGTGCCGTAATAATAAACCCGAGGGTTCTTTCTTTCCCCTGATTATGTATATATGATATATATATATATATATATATACCCATTTCCTCTGAATCTCTCTTATGACTAAAGTGGATAATGGTCGATTATTGATTTTCTGTCGTATATGTGAAAGTTTGTGTATAAGTTGTTCAAACTGGTCAAGTTTTTTTTTATGACTGAAATGGATAATAATGATCGAGGCTACGTCATCCCTTTTTTTTTTATAAATTTTTTTGGGAGGCATATATAATCCGTTACATTTGTGGGTATTTGTTTATTCCATTCGTTACTCGTGATTATTATTAGTTGTGGAAAAAATTTGATATGGCGTAATCCACAACTAATATAATATTGTATTCCATGACAAGCATTGTGATTATTTTTATACATTTTTAGAAAATGAATTTCTATATATAGACTTGTGTTGTGATTTCGTATCCCTTTGAGATGGATTATTTTTCAAGAAACGATATATCAAATCAACTTGTATGAATTGTTTTTTTCCCTCTTGGGATTAACGAAATGAGTGTGGGTCCATCGGATTAGGTGAGTCAAGATTCAAGAAAACGATTCGGAGTATATGTAATAAGGTATTTTATGATGCTTATTATCATTTTCAAGAAACGAACCAACGAATTGATGCAAGTCAAATCAGGAAAATTCTAATAAAAGTTCATGAAGTTGCCTTCAGCTTTCTCCCCAAATATAATAATATATATATGTTGTCATTTTCTAGTACTATGTATATGTTCACTTAAAAAAGAATTATTAAAATTGGAATTGTAAAGGAGACATTTTTTTTAAAAAAAATATGAAGACTTTGAGGGAGGGGTCATAGAGAGTGTATATTCTTGTTGGTAGGTCGGTTGCCGTGTATTATTACGTTTTTTTTATTTATGAAATGTGTATTATTACGTTATAATGCAAAGTTAATACACACACACACACACATGATGACCATATCTATGTTGATTCGCAATAACTCTTCCTAATTATTTTTTGTTATTTAATTGTAATTAACATTCTACTATACTTAATCTGGCTCTACTGCCATAAACATCACTCACTCGTATGAGGATGATATATCTCATCGGACCAATATATATATATATATATATATATATATATATATATATATATCATTAGTGATTTATAAAATTCCCCTTATTAATATTTATTTATAATAAACTTTTATAAGATAATATTTATTTGGCCTTGATGCCCTTTCAATACAATTTCATGGACTCAGATCGCTTTGACCACAACTATCAAAATTATGTAAGCCATTACAAATTGTTTGTTGTTATCTAAACAAAATATTAAAAAAACTTAACGTTACGAGACCTCTCTTTCAGTGGTTCGTTAGTAATATTCATGATAGAATCATTATTGCTTTTTATAACCAATTTTATATCTTGTTTTATAGACCTGTCCAGTTGTATATGTAATTTATTTCCACTAGAGCTTACAAACATCTGACTATATTGCAAACTGCATTCACAATTTTTCCTTTAATGCCATTGATTTCGTAACCTGATGATTCATGCATGTGATTAAATACATACAAATTATCAACTTTAGGATTAAATATTCCGTAATAATTAACATATTGCAACTAATTCCAAAAACAAAATCAAGCATGCCTTCTTAATTTGCTCATATTATAAAATAGCTGACCCTTTGCAAGTCTACAACGTACCAAAAATTAAAAAAAAAAAAAAAAGTCTCGGCTCCTCTCCCTTCTTCTTAGCCTTCAGACAAATAATTCTGTCTCTAAAAAAAAAAATTAAGTGATCAATAAAGAAGTTGACATGTGGAAGACAAAGACAACAATTCTGTCTTTGATAATCTCTGCAGCTATCATGGCGGAGCCGTCCTCCTCCGCCGGCTCAGATGCTTTCGTCTATGGCGGCTGCTCTCAGCTGAAATTCTCCATTGAATCCGCCTATGGCTCCAACCTCACCTCTCTCCTCTCTTCCCTCGCCGGCTCGGCCGGACTCAGCCGCTACGCCAACTTCACGGCCCACGGAGTGTGCGGACTCTGCCAGTGCAGGGGAGACCTGGACGCGGGGACATGCTCCGCGTGCGTCTCGCGCGCCGTCGAGCGGATCGGCGCCATCTGTCCGGACGCATGCGGCGGCGTGGTTCAGCTGGAGGGCTGCCTGGTCCGATACGACAACGTTTCGTTCGTGGGAGTGGAGGAGAAGACGCTCGTCCTAAAGAAATGCGGAGAACCGATTGGCCCGGACGACCGGGAAGCGTTGACCAGGAGGGACAACGCGATGAGCTACGTGGGGTCCACGGGTGGTCCGTACAGGCGCGTGGGTGTGACCGCAGGGGAAGCGCAGGCCATGGCCCAGTGCGTAGGGGACCTGAGCCCGAGCGACTGCCAGGACTGCGTGGAGGAAGCCGTCGCTCGGCTCGTATCGGACTGCCCATTGTCCACGTGGGCCGACGTCTACTTGTCCAAATGCTACGTCCGCTACTACTCCTCCGGTGGCGTCCCCTCCCACTCCGGTCTGCCTTTTAGTTTATTTTTTTTGTCAAACAAATTAATCTTCCGCTAATTAATCCTTAATTATGTTGGATAATTAGCATTAATTTTGTGTGTGCGTGTGTTTGGGGTCAGAGAAGAAGCAGGAGCATAAAGGAGACCAGAAAACGATTGGGATTATAATAGGCATCGTTATCTTAATCATATTGCTTGTTGTCTTCCTCTCTTTCACTGGGAAACAGTGTCGAAAACTACAAGGTACCTTTTTTTTTTTTTTATAAAGAATCTGCAAAAAATAAAAATTGCAATCTCTGCCAAAAAATCGATTTTCAAAATGTACATTTTTTTTTTCATATTTATTATTTATATTTGTCGCTGTCACCACTAGGAAAACCAAAATCGAAGGGATCATCATGCGACCACCATTGTGACCTCCACGATTAGTATCTCTTCTCTGCGGCATTGGTATTTTGTCACACACCCATTTTTTTTTTTCTATCTTTTTTTTTTCTTTCTAAATTAGTTTTTTTTTTTTTGCAAAGCAGGATAGAGAAGGACAAGACATGAACAAGGCATTTAGATCTCTATTATATTTGCTCAAGTTTTCGATCGAATCATTTTATATACAATAAGATGCTTTTTAGATATTGTATGTCGATCAATATATATGTATATATATATATATATATATATGAAAGGTGAAGAGAATAGGTGAGAGGATGGAATAAACTTTGGAAGGAAAAACAAATGTTGCTCCAAGATAACCCGTAACTCCTTCATACATACAGCCAGCTACTACAAAACACACACAAAAAAGGCCAATCTTTATAGAACCGACACAAACTACAAATGTCTTACTGCCTGTCTCCCATCATCATCATCATCATCAGAAGGAGAAGAAGGCGACCACAGCAACAAATACAGTAAAAGATGCGGCCTTTACACACAAAGAACACAACCCTTTTCTTAGCTGCATCTCCCCTCTTTTCTGTTCTTTGCTCTGGAGGGAGAGAGATCTCGGTGCTATATGGATATATTGCAGTTGTCTGGATTCAGATGGCGTATCACCGGCGGTCTAAGGGCTCCACCCTGGTCTTGAAGAGAAGGACGTAAACCTTTCCAATCTGAAAGTACAAGAATCCTCCTGTTGAATGAGTGACGTATGAACCAAAGTTGGTCCCGACGATGCAATGCCATGCCGGCCCATATTCAGAATCGAATTCCTGCAATGTAGAGGCAGCTGTTAGAGGTGTTTGATGAATAGAGCCATTCAAGGCTTAATCACCCGATGCAAGAACAGTAGCTTCAGCTGCAATCGTATTTTCGTAGACGAGAGACAGATGATGGAATTCAATAAGCAAGTTTCGCTCCCATGGCAGACAGACAAGAAGACAGCGTAATAAACAAAGAGATCGGATACATTATAACCCTTCAAAGCTGTAATGAGAACAATAGGAACTTGAAGAAGAGCAAATGGCAATTATCAGAAGAAATTTTCAGCAACTCAAACACTATAGACAACTCCAACGCCAATCACAAAATCCCGAGAGCGCGAACTTGTAATATAGCCGTGCAGAGATTACCAACATCAAACTCGAACAGAATTTGATGAAACTTGTAAAATGGAACACATCAGTACACGCTCTGTCTAATAACCTAACTAAGATCATGTCAGCTCTAGAAGAAAGCAGACAATAGATCAAACCGTAAACTGAATAAAAACCGAAAACAAACAGGGGGGCCGTCAGCCTAATTGTCAAAATGATATATTAACGCAAATAGAACACCCAAAACTCAAGATTTATCAACATAGAGCTCATCCTGAAGTTGTCAACAAAAGCCGACAACGAAAAAGGCCAAAGCTTAAAGAACAAGGAAAATGAAATGAATAGGATTTAACTGAACGAAAACCAAAGGAAATATGGGGCCTTCTGAAAATATCTTATTAGGCAACCAGAAGAACATCCAAACTCAATACTTGTCGTATAATAAAGCTAACATCAATGGCGGTAATACATGGAACAGCCCACTCAAGAAACACTTCCGACATATCCCAATTCCATTCGGACACCCACAGTTTCATACGTCAAGAGAAACGATAAATGACAGGACTTTTAAGCGATGTACCTTTTTGAGGGCGAGAGCGAGGCGTTTGCTGTCGAGCTTTCCGGCCATGGCGTCCAAATGGTCACGGGCGGACCTGAAGGCCCTGTTCTGGAGAGCGAGAGGCATGTCCGAAGCCCTGACTCGGACACTGGGCCGATCGCTATGCTCCTGCTGCTCCTTGGCCTTCTTCTTCTGTATCAAGCTGCTCAGGAACTTGCCTCTTCTCTCTAGCTCGACATCCGCTCCTTCCATGCCGCTCTCTCGGAGAGAAACCCTCCTTGATTTTGCCCCTTTTTTTCCTAGGAGAAGCCAAGCTAGATCGTTAGTTCGTCATCTGTCTTCTGTCGGACAAAAATCTCTCAGAGAGGGAAAAGGAACGACATTTCAGACGCTCAGATCGTCGTGTGAGGAAGGGCAGGCGAAGGGGAAGGGACAAACACAGTGTTCTTGGATTAGCCGAAAGCGGCCAGCTTTCAGACAAATCCCTAATTTCAGACCTTCCCCTCCGCAACTACCCCAAGTAACAATCCTACTCTCTCTCCTAACTCATGCTTATTTAACACTGTTTTTTTTTAAACCCCAAAAACTATTTTATGTTCGGTTCGGTTCTTGAATTCGGAATTTAGGGTTTAATATGATAAAGTTTTAATTGAATCGAAATTCTTCTTCTTTTTATTTTCTCGAAATGAGATCCACGAGACTTTAGATACAGAGCTAGCCCCTACTATTATATGAATAAAAAAACCCAAAAATTTAATGAAATGAAAGGAAAAAAAGAGGAAAAATAACAAATAATCAATCGGGCTATATATGCTATTTACAAAACTACAAATAACCGGATGTAATACTTCAGTAACTCCACAAACGCCGTTTCCCACGGGAGTCAGAGGCAGTGGTTCGAGTCTCCGGCGACCAAGTCGGAGTAGCAGAAGCGGTCGGACTGCTTCTCCCGTTTCCACCCCCGTCGGTTTTCAGATTCGATCCGAAAGAATCCGTACTTGACCGGGCCGTTGACGTCGTTCCGGCGGAGGAAGTTCCGGCATGGGACCGACGGCGGTATCGAGAACCAGGGACGCCGGGCCGAGCCGGTTCTTCTTCCAGATGGCCGGGTTTCCGGGAGAGGAGAAGAGCAATCCGTCGCATGGATGGCCTCTGCTGAGGATCACCCTGCACGCAGAGCAATCCGATCTGTGCGCAGAGTTTGACTTGTTCTGGATCGGCCGTTTCCGCCATTACAGGATCCACCATCTCCATGCTCCGTCCTTTCTTGTACAGCCTATACGCCTGCCAACAAGCCAGGTGGTAGTGATTAAAGACAATCTCTTACAAGACCTGATCTGGGTGATGTTTGGTTAAGTACCTGACACAAGATATAGTCTGAGTTATGGGACTTACCCACTCGAGTAAAGTCTGATCAGGGTGCCTCAAACTAAAACTGGAGTTCTTCTGTCCACTGATGAGCTCTAAGACCACAACCCCAAAGCTGAAAACGTCTGCCTTTACCGATAGCACCCCATGCATGACATACTCTGGCGCCATATAACCACTGTTGTTTCCGTTTCACATAAAATAATAATCCCTTTATAACATTTTCATTCATTCATTCAACACCCAAGAACGGGTGATTTGATACGAAGAGAGAGAGAGATTACTTACTTGGTGCCGGCCACACGAGTGTTGACGTGAGTTTGGTCTTCGGGGAAGAGACGGGCCATCCCGAAATCAGCAATCTTTGGAACCCATTTATCGTCAAGAAGGATATTGCCGGCTTTTATGTCTCTATGGATTATACAGTTGGGCGCGTCTTCGTGGAGGTAAAGCAGTCCTCTTGCTATCCCACTTATTATCTCTACCCTCTGCTTCCAGTCTAGCTCCGCCCTTCTGTTCGATTCTGCATTGAAATTTGAATCCACACCCTTTGTCAAACTGATTATTCCCTTCACAAATTTCCTACCGAAACCAGATCATTATGATTATTATACGAAATTAACCCAAAGATTTTGTCAAGAGTGTTGAATGTGCTCAAATAACATTTTGGACTAGGAGCCCCATGGAGAAGTCAAGTCAAATTGTTTGGTAGCTGTCCCAGTCACGGAGTTAAGAAGCTCAAACAAGAAACCGGCAGAATGGACAAAGAAAAGATCAAATGAAAGCAGCACTGGTCCACACGGCTTTGTACGGAGGCTCAAACGAAAGTTCCCATGAAAATACAACAGATAACAATACGGATTTGGCTTACGGTTTAAGTACAAAAAAAAAAAAAGAGGTCAACCCCACCACTGATTGAATTTGGCTCTATCTAATGGTTTCTTTCAGGAAATGTAAAAAGGAAAAGGGGAAACAGGTTAGGTCCCCGGCCTCACCCACAATAAAAATATCAGTTAAAAAACCAAATGAGAAAGGTGGTTTGATCTGAACGGCGAATAAGAAAGCTAGAGGAAGACGCAATGGAGGAGTTAGAGAGAGAGTTTGAGAAGAAGAAGCTTGGTCTTCTCTCCTAATTGCAGAGGAATCAAGATTCAAGCAAACGGATTGATTTTGTGCAAGAATCCAATCTCAATCCTAAAGCCCAACCAGCAAAGGGTCATCTTTTGCCAAATCAAAGAATGGAACACTTACTGAAAAGAACCTTGTCGAGGCTCTCGTTGGAGACGTACTCGTACACCAGGAGCTTATCATCTCCATGAGTGCAATACCCCAAAAGATTGACCACATTCCTATGCTGAACTTTAGCAAGTAGCTTTGCCTCGTTCACAAACTCGTTCTTCCCCTGTCTTGACGCCTGAGATAGCTTCTTCACTGCTATTTCTCTCCCATCCGATAACCTTCCCTGTTATCCACACAATTCCCACTCATCAGCCAAGCCAACACCATGCAAATGTAATATGGACTTTTGCAATATCATGTTCACACGAGAAAATACAGATGCAGGGAGAATTTTTTTTTCCAAATATAAAGAAAACAACCAACCACAGCATCAACCAAGAGAGTTCTTCCACCTGAAAGAAAAACAATTGCAGAAACAGGAAATCTCTTCCTCTGATTATTCAACGAAAAGGGTTTAGGACAGAATCACCTTGTAGACGGGTCCGAATCCACCCTCACCGAGTTTGTGCTTCGGATGGAAATCCTTCGTAGCCGAGACTAAGACCTGAAACGGAAATACCTTCTGCTCCAGAGCGGCTATTCGCTCGATATCATCTTCCCCGACACCTTCTACCATCAACACGATCACGGAAAACCGTCAAGAACAAACTTAAAACCCCAAGATTTTGCTTAAAGCAGAAAAAAGGATTCAGCTTTTATACCTCTGTTAGAGCCGCGCTTGAAGGGTTTAATCAGACCTTGGATGAAATTCATGGACTTGGTCATACCCTTAATAGAATCCTTGGCGAAGCTCCCATGGAAATCGGCAATAGATAACGAGGCCTAAAAATTAAACGAAAACCCAAACAAAATTGAAGCAAGCAAGAGAGAGATTAACAGTCTAATCAAGCTCCGGACGACAGCAAGAGGCTCGATCAGTGGCCTGCTTGGAATTGCGGGCAATAACCCCTGGGAAATCGGCCAAAAAAAAGTGGAAGAGAGAGAGAAAAAAAAATGGAAACCCAGGAACAAAATATCAAATTGAGAAGAGGGTCAGCGTTGGATTCGAGTTGATCGAGTCACGCATCTAAATCTATGAAGAAAAAGGCGTGTTTGCAATTCTTTCCTCAAAAAAAAAAAGAGAAAAATAACGATGGAAAAATCTGGGGAGAGGATGAGATGGACCCTCGTGTGAAAAAAGAAGCGACCAGGAATGATCAAAGTCAAGTTACGTATAAACAAACACCCCCTTTCCGCATTTTATTTGATCATAATTTCTTTTTCTCCAAGTAATTAATTATAGGATGTTTTTCTTTTCTTCATGGTATATTTGTGTTGTTTTGCAACATAGCCAGCCAATGTTTTTTTTATAAACCTCTAATAGAGTACTAGTTAAAATTATTTTTTTATAAAAAAAAATCCAATTTGGATGTCAAAATTAGTCGTGTAGAATGGAAAATGATTAGATAACCATCATTTTTAGTTGATTTTGAGTTTAGATTAATCGTATATATATATATATATATTTAACAGTAATAACCACTCGCACAGTCTTTCAGATCGTATACCTGTTCGACTATGGGGTCGAACAACATCTACGATAGTAAATTCATCGATCCTTGCGTAGTAGTCGACAAACACGGAATATGTAAACCGTGCATAATATCCACTAGAACGGCCATGTATTTTATCATCAACTTGACCGAAATTTACCAAAAAAAATTCAAATCTCAAAAGAAATCGAACTCACAATTTCGTGTAGAGAGAATTTATTATTTTTCAACTGAGTTGGAGATTTCACAAACAAAGAAAAAAAATCAATTTTGACTAATTTTGTCATAAACGATATAGTTTGAGAATTCAGAATAAATACGATGATAAAAATACTGCAGTTCTGAAATCGCATTTGATTAAAGATATATATATATATATATATTCAAATACAAATAATTAAATTATCTAAATACAATCTTGAGATATATGGTCCAGTTAGGTTATGAACCTACTTAACACTGCTATTGGATACTCAATGGGGACGTGAAATCTGTCGGAAAGCGAGACATTGACATTGGGAAACGCGGAAAGGGGGAACCCGTGTTCTTGACCTTGTCCCCTTGGGTCAACCTCCCTTCCTCTCCAATATTTTCTACACTCGCTTTCAAAAATACTATATTTGTCCCCTTTCAAATATGCAATACTCTTGAAATATTCAAACATATGTTTAGGTTGTGGCATCTCTCTCTTTCTTCTTTTCCATCAAATCGAACCTTATCCTATATCAACCAACGTTTTTTTCCAATTTATCTAAAGTGAGACGATAAACGAGGGAGTAAAGCTATTTTTCAATCCGAATTAGAGTCTTAGAGAGACATTCATATAGATTTTTTGATTTTCTATAAAATATAATCGGACTAAAAGTCTGATAAATTTTTAAATATAAAAAATATTTTTTTCAATTTAATACACTCATTTTATTTATGAATAAATAACGTTTTAAATTTTTTTAAAAAAATATTAAAGAAATATGAAAAAATCATTTATATATATATATATATATATCCTTATTAAATCATATTCTCTCCTTAAAATTTAAATATTTTAATTAAAGATAAAATTATAATTAAAAAATAATTTTAAAAATCTAAAATCATATCTATTTAATGACAAAATATATTCACTGAAACGTTATTTATTTAGAAACAGTGAGTGCTTGAATTCATCAGTTCACGCGTACGTACTCGCCATTAAAATCAGTGAGACATTCTATATTATAAAATCATAGAATTGAATAATAAACACATTGATACGATTCATGAAATAGTTATAACTTATAACCACTAACGTAACCAGGTAAAGTGTAGGAGGTATTCCCACGTCGCGGGGTTCTTTTCAAGTGACAAATGTTAAATTTTCAACCAAAGATTTTAAAATGGTTCGTATCATATTTGCTGACGTGTCCGTGCATGATATGATCACAAATGACGTTTCTCTTGACGTGGACAGCTCAACACTGACGCCTACGTGTCAACGTCACATCTAAACGGGCCGGGTTTTGTTGTTTGATGGGCCCAATCGAAGTGACGGGGTCAACTCGAATCATCCAGCCCGTCTTTAAAAAAAAAACAATTTATTTTTGGAAGCAATGTTTATATATATATATATATGCTATTTAGGTGTATTATAAAGAAAAGTATTTTAACCAAAAAAAGTTTATTAAGTAAAGTACACTATATGCTTTTCATCTTCACCTACTAATTGAAGGGTTTTGAGCTGTTGATGCTTTATTGTATATACAGATATAGACATATACACATTATATGCGTCGGTCGAGGATGGAATATACGAGCTTAGCTGTCTAATTTGTTTATGGGTTGGCTAATCATTGAATAGACAGTATCATAACTTCCTTAAAACAATAGCAGAATATTTTTTAATAATTTTATTAAAAATAAACTAAATAAACTATATTTTCTATTCAGATTCACTCCACTACAATAAATCTAGCAATATTAGTTTTCATAATGGCATATGACGATGGTTGAAAAAAAAAATGATGAATATAATGATATATTGATGATAATAACAATGATGATTTAATTTTTTCGATTTTTATAAAAAAGAATTTTTTTTCCAAGGTAAGTATTGACATTAGAAATCAAGCATTTTTAATAAATTATACTATCTAATATATTTTTTAATTATATTATAAGTTATATTCTCAATGAATTAAGAGTTTCATTTTAAAAAAAACGAGAATAAAAAATTGTAGGAAGTTTGATATTTACAGGACAATATTCTACAAAGCCGAAGACACCCAAACCTTCCTTCCGCTTTCCAAGTCTCTAATTTTTTTTTTTTGGTACAAAATCTATGACGATCCCAACCATATATATATATATATATATATAAACGATGCTTTTGTCACTCCCACTTTTCTCTCTCTCATCATTTCACCCCAAAAAAGAAACAAAGGTGAAATGATTCTCACACCAACCCCCCCTCCATCCTTTTTTTTTTCAATACATAAAAATAAAAACTTTTAGCTCTGGGAAAAAAAAAATCAGAAGGGAAAGGAGACAAAGATCATTAAGCTTCAAAGCGACTTCCTCCTGAGAATACTCTGCGGCTGGAGATTGTTTCTTGTCTCTCAAGCAACAAAGATCTGCCATGCAACGGACGGGAAGTTAACTGAAACTCGAACATGTCACCCATATTCCTTGAGTTTAACACTCTTTTCATCCTCATGATAGTATCATTTAGATTTCGATCTAAACCTCTTCCCAATCACAGAGACTGGAGGCTGTTAGTTTTCAATTTGTTTGATTTGCAAGGAAAGAAGAAAGAAACGGCATTTACCAGCTGTCATATTCCCCTGTTCATGCTATTGCTAGCTAGAGCTCATACATAGAGCCATGTCTCCATAGTTTTGAACTTGAAGCTCCACGTTCCTCAGATCACGGAGATTCTGCAGAATTTGTTGGAGGAGATAAACCCCTTTGTCCCCTTTTCTCAGCGACCCGACACAATGCCTCATGAACTCTCTGTCTGCCTCTAGAGCTTCTAATCTGTCATACAGCTCGTCGATTTCCTCTTCAATGGAAATCCCGCCATTCTCTGACCCATCAACCCCGTTTTCATGGGGATTCCCTGTCGACGATAACCCGTTTTCCATCTCTGCATCTGCCGCGTCAAACAGCGGGAGTAACTTCTTTGACTTGATGATATTATGCTTCTCATTTATTTCCTTGGTGTGGAAGTGCCCGATTTCTCGGACATAGCCTTTGTAAAATGTCTTAACATCCTCGAAAATCTCTTCGGGTTCATCCTCTTCCTCGTTCAGAGTAGAGAGTTTCTCTTCTAGAACTTTCAGTTGCCCGAGAATCGAAAGCCTCTCTCTATCTAGATCAGCAAAACATTCCTCAAGACAAAGCACGGCGTCAGCTGGGGTGCTCTTCATCTCAATCCCTCCATATGTGTCATCTGAATCGTCAAAGTTTCTGTCTTTCCCAAGTTGTAATCCTCTGTCCTCATCTAAATCGCCATTTTTAAATGAATCGTCAGATGAAGCTCTCCTCCTCGACATCCCCATCTTCTCCTTTGATTCATACTCCTCCACTCTCTTTCTGTACAACTCAATCTCCTTCTCAAGCTCTGCTTTCTCCTTCTCTCGTTTAACCAGAAGCTCGTTCATGAGCAAAAGCGCATCTTGATCGTACTCCGATTGTTCCTCCATCATCCTCTGGTATTGCAATGCCTCCATCTGCATTGCCGCCTTTTCTTCCTGCAACCTATTTATCATGGCCATCGTTTCATTCGCAGCGACTGCAGAAGCGTTTCTCTCTTCCTCGAGCTCAGCATATAAGGCATTGAGGGCCTTTCTCTCTTCCCTTAACACCGACTGCAGCTTCTCGATAGTGAGGAATGGGTCGGGAGACTCGATCTCGCTGTCCAGAGAGTCTTGGTTTCCCGATCCCATCATGAGAGGCCTTTTGGCTTCGAGCTTCACTGTCCTGAACTCCAACGTTTCTTCCTCTTGCTCTGAATATAGGACATTTATACCAAGTAAGCCCACACTACACTAAACGAGCACGTTTCGGCATGGATTCAAGACATAGAAACGACTTGCGAATTTTCAGAAGATAAAGAGTGACCCTCAAAGCTAAATTGGTATCTCGAATATGCTGATTCCAAAAGAACATGCTTTGTTTTTGGTACAATGTAAACCCAACAGATGCTGATAAAAAAAAAGGGTTACCATGATCGTCATCCTCAGGAGTGAATTCGTGGGAGGGAGCATAATCGATTTGGTAGTGATCAGGAATTTCAGTGCCTATGGAAACCTCTGCATCAGCTTCTTCCTCCTCCATTTCCAGTAAATCATCAGCTGAAGAACCTGCATTAATGTCAACTCAGAACAAAATGCTTCCGAAAATTCGATTAATAAAGGAACCTCACCTTCAACAATCTCCTCAGAGAATCTCCCCTTCTCCGCCGCTAAATCACCAAAATCCAGAATAACATCGCCGTTTCTTTCCGAAATTTCTCCAACTTCTTCGCCGGGTCTGAAGAATTCGACCGGAATCAAATGACAGTCATGGCCGTCGATGTAGAACTCGATGTGTTTCTGCGCGTCTTCGTCTGGTTTATCCATCGACAGTTCTACAAAGCTCCTTTCGGCCTCCATATGCGAATCTGCGTGGTTTTCTTCTTCCTTTTCTGAAGTAGGTTCCTCGTTGCAGTCGAAACTGGAAATGAAACACGAGAATTCCTCCTCTGCGTCATTATCATCGCCACCATGGTTAACTTCTTCTTTTTCACCGGAAGCTTGGGGAACAGTTTGATTATCACTGTTTTCGGAAGGAAGATTCTTCTCTGTTACTTCCTCTCTCGCAAAGCTTCGCTCCTTCGGAATCGCAGATTCTACGTTATCCTTTTCGCAAACGGAATCAGATCGGATTTGCTCAACTCCAATGGGGAATTCTTGCCCGATCGGTATTCCATCATCAGTTAAACCTAAAATCCCCGAATCGAGATCGATCATGGGACAGGGATTAGAAGCTCTGTTCTCGACGCTAGCGCCGCAACAAGAACAACTCTCAATCATTTCATCGGTGAAGTCAGGAGAGGACGAGCAGTCCTCGCAGAAATCCCCGGAATCGGCGAACTTCCGATGAATGGGACAGAAGCGGATTCTGGAAAGCTGGAGAGAATGGTCGTGGCAGAAGAGATGTGGGTAAGCAGGAGAAATGGGGGAGGAGTGGAAGAGGGTGGAGCAAAGGAGACATGGGCGTTTGAGACCGAAGAAATCGGAGAATTGAAGGATGAAGAAGGATAAAAGAGAATTGAGGAGGACGAAGAAGATGAGAGTCCATTCGAGGAAAGCGTAGAGGAGAAGGAGAGAAAACCTGTTGGTTTTCCGGTGGACGATAGTGGCAAACTTGTTAGCCGCCATTTGCAACAATGCTTCTGCTCCGGCGATATACGAGAGAGAGAGAGAGAGAGAGAGAGAGAGAGAGAGAGAGAGAGATGAGAGAATGGAGAGGGAGGGGGTGTATTTAGTTATAGTGACATGGCAACCAGAGGCAGAGACAAAGAATATTCATTCTCCGTCTCTAAATATTATTATGTAAAATGTCCAATCAAAGATCCATCCCTCAATTCTCTATATTATTAACTTTCATTCCTTATTCAATCTAATAACATTAACACATTATTATTTCAATATGTTATTTTCTATTACGCAACACATGCTTACATATGAAAATACCTAAAAAAAACTATTTCATTAATCTGTTTTATTTTCTATAGAAGCAGAAAATACCCTAAAAAGAAGTATTAACAATTCAGTGATATACTTTTTTTTACCATAATAACATTCAAAACATTTCTTTTTTGAAAATTCGTAAGCGGAAAGCTAATGATTTTGGTGACTAAAGAATGCTCGTGCTGCAATCATACTGTTGATTTTAATTTAATTTTCCTTAGCGCCGCATACACACTGTAAAGATTTAAAAGGTTCCTAAGTTATATTTTAAAATTAATGTATCAGATTTTTAGAAAATGTTAATATTTCAAATAGATAGTTTTTTAAGATCCAGCGCACATAACATAAAACGTAATTTATAATAAAACAACATGACAATTAAATGTATATTAAATGGATTTTATTTATTTTAAAATGAGTAAAAGAAATATAAGGACCAAGACACGTGGCGGTTTGGCCCCCTCTCCCGTCTTTAGCGTGAGGGGACAAAATGGGCTGGGCCCATCAACTATCCATTTTACCCACATTCTTCGTGAAATATGGGGCCCAATATCTTTATTTTTTCCTAATTCCTTCGAATCCAATATATCTTTAAAAGGTTAAAAATCTCAATTGTATATCGACCAAAACTATCATTCGTAATACCTAAATTAGTAATCATAAATACATTTATGCAATTTATATTTTATTATATTAAATTCAACAATCCTCTTCTGCTTTAATAAACACACTTGTGCACGTATATCTAGTATTTGTTATGGATTTTCAGACTCTAAACAGGAAATATCGCCCATGGTACAAAAAAATGTGATATATATATATATATATATATAATATGAATTTTCGGAAAAAAAAAACTTATATTTTATTTACTTTTATAGTGTGGTGGTAAAAATAAAGGGAATACATTTCTTTGGTAGGTCTACGAATTGAAATCGTGTTATAGAAATGGGAAGCAAATTTCCCTTTTGTCTATCTTCCCTTGTCACTTTATATCTTTTGCCAAATAAAATAAACTGAGATGGGAAAGAAGAAAAATTAAGCTTCTCTATGAAATTATGATGAGGTTTTCTTAAATTATTTTAATAAATAAGGATACATTGTAAAATCAGAAGAAATTATAAAAATCAAGGAACGCTGAAAGAAACAACAATATATAAAATCAGAACCAAAATCATTAAAATTTAGACACATTTTGACTTTCTTAATCATTTCCATAACGGAAACGACATAAGTTTATCAAAATTCTGAATTTTATTGTGATAAAGGAAAAAAAAAAGATAAATAATTTTTTTAAAACAAGTAATAAGAATAATGTTGTGACCTATTATAGTTTCGAATAATTTATTAGGAAACGTAACCTCCACAGCCACAAGTAGGGGTGGGCACGGATCGGATATCCGGGATTTTTTAGATATCCGTATCCGTATCCGATCCGTACAAATATCAAATTTTATTATTCGTATCCGATCCGTAGTTTCGAATATTCGTAATTTCAAATATCCGCAAAAACTACGGATATTTGCAAATATCCGTATGTAATGTTAAAATAACAAAAATGATAAATAAAATTACAGAAAAATAAAAACAAATAATATATATAATCTATCAAATACAAACTATATTCAAATTTAAGTAAAAACTCGAAAACGAAATTAAATTTTTTATGTACAAGTGAAAAAAAGAATGAATCTAAGGATAATCGCCAACGAAAACTAAGATACCAAGTTGGTAATAACCAGAAAATGTCTGAAACCAACAAAAATGGTGATGAGCTTGGACCCAATAAAAACGGTGTTGAGCTTGGAGAGGAGGGTGGTGGTTGTGAACTTGGAACCTGTAGAAATGGTGATGAGTTTGGAGCGAATAAAAATGGTGTGGGCAGAGAGAGAAGGAGGGAGGCAGACAAAAAGAAGAGGAAAAGAACGAAGAAACAAAATAAACCCTAATATATTTTTATTTTTTACAAAGTTATCCCCCATATATAAGTTAATTACTAAATTATCCATATATTATTAATACATTAAAAAAACTGGATCGGATCGGATATATCGGATAATTCTATTTAATTCTATTTTATATCCCTTACCCGATCCGTATCCGACAAATACTTTAAAACCAATATCCGTATCCGATCCGTGAATTCCGGATATCCGAATTTTCGGTTCGGATACGAATCGAATAACGGATCGGTTCGGTTTTTTCGGATATTATGCCCACCCCTAGCCACAAGTATCACCGTTCATCTACCGCCGTTTAGTCATCTATCAACCAAAACTGAAGTATCATATGAAACTTTAAAATAACCAAATATGATTAAACGATAAGTACTTAAACTAAATTATAATTAAAAAGGAAAAAAGAAAAAGAGTAAAAAATGATTGGAATAAGGGACCCATTTGGCCCCTTATTCGATGAGTTTTTATATATAATTCAACTTAAAATAATCCGCATTTTTCTCAATCTCTAGATTTGGACAAATCATATAAAACAATTTTAAAACTCGAGACTCCTACAATTGAAATAAGCTCCCTTATTATCCAGAATCCATGAGAAAACAAACGGATGTAGACATTATTACCCTCCGGCATCATCGAGAACAAAAAAAAAACAAATACTTCAAAAAAACCGCCATTATCCTCTTGAGAAAAAAATTTGACAGTCTTAATCCTTTCTTCTACAACTTTCGTGAGCTCTGATAGAAGAAACTCCGTACTCTCTTGTCGATTATGAAAGATGAAACCTAACTGGAAAAGGCTTGTCTGTATGTATTCTCTAATAAACCCAAACCCATGAAACCCAAGTTACCTCTACTCCTCCCCCTGCCCTCTCTTTAGTTCCACATCTCAGTGAGTTTCTTCAGGTCCCAGGATTCGACCAGGCTCTTCAGCTCGGCTGCAGCCTCTGGGTTGCCACTGCCGCAGCAACAGCCAAAAAGGCCGTGGCTTTGAGACACCCATTGCCACGGGAGAGCCGTCCCGATATCACCTTGCAGCATTTGTCGGCGTCTTTGTAGAGGGTCTGGCGGGCCATGTCAGTTCCTCCTCCGTCAGCAAGGGCTCTCTCATTCTGTTCCATGGTTTATAAACATCACAAAGTCAGAACGGAATCACAGTGAATGGATGAGGCGGTGGTGCGGGAAGGGAAAGGGAAAGTGTATTCGTTCGAGACCTTTTGCCTGAAGTTCTTTATAGTTTGGTTTAAAGTATCAGCCGGCGTCAGTTTGAGGGAATGTTCCTTCCATTCATCAACGAGCTTTCTGAGAATAGAAACACTAGCTTCCAAGTTGTCGTGATAGAGATTGTCCTATTGATTTGCACAAACAGAAAGACTAATAAGCGAACTTGAGCAACTGAACCGTGGCACGATAAATAACTGGGAAAAGATAAGAGTGGCATCTTACCCAATGTTTGCAGCAATGTTAAACAATTTAGGGTTACTCTTTCCACCAAAAAAAGTCATTCTCCACCGTTTGGGTATATTTTTTCTTCTGCGGTTCGTCTCACTCTCTGAAAATTTCAGAAGAGGCATTCCCTGTTCCACAGCACATTAACAGATTTAACACACATTTCTTCAGAGGACATGCAAGCAGCAGGAAAATTGAGAGACAAGGCTTGATCGAAGTACCTTCCCCAGCTGCTTTCAGAGCAAAGGTGAATATTTGCTGTGTGACCTGTTTCATGGCCTTGCTCCCGGGTGCACCAGCAAGAGCCACCTCCTTCAGCTGGGGGTATATAGCCTCAAACCTCTCTGTAGCCTGAGTATCACACCTTGCTCGTGATTAAAAATCAGCCCACAAGAGTCAAGGTACTGTCTCAAAAATTGCACCATTACCTTCAGTCTTGTAGATGATGTAGGGAATGTCAGTCGGACCAGGATCTCAAATGAAGGAGGAGGAATCAGACGCTCCCCCTTCCTAACAGCACCATTAACTAGTATGGTCCGGGATTTCGGGTTTGAGAGAATTCTGAAAGAAAATACAATGTGCATACAATTAGATGATCATCACATATAGGAGGAGATCACCAGAAATATTTTCACTCACCTCTCAACCAGCTGCAGAATTAGATCCCTGGACTGGGTATTGCAGCTCTTGCCACTGACTACAGTTAACAAGTTGTGTGCCCATGAGTACAAGCCTACAGATAGATCACCTTGGGAGGCCTGTGCAAAATATTTTACAAGAGCGAGAAATTCAGAATCATATGAAGCACAAAAAATTGTAAACTTGATATTCATTTACATCAATAAACAACTCTATCGGGCACCTGAGCCATCATCCAAACTATAACTGGAAGCTTATCCTGCCCCTGATACTTTGGATTCTCCCTCAGTGTTGGCAATACATTAGTCAAGGCATCAGGTTTCCTGCGCAATACCATCGCTAATGCCACAAATATTGCAACCTATGCATAATAAAAAAGGAAACAATGAAGCTCATATTGACATTGAGAAGCAATAAAAAAACACACGATACCCGCAAAGTTCAGAGAGTAAGGTCTGGAAAAGTATCCGAAAAACTCTCATAAGGATGAAGAAACATAAACCTGAGCAGATCCAGGTTCAACAGCAAATTAATTGGTATAATCAACTACTCTATTACCTGAGATTTTGAAGGATTGTGGTGTACAGCCTTCTTAGCACCCTTGGTTGCAGCTTGTTGTGGTGCCAAATCCGGAAGAATGCAGTCAAAAGCCCACAATACAAATGAACCAAGGGCTTCAAGAGGGCGCTGATTGATCCAGTCGACCGATGTTTTGTAGACATCTACGGGAATATGAGATACCGGGATCTGTCCAAGAAGATATACAAGCTATGTCAAAGAAACAGAGTAAAATAATCAAATTATACCATGGAAAGGCGCGTGCTTTAGTAACTGCACAATTAGCCGAGACAAAACACAATCAAAGTTCATCATCTCATGTGAACTTGTCAGAGAATTGAAAAAACATGAGACTTTCTATTTTGGTTTTAGATAAATCAGTTGGGGAAAGAACTTCTAGGTGTACATTGCATCAACTGAAACTCATGAAATCATCCATCAATATCACAGGGAATCAAAACCACAAAAACCCAAAACATAGTGCTGAAAATTCATCATCAATGATGTAATTGCATCGTTTCTATGACTTCCAGCATATTAAATCCAAAGTAAAAATACAGAGCCAGAATGAACAATTCAATCTCCGAATATCAAACTAAGAGAACCAAATAGATCACTGGAACGATGGATGGGCCAGCTATGGAGAGGACAGACTATTAAGATTTAAGAACTGACAGAGCAAAAGAAAGAATTGCTCACATCAACCAACTTGGATAAGGGAGACTCCTTGAACATTTTCACCCATGGGAACTGGGAAGATGTTACTCCCGATAGCGCTCTCCCAAAGTAATCTGCGAATCTCATCAATTGAATCTCCGGCTGAGCTGCATACGATTCCTGTACGGAAAATCAACGACAACCCATGGTCTCAATTTGTCTTAATAGATCAGAATTTCACTAAAACGAACGGATCGAATCGGAATTTTCTGTTCATGCACATACCGAGGCTTCTACGAGGAAAGCTGCAAGATCGGCAGCGTCAATCTTGGCGGCGGCTTCGGCCAAAGTCACTTTAGGCTTCTTCTCCTTCTTGGGCTTTGGCTTCTTTGTTTCTTCCGCCTTCTGATTCTCCTTTCCAGAAGCGTTCTCAGCGTCGCTTCCATCGTAATCATAGTCATCATCGCCGTAACCGTTGGATCGGCGTTTGGATCTCACCGGAGCAGAGCCATCGGCAGCATCTGCGGCCACCTGCGCGGCGAGGATTCTGCGGCGGCGATCCTCAGCCTGCTGCTCGAGGGAACGGAAGACGTTGTCCCCATTAGCTAAGGATCCATTGGTGAGGAGCTTGCCGGAGGCTGCATTCGCCGCCTGATCCGCCGGCTTCTGCTTCCGCTGGCGTTTCGGGTACACCACCTTCTGCCATCCATGGTCGCTGTGAGAGACAACGGCGGCGGTCTCGACGCCATTGTTGTCCAAAGATTCGATCGGATCCATTTTCCTCTCTGTTTTTTTTTTCCTAGTTCTAAATCTCTCTCTCTCTCTACGGAAAAGGAAATTACAGAACAAAGAAACGCGCACACAAAGGACGGGGAAAGAGGGTAGACGGGGGATACGTTACGTATATAATAAAGAGGTCAGGGGCTGTGAAAAGAGACTTCTCTTTCCAACGAAATTACAAGGATTGCCATCAATGACGACCATGACTTTTCTTTTTTTTAGTTTTGAGGTTCTAAAAAATCCAGAAATTATTGTTTTGTGTAAATCTCGAAAACCTATTTCCTAAATTCCTGAAATGGATTACACACTATTAGAGATATATAAATATAATATTATCGAGATATATAGTATATATCTCTATAAAATCCGATTGAAATCTTGTGAATCCAATACATATCTACATTAGAGATACAGTATATATCTCTGATAACATTTTATTTGTTTTGTTGATAAACTGTTATATCCTTTAAAATCAAATATTGTAATTTTTTTTATGTACGTTTAATAGGGATTTGAAGGCAATATATGATAAGAATGGTTAGAAAAAAGTGGGAGTCCAATATGGAATTCGAGATAAGCAAAGAGAATAAGTGCGCAATTAAGAGCCTCACAAAACTAGATAAAGGCTACTTATAAAAGGATTTTTTTTTTCATCCTTGAGAAAAAATTCCAATAAAATAAGCTGTATTGAAATTCGTTTAGATGAATACAAATGAATCTATGTATATTCTTTTTAATTTCAAGTATCATATATATATATATGAATGAAAAGATATGTCAAATCTGAATTATTTAATATATTTCCGAAATAAGATTACATAACATATCCAACCATAATGTTTTAAGCTATATTTATCAGGATTTATATATTGACTTAAAAAATATGATATCCAAAGACATAAAAGTTTGGATTATAATTCCGAATACGTTAGAATAAGCTGATTTCTATCGAAAAATATGAAAATTCTCGTTTTATAAAGTTTAAATATTATTGTGTTTTGTAATTCTTAACAAAAAATATAATAATATATAAACTCTATAAATCTTCTTATTTTTCAATAATATTAGTTTTTCAAAAAAAAAAAGATAGCAATCTGGCAATTAGTGCATTTTCCGATCCATGTGGGAGCGTCAAAACCATTACTCCAATCTCCAAATGTCAAAAGTCAACGAGCGAGAGATCGACCAACTTGCATGATGCAAGTTTTTTGTTTTTAATTTCAAGTACATGATAAAATAAATTATCGGATTTACTTTCTCACAATCAAATTATGAATTTCGATAAGTCCGAATATGTTTTTTTTTAATTCTAATTACGCCATAACAATAAAAGCGTGTCCATTATTTTCCATTCTTTCACCTATTTTTAGGTTGGAGCGAAATTTATAACGTGCTCTTTAAAACCAAATTATATAACTAATACATATATTAATTATTTTTATATTTGTAACTAATCTGTTTAGGATTTTGGGACATAATGATTTTTCAAAAAATAAAGATTATATTGTCTACAACGCTTTAATAAATTCAACATTTTATATTATTGGTTGTTTGTTTAAATAATTACATAGGAAGCGAAATTACTGCTTTTGATATTTCTCTCCTGTTTTTTTTCCATATTAATAATAATGGAAGAAAAGGCCATAGTTGGTTCAAGCATATTAGGCCCAAATTCTGAGAAGAAAGCCCATTAAACTACTAATCCGTGATTTGTCGAGTGAGAAGCCCATTAAAGAGAAGAAAAGCGAAAAAAAGAGGAAGGAGCCCACTTAAGCTGGGGCCCGCTTTGGCCGGTCAGCTGAAACATCTGTGATTAGGGTGGCCAATTCGGATTTCGGTTCGGGTTCGGTTCGGTTATATTCGGTTATAGAAAAACTATAACCATTCGGTTTTTATAGAAATTCTGGTTCGGTTCGGTTCGATTATTTTTCGGTTCGGGTTCGGTTCGGTTTTGGTAAAAAGTTCAATTTTCTAAAGAAATTGTTAGTTATTCTCTCGGTTATTTAGGTTATTTTTTATTCGGTTCGGTTCGGTTTCGGTTTCGGTTTTTCAGATTAAAGGAAATCATAACCGTTCGGTTTTGATATCGGGTTCGGTTCGGATACGGTTATGTCTTCTTCGGTTCGGTTCGCCTCGGTTATTCGGTTAATAACCGAAATGGCCATCCCGTAATCTCCATACGCACCCTTGATTGAATAAAGAATAAGAGAAGAAAAAGAAGAAGGACCGTCCATGGATGGTGGTTGGGAATCTGGGATGCGACCATGCTAACGAGGCAAGGAATAAATAATATGGAGTAAAATTGAAAAATGAACTGTCTTTGGTTTGGATGTATGTTGGTCAGAATCCGACAGAAAGTTTCAATCTTTTTGGGAACCCGTTTGACTATAACTCAGCTTTAGAGTTCAGATGGAAAAACAGAGAGTAAGTTTGCCTTGGGCTCTATATGAATTGGCGCGTTGTCGCAATTATAACGACCTCATTTCGTAAGTGTTGCGAGTGGAAGCGAGATTTGTTGCTAAACTATCTAATCTAAAACCCCGTTAGTGTTCTTGGTCTAATCGTCCAAGATTCCGGATCAAATGATTGTAAAGAGATAAGATGCCTCGTAGGATGCACGCAAGAACAAAAAGAGAGTGGAGAAATCTGCCGTTTGCTTGGGTCAAACAAAACTGGCCACGTGTCCGTGTATTATCTTCCATCTCTGTCCGATGATGTCTGCGGAGCGTTGAATCTGAACCGGTAAATGTTAAACAATTTAGGGTTACTCTTTCCACCAAAAAAAGTCATTCTCCACCGTTTGGGTATATTTTTTCTTCTGCGGTTCGTCTCACTCTCTGAAAATTTCAGAAGAAGAAGAAGAAAACAGAGGAAGAGGAGGATGGAGCAAGTGTTGGGGCTTCTGAGGATTCGGGTGAAGAGAGGGATGAATCTGGTGCGTCGTGATGCTCATAGCAGCGACCCTTTTGTCGTCGTCACCATGGGTCCTCAGGTCTCTCTCACACTCTCTCTCTGGTTTCTCAGAAGAATTGGCCTTTACAGTAATGCATGCATCGCTTAAGAGATATGATCAGATTTCCGATTTCCCAAGGGAAGCCTGTATTCTCGATCTGCATTGAAAAAGAAAAAAGGAGATTACTTTATTGTATCTGATAAAGATCGAGGTGGGAATTTGTGGGGATGCCTAAAATTTTTTTTTTTTTTTTTTTTTTTTGGTAATTGTTCGATTGGCTCAGAAGCTGAAGACTCGCGTTGTGGAGAATAGCTGCAACCCAGAATGGAACGAGGAATTGACTCTCGCTATCAAAGAGCATCATAATAACGAACCTGTGATTTTGGTCAGTCCTCCTCCTCCTTCATCCTGTGATTCTTAGAGCTATTTACTTGTTATTTCAAGGGATTGGGGGGGGGGGGGAGCTGCAAATAGATTCAGCTATACAGATAACATCTGTAGCATTTTATGACAATAGATTCATTTTATACAGACAGTGGCCCTTATAAGCACTTGGAGCTTTTGTTAACAAAACTTGTGTCTTGCCAGTAGAACTGAATCAGACACCAGATAATGTTTGTTCTTGAATCTTGGCGGCTGCAGAAAGTGTATGACAAGGACACGTTCACCTCGCACGACAAGATGGGAGAGGCGAAGATCGACGTTAAGCCGTTTCTGGAGGAGGTTCGGAGGATGGGTTTGCAAGAACAGCTCCTCCCAGAGGGGACGGAGGAGATCAAGAGAGTTCAGCCGAGCAGAGACAACTGCTTGGCCGAAGAGAGCAGAATTCTGTCCTGCAATGGGAAGATAACGCAGGACATGATTCTCAGGTTGACAAATGTTGAGACCGGTGAAGTTGAGGTTCATATCGAGTGGATCAGTGTCCCAAGTTCCAGGGGCTTCTGATGCAGATCTTGACCGAAAAGCTATATATACATATATATATATATATATGTTCAGACAAGGGTTTAGTTCACGATAAGCAGAACAATAATGTCCCATGATTGTGTATGTTTGTTACAAACATCTTCTGCAAAAGACTTGTGTTTCGATTAAGATTAGATAATCCCCCACTGATCAAGACGTGAAACCAAGAAATTGCTTAGGTGTTGAATGGTAAGAAGAACTCTTTGAAATTGAAAATAAGTTTCTTTTAATTTGGTTTTCTTAAAAATTCATAAATCTATTTTATAATAAAAGTTAACGAAAAATCAAAAGCCACATTTTTTTATTTACAAATCTATCAAATTCAAAAACTAAAAATTAAATCCAAAAGCAAAATAAAGAAGCTTGTTTTTTCTTAACATGTCTTTTCTTTCGGGTTAATTAAGGGCAAGTCTTTTCAAGAACCTTAGGGCCATTTAAGGAATAAAATCATATTCTATTATTAAAAAAAAGTATTTATGTTTGAGGATCTGAATTGATAGCTGAAGAGCAGAAACAGTATTAAAAGCTTATTGACCGTTAACCTTTTTTTTTGTATGGAGAGGATGAAATGGATGTTTAATTTTTTTTTTAACCGGGCATTGATATTCAAATGTAAGGCTACGCTTTCCTCTCGTTAAAGATCTTATCTTCCTCTAAAGTATCGAACTTTGATAACACTTCTGATATTAAAAAAAAAACACGAGGCAAATTACATGAATAAGTACAAGAACTACAGCAAAACAAACAAAAAAAGATCTAAGCTTTGAATTTTATCGACATCAGATTTTTGTTTTGTCTGTGTCTGAGCTGAGATATTCAAACGTATGGTTACTATTTTCCTTGGTTAAGATCTTATCTGCCACCAAGTCTGGAACTTGATGCGCCTGTAAACCTAAGAAATAAGTTTCATCATCAGGTTCAGATACGGAAAAACTTTTCAAATGGCGTCATTATTGTCCTCCCACGTTGAAATTTCCCGAACGGCTCTCTTTCCGGCGCCGTCGCCGTCGCCGGTGATAAACCCATCTCTCAAACGAAACTTCATAACGTTCAGTCAGGCTTCCTCTTTTAAAAAGCCCCTCCGGACACTATCCGCCGGCGCGACCAAGTACGATGAACTCACCAGCGGTCTGGACGAAGACATGGATATGATCCGGCGGCTGCAGAACGGCTCAGACGTGAGAGGGGTGGCGTTGGAGGGGGAGAAGGGTCGGACGGTGGACCTCACGCCGGCGGCGGTGGAGGCCATAGCTGAGAGCTTTGGCGAGTGGGTGGCGGCCGAGGAGGAGTCGGAGAGCAAAGGCCGCGTCTTAAGGGTGTCGGTCGGGAGAGACCCACGCGTGTCGGGAGCGACCCTGGCCACGGCCGTGTTCGCTGGTCTATCTCGTGCCGGCTGCCTGGTCTACGACATTGGCTTGGCTACTACTCCGGCTTGCTTCATGAGCACGTTACTCTCCCCCTTTGACTACGACGCCTCCATTATGGTACGTAGGAGTAAACTTGAAAAGCATAATCCGGAAGTTAAAAAAAGAAAAGAAATGTAATAGAATTTGAATTACAACGCAAAAAGCTGTATAATTAAAGAGATATAAAATGGATACAGATGACGGCGTCTCACTTACCGTACACAAGAAACGGTCTCAAGTTTTTCACGAAGAGTGGCGGGTTAACGTCGTCGGAGGTGGAGAAAATTTGCGACGTAGCTGCACGCAAGTACGCTAATAGAGTCACCAAGGTCTCGACGCTGGTCCGAACTCCTCCCGAGAAAATCGATTTCATGAGCGCTTACTCCAAGCACTTGAGAGATATCATCAAGGACAGAATCCATCATCCGGACCGATACGACACTCCTCTCGATGGGTTTAAGGTCACGTCCTCTTAAATATTATCGATGTTCGAATGAGTTTAAATCCGCAGTTTAATTTCTCAATATTCTGTAATGATGTTCTTGTCGTGTAGATAATAGTGAACGCTGGGAATGGGTCAGGAGGTTTCTTCACATGGGAGGTTTTGGACAAGTTGGGGGCGGACACCTTCGGTTCGCTCCACCTTAACCCGGACGGGATGTTCCCCAACCACATCCCGAATCCGGAGGACAAAACCGCAATGTCCCTGACCAGAGCCGCGGTTCTCGAGTACTCAGCAGATCTCGGCATAGTCTTCGACACGGACGTTGACCGGAGCGGTGTGGTCGACAGCAGAGGCAATCCTATCAACGGAGACCGGCTCATCGCTCTTATGTCAGCTATCGTCCTTAAAGAACATCCTGGTACAATGCCTTAAACAGATATTTACACTGCAGTGTACGTTGGTTTAAAACTCTTCAACAGTGAATATTGTTTAATGGGCAGGAACGACGATTGTGACGGACGCTCGGACAAGCATAGGGCTGACCAAGTTTATAACGGAGAGAGGAGGAGAGCATTGCATGTACAGGGTAGGTTACAGGAACGTGATCGACAAGGGAGTTCAGCTGAACAGAGACGGGATCGAGACTCATCTCATGATGGAAACTTCAGGGCATGGTGCTCTACAGGAGAATCATTTCTTGGATGACGGTATATAGCTTCATTGCTCTTATCCAAGATTTTGATGATGATGATGATATCATATATGTGTGTGAATGGTGAACCATGGGACATGTATAGGTGCATACATGGTGGTGAAGATCATAATAGAGATGGTGAGAATGAAGCTCGAAGGGTCGAACGAAGGGATTGGGAGTTTGATAGATGATCTTGAAGAGCCGCTCGAGTCGATAGAGCTACGGATGAACATTGTGTCGGAGCCGAGAGAGGCCAAGGCCAAGGGCACCCAAGCCATTGAAACGTTCAGGCAGTTCGTCGAGGTCGTCGCTTTATATATATATATGCTGCCACGACAAGATCAAGAACCTTTTCTTTATTTTTTTTTAAGAGGGTTTTAATGAAATGTGTGTGTATATATATAGGAAGGGAAGCTAGAAGGATGGGAACTGGATTCATGCGGAGAGTGTTGGGTGAGCGAAGGCTGCTTGGTGGATTCAAATGACCATCCTGCCCCCGTTGACGCCCATATGTACAGGTCTCTTTCATATATATATATATAACCCTCATCTATAGCTTATATATATATATATAATCAGTCTTATATATATTAATATATATACTAATGATTGGTATGAGAAAACAGGGCAAGGGTGGGGGATGGGGAGAGGGGGGAGTACGGGTGGGTGCACATGAGGCAGAGCATTCACAACCCAAACATTGCCGTCAACTTCCAATCCACCCTCCCCGGCGGCTGCCTCTCCATGGCCCGACTCTTCACCCACCAGTACGTATTCTTTACTTTCCTCTTTTGGAAATTCCCTGTATATATATACGGCTTTATTTACTATATTTGGAATGTATTGGTTGTCTCAAGGTTTCTGGTCGCAAGTGGCATCGGCGACTTCCTCGATTTCAGTCAGTTCCGCAAGTACATCGCCAATCAAGAATGAAGTTCCCCTAATAACAATTTTCTTTTAACGATCAAATTTTACGTATATCATATCATATCATATCTTGGAACTTTTTCCATATACATTTGTATATAATTATTCAACAGTTAAAACCTTCTTTAATGGCAAACCAAGGAAAATGTATATATATATATATATATAAAAGAGATGCTCTTCAGAACTTGGTTCACACTTCACACATATTATATTATTTTACGTATATAATATGATAGTAAACCAAGAGTACACGTGATGTGCTAGCTCATTGCTATTCCCCAAGTAACACAATCTTCATTCATAAGACGTGCGCATAGATCGGATCCATACAATGAAATGCGACTTCCACGTCTTTGTTATTAGATATTTGAAGTTTCAAATATCAACAACAACAACAAGGGCATTTAAAAAATTTATTTAAAATTTTATAAGATTTACAAAATAACTATTCATATATGTATATGACGATATATGGAGGGCACGCGCAATCAACGTTTATTATGCAACCGAACTAACTCCGGGGAGGTTACTCATCTAAAGATTGACAGACGAATCAGGAACATCTTCTTGACAGCCGCTGGCCGATGCCGAATTATTACTTCATCGCCTCTCCAAGATTGGTATTATCTTGAGATTCTCTCCCGTCAAGTAGTCTAGTACGTTAGATTTTTATATACCCGATAATGGGTCTTTTGTATACCACTTGCAATGGGTTCCCAAATTTGTTTTCGGAAGAAAACTGTTTTGTAAAGTTGTTTATATAATTAATACAATTCACATTTTCATAAAAAAAAAACTATTTTTTTCATGCAAATCTTTGTTACCGTATTCTCTATTTTCTTTTCTTTTTTTGTTATCATAACTTGATAAAGTCCAAAAGTAAAAGCATCACAAATGATTAAGAGAAATGATTAAAGAAAGGATGCACACAAACAGCCATGATTTCACATATGAAAATACACGATACAACGACACATATATATATATATATATGAACACATGATATCGATACGATCGTAGACTCATAGGCGCTACTGCAGGTATCTTATTGAAGTTACACACACAGACGAGACCAGAGGAAGATATTTCACAGCCTAGGACGTAGGATAGAATATGGGTTGGTTCGGACAGGGACACTAGTCGTCCTGGGACAAGAGGTGCTGGTCGATGTCCTTAGAGACTTCGACGCAGAGCTCGGCGAGAGTCTCGGGGTGAGCCGCCTTGCCTTCGAGTTTCTCGTACTCCAAGTGCCAATGAACCACGCTTCCCTCTCCTCCCTCCTTCGGGGTCACGTAGATGGTGATGAGGAACGTCTTGTACTCTTCCATCAGATCTCCTTCTATCACCCTGAAGCTTATCATGTTCTTGTCCGGATCCACCGCCTCTACCACCTCTCTCGCCACTCTCTTCTTCCCATCTGCCACATCCGTATATATTACTGCTCTCCAATATACATCGTCATATACATATATGAATGGTTTCAGTGAAAGTGTATGTACAGATACCGTGAACATAGTTCCAGTAGACGATGGAGCCGACTTTGCCCCAGTCGCCCTCGTGAAGGTCGCAGCTCTGAATGTGGTGAGGAGTGGCTTTGGAGACATGGTGCGGTCTCCCCGCGAACATCTCGTGGAACTTCTCTGCTGAAGCTTTGATCTCCACCTCTGTCTCCACCTTCCACCTCATTGTTGGCAACCCCATCTCCTTTCTCTTCGTGTTTGATTGATGATTTTGATTTGGTTAGCGTGTTTTCTTTTATGAGGTCGCGTGACCCTTTTTATAGACGAACTTCAGGAGGTAGCTTTCTTTCACTCTCTGTACAGTATAGGGCTTTGTCTATTTAATACTCCTCCCTCTAATTTTACATGAAATTTTAGATTATTTTTTTTGTTTTAAAATAAATGGCGTTTTTTTCATTTCCCATTCATTTTATATATATATATATATTTTTTTTTCAAGTTTACCCATATCATGATAATTAATAAGAGAGAAACAATCAATAGTATTGGAAAAATAAACTAATGAAAAAATATTGTTTTGAATAAAGTACTCTCTTTTATAATATGTGGGTTTAAAAAAACTACATTTAAAACTAAACCGAGGGAGTATTTATTCCCATGTCGCTTGTGTCCCTCCTGAATTCATTTTATTATTGTTACATATAATATTTATAACATGAATTATTGCTCAACTGCTTTGGTCAACCACGGGATTCACGTCTTCCCTGCTTCTTGTCATTTTCCATTTCAGTATTATTTGATTTCCATCATTAGTATATGCCTTTAGTTGGTTTAGTGCGTCCAAATCAAGAATCATGTGGGGCTTTGTCATTTCCAAAAAAAGATTAATTTGATTTCCATCATTAGTATTTGTCATTTAAGATTAATGGAAAATTGGTATTGGCATCCACATGAAATAAGTGCCCTCTTGTTGAACTATATATGTATTATATCTGCATTTAGTATACGCAGGCTGGACCAATCCAATAAATTTTCATTTTATTTATATCGATCATCATCATTTATTGCATCCCCAAATAATTCAACGCCCCGACGGATCATGTTATCTGCACCGATCTCTACGCTTCAATCATCGCAATATTTTTTGCTATGCGTATCTCAAGATGTACGTCATGCCAAGTATTATTCACTTTCAATTTATTTGGAAAGACAACAAGATTGTTATTATTATTATTATTATTATTATTATTATTGATATTTTATGAAATATCTCAAAGATTGTAATTTGTACATCCGGCTACTATCATCTAGGGATCAAAGGATTAGCCAGATAAATCTTCCATCTTTATTTGGGCATAAAGGCAGCAAAAAAGATGGCAACTGCGGCCACTAATCTTTCTCAACGATGACGTGCGTAGGGTCCGTATGTTTGGGCCCGGCCCATATTCGGCCCATCAACAAAGCCACGTTGGGAATTTACGAATTTCAAGCGTGTGAGCCGATTACCGGTGGATCCGACCTGGAAAGAACCCGGGTCCGGTAACCGCTGCAATCAGCGGAAAGAGAATATGCCAATGGAGTCAAACCTCCAGAATTTGAAACGATCCGGGAGATCGAAAGCGATTCGACGGGCAACGGATCTGGAGAGTTCGGTGGCGTTCTAGAAAACCATGATGTGAATATGGATGTCCAGAAGCAAACGAAGAGCGATCTGAATATATTTCGGCGGAGAAGAGCCGATCGCGGTTTCGGGTATGGATGTGGAGTTTTTACCGCGCGTGGGTTATGCTGATGCGAAAAGGTTAAGCGAGCCGTTTTTCTTGAAAGAGGTAGTGTTGGAGGAATGTAGGGATACGAGTGAACCGATGGTCATGGTTATGGCTGTTCATGCGGTGATGTTAGAGTCTGGATTCATGCGACTGTACAAATGACAAATATCTTAAAGATTGTCATTTGTACGATATATCGGCAACTATCATCTAGGAATCAAAGGGTTAGCAAGACAAATCTTCCGTCTTTATTTATGCAGCATAAACATAGCAACTGCAACCTTTCTTCTCTCAACGATGACGTGCATGAATACATACATACACACACATATCATGATCATTGAGACAGAATTGTCTCGAGATCCCGGGAGAAATCTGCAACGGATGATGCGTATTTGGTAGGGGGAGGGACATCATCATGAAGCTTCTCGTATTCCCATGTCCATTTGGCAATACATCCTTCACCTGTCGGAACGACATGCAGTGTTATCTTGTAGCTCTTGTACTGCTTCATCACATCTCCTTCCACTGCTATGAAACTTACCGTTTTGTTCTGCTCGTCTAGCTCTATCTTTTCCTTAATGTGCTCGACCTTGCCCTCTACCATTCACGACGGGTAATTAACAAGATCGGACGCTGAAAATCTTGATTTCAAGAAGGAGATAAAGAAACGATGATTGAATGACATACCGACGATAAAACTCCAGCTCTGTGTAGAAGAGTTGGATTGAGAGTCGCGATGATGAACGGCGACCACCTCGGTCTTGTCCGTGGAAATATCTTCCTTCTTCTTGAAAACATCGTAGAAATTATCAGCTGCTACTTTCAGTTGCATCTCCAGTTCCAGAACCTGGACGCCATCCGCCGCCATCGTTGACAGACTATGAAATTCTATCCTCTCTCTGATTATGTCTGTATATGTGTGTGGGAGTATATATTATTCCGAAACATGATCCACTATACAAGCTTCTTTCTTTATTGGTTAGTGGCATTTTCTTGGATACGAGGACAGTGGCTTAAGCCTCAAGGTCCACGTCAAAGTAATGTGTTTTGGTCAGAATTGCACGATTGGGCCTAGCCCATATTTGGCCCATAAATAAAGCCACGCGGGGAATTACGAATTTCAAGCGTGAGCCTAGTACCGGTGGATCCGACCCGGAAAGAACCCGGGTCCGGTAACTGCAATCAGAGGAAAGAGAATATGCCAATGGAATGGAGTCAAAGGGAGAAGATTCCTGAGACATTCGCACCTGTCTCACTGTTTATTCTCTTCTGGCTTCGCAAGCTTTTTCACGGTAACCATTGATTGGATTACCCACTTCTTCTCTCTGTTCAATACATTTTTTCTCTTCCTCGTGCTCTTCTTTCTTCACGCCATTCCTCCAGGTTCGACCTTTCTCCTTCCTCTTACGTCGTGGATTCTGCTATTTTCCGCTCTTTTCTGTGGCTTTGCTTGCGATTATTCTTGTCTAATGATGTGAATCCGTTTCCCATCTCCTTGCTTGGTGAACTCTGCGTGTTTTGTTTTTGGGTTCTTCTCTCCGGCAAAGTAATGTCGAGACTCGGAACCTGCAAATGCCAAATCCGCTCAGAACATTATGATTTGGTGCTGCCGTAGTTTTAGTCTTCTCCCAATTTTAGTTTTTGAATGCGCCTGCAACAATCCATTGTTCTGTGTTTGAATTTGAAACCCATAATGATCAGATTTGTGAACTGTTTTTTTTTCTTAGACCGTAGATGAATCAGTCGGTGTAAATCGTTAACTTCGATGTGAAATGTTAACTTTGATCTTCAGAATTTGAACAATCAAGGACAGGTTTTAGTCCGCTCGTCTCTATTGGGACTTAGGTTTAACATCTGATGTTTCCTTGTAGGCAAAGCCAGCAAGCAATTGCTGGCGAAGAGCGAGTTGGGAAGCCCATGAAACAGCAGAGCCTATCAAAGACGGCCAAAACCCTGGAGGGTGTTCATGGCGTTCATGTTGTCTCTCACTCGCCCTTTGCCTTTGAACGTATCGGCCAAGTCGGGGACTTTGAGTCTGCCTGCAGTAATACCTCAGACGCTAGATCGAACCAGAGACTGTCTTTACAGTACGTACATCCTGATTGATTTTATATGGATAGGCGAATTTCTAAATGGCTCCTCGGGCTGATCGGCCGATGGTTCTTGCCTTCCTTGATGCATAATGCCAGAGTTTTGCATATCGTTAATGCATAAATTGCAATCCTGATTTCATGAAAAGATGTTTGGTATATGTACCTTTGGCTGGTCATAGTATAGAATCGAAGCAACTGGTTCAGTGCCTGATTCTCTGCTTTTGTCCTCTCTCAGACGTGTCTGGCAGCAAAGACCTCCGTGCCTGAGGCCTATTCATTGCAGCATTCATGGTATACTGACAAAAAACTGCAAAAAAAAAAGTCTTTCACTGCTGTTTTCTGTCTGTATCTGTTTCTTATGATGGTCTATTCGGCTAAGCAAGCAAACCCTTTTGGCAGGTGATCAAAATCTCTTAGAAACGGCTGCTAATGTAATTACTTCACTTCCTTTCATTGTCCTCGGGATGCAAGCGCCGAGGTATTCTCTCTGTTTCATGTAATTTCGGATGATAGATCATCTGTTTTCTCTGATAAGAGATGAGGGACAGTGACTGAATCATCTGGATATAGGAAGAATCTGAACACTAAGCTGTACGCGAATTCTCTAATTGGAGTTGGAATTGCATCAAGTGTGTATCATGCTTCAAGAGGAAAGTTGAGAAAGTATCTGAGATGGGCTGATTACACGATGATAGCCACAGCAACAGTGGTAAGTTTCACTCTATGGGAACATATAGAACAAAGAGTAGGATCCCTCTATAAATGGTAAGCAAATTATTTTCTTTAAAAAAACACAGTGTCTGTCGAGAGCCCTGAGAGACGAGAACCCGAAGATCTTGATGGCGGCATCAGCATTGGCTCTTCCATTTCAGCCACTTATGGTCACAGCTGTTCACACCGGAATGATGGAGGTATATGTTCATGTCACCGGACAGGCCTTGTAACTCTTGCACTTCCATCACAGCTTCATCTTGTAAAAACAAAAACAAAAACATTGAAACAGGTAGCATTTGCGAAAAGGGCACTAAAGGAACCTGACCTGAGGATGAGTCACAATGTACACAAGATGTCGTCGTTGCTGGGAGGAGCTCTGTTCATAGCCGATGATCTTTATCCCCAAATGCCTTTCCTTCACGCCGGCTGGCATCTTGCCGCCGCCATTGGCGTCAGCACCTGTAACAAGCTTCTCCACTAGTATGTATATTATTCCTCTACCATTTTCATTATTTGGGCTCAGACAAAACCAACCATGGGGTGGCTGTCTGAGCTCATCATAATCAGCCGACATCACTAGGAAAGAAGTGCAGTCACCTCCATTCATGTCTTGAGGAAGAAGAAGAAGAAGAAGAAGAAGAGTTGTAATTGTAATGTTATGCAGTATGATAATACATTTGTTTGTATCAGCCGTCTAAGCATTTGCTTTTCCAATGTTAACACTACAATGTTATGTATTATGATGCTGTTAATTTATCTTATCTCTTGGAAAATGTAATGGAAAACAGTTAGATTATAAGGCACAATACATATATGAGCGATTCAATTAATACAAAATGAAGAGAGCATTATATTTGTACGGAAACGCCAATCATCTTCGAAACAAATTCACTTTGATCAAAGAAATGAGTCCTTATTCATCCCCAACCCCAACAGCTTCGGGGTTGGAAATATTAGGAAAGCGGTCGTACAACTAGCAAAGACATTTGAAACCGACAATCGAAGAAAGCTCAGAACGCAAAAGATGAAAGCTTTTTGTCCGGCAGGGAGGATCAATCGTGAAGCGTACCCAATATATCTTCATCCCTATACAGATGGAGCCTGCAAGAAGACACGGAGTTAAGCACATGCCGCCGCACACGGAAATTACAGACATAATCAGTGAGAAAAGAGAGAGCATTCCATACTCTTTGTCGCCGAGCTTGACTTGAGTTCCGCCGAATTCAGGCAATAGAACGGTGTCTCCTTCCTTGACCGAAACCGGAATCAACTTTCCATCTCCGCCCCTCTCCCCAGGTCCCACTGCTATCACCTTCCCTGAATTCAGCTGCGGTGACTTTTCCGGCAGGAGAATGCCGGAGTTCGTCTTCGACGGCGGAAGAATCTTCTCAACCAATACACGGTTGAAAGTCGGAATCAAACGCCTTGCCATTTCTTCGTCTCTCCGAATGAATCTCTGCTGCTTCGTCGTCGCAGGAAGGCGGGTTGGAAAAGGGATGGAATTGGGGTTCTACGGTTTATCAAGAACGTTCTAGGTCATAGAACTTTCTAGGTCTTAGGGTTTTAGTGTAATTGGGCTTGAGAGTTTTTCACTTTTCAGGGGCCGAACTAAGTGGGCTTTTCTATTGGTGAAGCCTCTCTCTTTCAATTCGACCGTTTTCAATACATGGTTGGGTCAGAGTTAAAATATATTCTATCTGGGCCGTTGAATATTACATGGGCCTAATTGATTAACTAAACAATGGGCCCATTTTACATTATTCTTGTCGGCCCACCACGGTTTATGAAGTAAATTTATGACATGTAATTAACAAAATTTCAACAATCTCAAAGTAATCATTGATTCATTATATGTAATACCAAAATAAACAAAAAAGAAAAAAAAAAAAGTTACTCTAAGAACGGACCAAGCTGGTTTCTGGATCCCTCGTAGCCTTTGAAAACAGCATCCTCAAAGTAAAAAGCACCGACAACAAAGGGGTTTTGTGTATAAACACGAGAAATTCTTTATTACCCTAAAAGAGGTGTATATATATATATATATCAAAGCATAGATTATATAGATATGTATTTTTTTTTTGTGGGGAAGGCTTAACATGGAAAGCAGGTGTTACCAAAAAAACGCCATGAATGCAAAACTTGACAAGCATAAGATGAGGAGAGTCGGTGAGAGGAGTGGGGATGAAGAAGACTGGTCGCCAAATTGGTGAGGCGGCTTTCTGTAGTAGAACGGGAAGTACGGCAATATCGGCTCCGGCGGCGGTGGCCCGTAAAAGCTTCCGCCGTCGTACGGTGGCGAAGGGTAGTTCGGTAAATTCCCTGTTGCCGTCGTCGGAGAAGGGTAGTAGTATCCTGCCGCCGGCGGAGGGTTGAAAACCGGCGTCGGCACGGAGAAGCCTCCGCCGATGGGTGGCGGGTAGCAAGGGTAAGGGCACGTGACCTCTGATACGGTCACGTGCGCCATGTTTACGATCATCAAAACTACGATACTCATCACTAGACGGCCACTTTCACTCGTCTTCCCCATCGATCTTCTCCTCTTTCTTTTTTTTTTTTTTGGGCCAAACCAATATTTTTTTATTTCAAGATACAGAAAGAAATTCGATGAGATTGAACCATGTGGTGTACATGCTTTTAATTTTACTTATTTTTTTGTCTTTTTGCTTCCGACAAATTATTAAAAAAATTATGAAAAAAAAAGAGAGGCTAAGTTCGAAGATAACAACTCTATCGTGTCCTGTGGTTACGATACATTTGCTGTCTTGCGCCATTATGATACTTTCTGTCTTGTAATCCTTTGTCGTCTCTCTATCAAAATTAGCTTAATATAGTACATGACATGAGTTGTCATGAACATTACATTATACACTGTCTCTGTCTTGAACCGTATACTTTTATTAATTTCTTGTTCGATACCTATAATCGTCGCACCTATAGCATGATTTTGTTCATTTCATCATGTAACTAGATACATATCATGATCTTAAAATCCACATGCTGACATCATCATGACCATAAACTTGCATGCATTCCAAATTTAGGAATCTTCGTGCTCTAATCAATCCCCTTTTTTTAACAAAAAAAAAATATGGGTCCTCGCTAGTTATAAATCAATTTATGTTTTTTTTATCGGTGATTGTCCAGTTGGGATTCGAATCCGGGGTGTAAAAGAATAGTTTGTACACCCCACACCAGACCACCACGTCTGGACAGATTTATGTTGTTCATAACTGACAGCGTCACGTATTAGAAAACTAAGAACATTCGCACTCCTAACTTTGAAATTAAAGGATCTAGTATTTAACCAAATCATGTTGTACCTCTCTAATCCCATGCATCATATAAAACTAGGATTGCTTTCTAACTATAACACACAATTACACTCTAATTCCATAAAAAAAATACTGTTAATACAATAAAAAATATATAGATTTTGTCATTCAAACTTTTATAGATGAACCGTCGCCTACCTACACCAAATATATATGGGCACATGTCGCGCATTTAAAATTTTAAATGCATCCCATTTAAGATAGTTATTTAATTAATTGCTAAAATAATTTGTTATATCTCACAATTCTAATCAAAAGATTGTGCAAAAATATTTTGATATATAAAAAGACGTGTCTAATAAAGTTTCGTTTCGGAAATTTTTTGATTTTCGATATAGACTGCAAAATCAAACTTCCTCACCGATAGTATAAATAAAATGAATCTTGTAACCCTTTTGATACAGTTGGTCGGATTGTCCTTGATATCCTTTTTCCAATTTTTAAGGTTATTTCTCCGTCGTGTGATTATGTTTTTCAGAAGATTTTGGAAACTATTTGAACTTTATATTAATATACTTGCCTAATCACAAAAACTTCTAGATTGGTAAAAAAAAATGATTTCAAATTCAACGATAAATTCTAATTCCACCTAGTAATTTTTGGATTAATAGAGAGATTAAGAATATAACCGGGTCAATATGGAATAAACATATATGAAATAAAACATACAGTATTACAATATATATGAGATTTTACCCACATGGGTGTGGTCGAGTGGCTTCCTCAGCGTCAAAGGTACTTTGAAGATACACCTTTCGGTTCGGGAGGGAGAGGCGAAATTAATTGCGCTTTAAAAACTGTTCCGGATCGTGGGAGACGTAGTGAGTCCGAAAGGCCCGATGAACTTTCTAATTGTCAATATATATATATGATATTTTATTGATAAATATATATTATAGATATACATAATATACATATATGATTACACCAAAAAAAATAATATACATATATACATTACCATAAATTATATATTTAGTAGATCATATAGTATTTTGATTATTTTCTCTCTATATATATAATATGATGACAATAAAACAAAAAGTATTACAATATCAAAGAACAACTTTATTATAACCACAATGGGAAGTCTAAAAGTGCATCATTACAATAAAAATTGCAGTGTTTAGAACTTTTATGACGTTGGCTAAAGAGACTGCGGATCACCGAGACACTAAGCAGCGACAGACATATGTGTATCTATAATATATATATATATATAGGATTAAAATGGATAGAGAAATAATACGGGCCAAAAAGTAAACAATTAAGAAAAGCAACGTTGGAAGACATGGGGGGAATCGTACGTACCCGACCGGAGAAACACCCAAATCAAGGCGCGTCTGCGTCTGCGTCTGCATCTGCGTCCGCGTCTGCGTTCCGGGGGTTGGTAGGTTTTGAGGTCCATATAGCGCTTCGACATCCACTCGACACACCAAAGCTTCCGAGTGCATTTCATTTATTAATAATAATAAAGATGCAACTGAAGGTGTTGAATTCCGTGCCAAACGCTTGTAAGGGCAGCGGTCTCCGTTGCGATCCATCTAAGCTTCGGTGCCTGTTCGACCTCGGCTTTGGTTTTCAATTTATATTCCTCTCTTCAGGCATTTCGTTATTAATCGATATTGGAAAATTGAAATTTTTTAACGGTTAATTTTTTTATTCATCCGTTTCTTCCTAACTAATATGCAAAGACACAAACATTCAATTTTAATTTCTTTTACTGTATATACAGGTATTGGGTACTTACTGTGTAATAAATTCACCGATTCGACGATGCTTTAATTATTGGCGTGAACATGCATATATGAGAAGGGGAACGTCCATATAAATCTATATTTGATCATTTGGAACGACGGAGATTTTCAGGATCGAGTTCGAAAATCATATAATATATTATAAAACGCGAGTTTGGTGCTTTTGCATGTGCGAATTCGGCACATGCCAAGCTAGACGATGCAACGTACGTATACGCTCTATTGATATGTTAATAATCTGCCTCGAAAAAAAACTTGAAATTTTCACGGAAAGACTAAACACATATATATTGATCAACGTCCCCTCCCCTGCCATATATATAACTAAAGTTTTTATGCAAAGAGAGTTTCAAATCACGATCGTATGGCTGCATATAATTAAGCCCTAATGAACAGAATTGGGAATACCATGAGAGAGGGAGAGAGAGAGAGGGAGAGGGAGAGAGAGAGAGAGAGAGGGAGGGAGAGAGATGATCATATTTACCAAGCAGGGCAGCGGAATGATCGTTAAGAAACATGATCTATGAACTTTTACCAAAAAAAAAACATGATCTATGAACTTACGCATATAATTATTCCATGGAATATGTAAGGGAAGAATCATGAATACAAGGGGCCAAGGTCGAACAGACAACGAAGCAAAGATCGGAAGGCAAAAACCAAGACCCTCCAATTCCTTGAATGAAAATTGCCCTAATCTATCTTCTCCATCCATTCATCATCATCATCATATCATATAAATAAAGAGGAGAGGTCCACGTTTGAGAAGGAAAAAAAAACCCCTCTTTCGTTACCTAACCCCGTTTATCTTCGCACGTGTGACCTCCCCCACTCTCGCTTTGCCACGTGCCCTCCATCCGTCGACTCACAGTTCATATATGTATATGATATGTGTGTGTTGTTTTCCTACCTACCACTAAACAAGACCAAATCAAGAGAGAAGCATCATGCATAAAAAAAATTTGATATATGGTAAAAATGGTTTTCACCCAACCAAACCCTTATGTGATATGTAACAATTAATCCCACCTCCATACCAACAAGGCAACACCCCTTCTGCACGTGTTACTACCCACAATCTCCAACTACTCTTATTTACTTATTTTATGTATTAGATTATTTTTTTCTTTCGCATCAATTTTGTTTTTATCACATATATTTATAAATATTTGAAACATTTTTTTTCGTAAAGATGTAACTAAACCATATACGAGAACTAGTCAGTCCACCAGTAATAAATCATTATCTTAATGTCTCATCGTACATATAGTAAATTACCCAACATAAAAAAGACCCCCGTTAATGTAGCTGCCACTTTTGACGTTGACGTGGAGGTGCCGAAGTGCACATCCATTGCTTTCTACATCAACTTACAAAGGATTTTGAGGCCCGGATTTCAACTTGATTATATAGACCCAAAAAACCCTTGGGCCGATTTTCCTCGGGAGCGAAGCCAAGAGACGGCTGGAGAGGGATATGTGGAAGGATACCTCCTTCTTAGCCGTAAGTCGTCTGTTTTTCAACTTTGTTCTTTGGAAATTGATGATCTGTTCATTCATTCAATTGGGTTTTATTCGGTGAATGTGATGGATTACTCTCTGCTTGTTTGTGGGGATGGAGGAGGAAGGGAAGGAGATCATTGACTACATGAGACAAGCCCCTGGAGACTTGGGTCAAAGCCTCCGGCATCCTCGGAGGTCCTAAGAACGCTTCTCCGACCATAATCTCTCCCCATCACTACAAGAAACGGTTCCGCAAGCCCATGACTACTTTTTTTTTTTTTTTACCGAGAGAGGAGGACAACAAGTGCAAGTATTGAATATAATTCTCCACTTTATAGTAGCCTGATGCATGCATCAATGGTAACGACAATTTCTTTGCTTTCATGATCTGTGTATCCAAAGTTCGAAAGGATCTAGCTACGGCTGTTAGTGATAGTGATAATATAAGGATATAGATATATCCTTTTGAATTTTTTATTCACATACTGGAAAATAAAGGAAATTTTCATTTATCAGATGTAGGTCAAGGTAAGGTGGCGAATACTCACCTATATTTTCTCTCTGAATGTGGAGAATGTATATTGTAAATGCTGGCCGAATTGGGACCATGTTTAAAGAAAATACTAAATGAATTAATACATTGTCCTTCTTTTTACATATTGAAATTTTGAAACTTTATTTTAATAAAATTGCTACCTAATCTCTATCGTGATGGTAGTATCCGTTTCTATCGTATAATTTATGCCACAGTTTGTATATACATTGATGAAATATTTGATGTGGTGGATAAAGATAAAATCTCCAACAGTACAAAAGTCAAATAGGACAATGATCATTGTGAACATTTTCTCCGGTGCCATTATTGGAAGTTACTGACATAGATATATAATAATATGCTTGTATCGATTAGAGGAGATGAATCGATACTCGTAGATGGGAGATGACGAATCATTGCCAAAAAAAACTTTTTCGAAAAAATAAAAATAAGTACAAATTCATCATTTTCATAAAGTAAGAAGTTGTTGGACTTATTGTGGGGGAAATAAATGGGAAGCGGTCCATTACAAAAATTAAAATTAAATTAAAACAGATGAATGTCTTCTTGAGGAATGCAAAAGCGAAGACTCTGCAGTTTTCCTTGGAAGAGGCGAAGATTCAGAAGTTTGCAGAGACCCATCAAACCCTTTTAAATCGTAGGTTGCAATTACAAATTCTACATTATGTCTATATTTGCATTTAATATGTCAAGACTTTTGCAAATGGATTTTTATTTTTATTTTTATTTAGAGATCTTCATGACACATTTTTAGTGTACATATTAAATGCTGTTATTACAATTCACAAAAAAAATATATTTAACTGGCTCCATAATTATAAGCTAAGAGCAATAATACCAAACCCCAAGTTGCGTACAAAATCTTGTGCACAGATTATATGACACTTTTTCACCCAAAAACCATCAATGGCAAATGCGACAATTAATACTAATATCCATTGGAGAGTAGCCGTCACAATTTCATGCCAGTCAGTCCAAAAGTGCCTTAACAACTGAAATACCAAAATCTCAAACTCCTAACCATATAATACAGAATTATTACATTAAGATACCCATCTTTGTCACAAAAACCCTTGTATCTATCCTGTCGGCTTCACATGACGGAGCAGCCGTCTCTCTCAGCGTACCCCAAGTTGCGTACAAAATCTTGTGCACAGATTATATGACACTTTTTCACCCAAAAACCATCAATGGCAAATGCGACAATTAATACTAATATCCATTGGAGAGTAGCCGTCACAATTTCATGCCAGTCAGTCCAAAAGTGCCTTAACAACTGAAATACCAAAATCTCAAACTCCTAACCATATAATACAGAATTATTACATTAAGATACCCATCTTTGTCACAAAAACCCTTGTATCTATCCTGTCGGCTTCACATGACGGAGCAGCCGTCTCTCTCAGCGTGGGATCCCCCGCCACTGTGATTGGGTTGCTGCTGCTCGGTCGCGTAAGGGCAATACGGGTAATAAGGATAAGGAGTCGGGGCATAACCGTAATAATACCCAGTGCTTGAAGGCACGAGATGCGACCTCTGGTACATCATCTGCTGCCTGTTGTTGTTCATCATCATCATCATTGTCGATGGATGATGATAGCTCATGCTTCCTGCAACTGGGTGGTACTGACTCATTAAGTAGCCTTGATTGAAGCTTGCGCTGACATTGCTGTTGCCGCCATTGATGTTGGTTTCTGGCCTTATCCCGTTCAGATTCACGGCGGCGTTCTTCGCGTTGAAACCGGCGAGACCCATCAGCTTTCCGATCTCATTCCCCTCCCCTCCACTGTCATCACCCACCTTCTTCCCTTCTGCATTTTTCAATCTCTGATCCATCTTCCCACGTGCAACGCCGGTGAGATTCTTGTCGCAATGCATGGGGTCGTTTGTCTTGGCGGTGTCTGCATGGTCAAGGCCTTGTTGACTCGGCTCAAACTCGACCTCCTCCTCGTCTTCTCCTTCGTCTTTCTCTGCCTTTTTGGGCTTGTAAGCAGATCCCTGCTGCTTCTGGCCTTTGCTTTTGGGGATATGGTTAGGAGAGCTAGGGTTCTTGGACATGGGTTGGGACCAGAGCTCGGCGTGTTTGCCGGCTCTAACCAGCTTCTTGATCAGAGTAGCTGAATCCACACTCCCTGAAACAGTAACCTTCTGCTGCTCTTCTTCTATCTTCACATGATACACTCCTATATCACAATAATTCAGACTAACCCTTATCCAACACAGTCCTGTGAGTGTTACTTTAAGATCCAAAAAAAAAAGACAGAAAAAGCCTACCTTCGATCCTTCGAAGCAGCTTCTTGACTTTCTGGTGACACCCATCACAGTGTATGCTCACTCTCAGAGTCCATGTCTGTTAATGAACAAAAGCAAAAAAAAAAAAAAAAAGGTCAAAAACACGATGGAACCATGTAAAAAAAGGGGTGTGATAGTGAAGAGAGAAAAAAGGGTACCTGAATCTTTAGAAACTTAAAGTCTTCGTCTTTAGTCATCATTGATCTTAAATTCAAATTTAGGATCTGAGGAACGAAAAAAAAAAAGGTTGAAGCGGGGGGGGGGGGGGAAGATTTTTTGGGGTGAGAGATGCGCCTAAACGATTTTTACCATTAAAGCGGTCCACAAATCTGCATGCAAACATTTCGTCACAGATATCAAAGGAACATTTGTCACGGGGTTCGTGAATTTCAAAAATTGTTTTAAAAAAATAAAAAAATAAAAGAAAATCATTGGGCCTCTCCCTTGCTATATAAAGCCCAAAACCCTTCTCTCATTTTTTTTAATATTATAATCGATCTATTATTTTCTCTGTAATCCGACGCGCGCAAATTAGGATTCGTAATCTTAGCCCGTTAAGATAATCAATTGTTGGGCCATTGTGGCCCATTAACGGGTTTGTTGGGCCATCACCGTATTCTTAGGCGACAATCATTGGGACGGCGAAAACTACCAACGCGAAATGATTGAGGCCTTGTGGCCTCAGGAACAGACACGTGGCGCAATCCCAGAAGCCATGGGACTCACCTGGTCGCACGTGTTGTCAGCATCGCAATCTCCTTATCCAATTTCCAAACCCTCGCCCGTCTTAATTATTTGTCCTCGAACCACAGAGATATCTAAATGTTTTCATGATCATGTGTAACATTATTTCCCCCCCATGATTAATCTTCTGATTGGTTTTGTGATACGTGTTCAACCCATGCCAAATATTCCAAGGAAAACAAATATTATATAATATATATATAATATAGAATATGTTAATGTACACGTGTTTGTTTTCCCCAACATCATTTGATTTATTCGGGTAAAAGACAATTACTTCTTATCCGTGGTCAATAGCTTGGGGCATTTGTTAAACCATCTCAAGATTTAACAAAACTTTTGAGGTAGACTCTGTGCATACGGCTACGAAACGAGAACGATCGAATAATAAAATATAGCCAAAAGAATTTGCTGGTTCGTATAATCTATACATATATAACAAACGAGATATATATTATCGTATAAAATGACAGTCGGTAACCTTTATCTACGAAGGAACCCCTGTTTCTTTATTGGTCGGAAAAGGTTTCAAGCCTCTGTATTTTTTTTTTGACTGGAAATTAAAAGAAGAAAAAGTAAATGTGAACGCGTATATAAAAAATAAAAATTGCAAACATCAGTGAAAGATCTGCTTCGATCGAGTTCAGAGAGGGATCGAGTGTCAGAGCCAATAACAATAATATTCGTTGCGTCATCCTTAAATTACGTGTCAGAGATCGACGGACAGATAGAATTTTAACACACACACACATATATATATATATATATATATATATATATATTGATTGTAAAAGTCTGATATATAAATTGATCCTAAAAGTCCGGTATCATCATCCAGCGTCACGTAATCTTTCAACCGAAAGTAAAAAATATCGTATATGATATTTTTTACTACTTACTAGTGGTTGCAACTCTTATATATCTACATACATACATGTATCCAAAACATACACATCTACGTATATATGTATATTGATTAGACGATGGAGCATGCGTTGGGATTATCGTCGCTGAAGAGGGAGACGAGATTCTCGTGCGGGGGAGCGTCGGGGGGAGGCATGGCCGCCTCCACTCTCCTCACGAATCCGGCCGGAGCTTTCTTGTCGTACGCTCCCGCCACGTACGGATACGCCACCAGATTGTACGGAACGTACGGCCACATCTCCGCCTTCTTCCCAGTCCTCTGCACCCTCTTCAACACTTTCTTCCCATCCACGTACCCACTTACTGTCACTTTGCTCATCTTTCTGTTCACCTCCACCGATTTCACCCCTGTTTTATACACATATATATCCCGATTTAATTTGAGATATATTACCTATTCGATATGTATACATGTATATGTGTGTGTATATGTAGGTATATATACACCAGACCAACCTTTCATGGAGGAAACGGCGTTTTTCACTTTGCGTTCGCAGCCATCGCAGTCCATCTTCACCTTTATGTTCACCGTCTGTTCGCATGCAGGAGATTAATTAAGCACATATACATCAAACATTACTCGGAACAAAATTTAGATAAAAAATAATAGTTATATGCGAAAGGATATATCGGTACCTGCATGACTTTACGCTTCCTCCTTTTTCTGGAAACGCTGAAATAGTCAGAGAGATAATCAGAGAGAGAATCTAGGGCTCCCATTTTCTCCGCTAGCTCCGTATGATATTTTTGATATGGCTATATACCTATATATATATATATAGCCATGGATAGGGAGGTGGAAAAACAATAATATGAATTATGGATGTCTTAACTCGCAAGTTGTTGTCTAATTAAGGTTATACCAAAAGCAATAATATAATTGATTTATTTGGACCGATTTAAAATATTAAAGTGGCGTTGTCCCTCTAACAGTAATGATGCACTTCTCCAAAATATCACGCGGTGGACAACGAGGCGTTTTAGGACTACGGTCTATGGTGACCTCTTTCCACTCGATCGGGCCCTCTTTCTCTCGTATAATACGTTTGTTATTACTATTTATATTATCGCAATCAATAAAACTATATATACGTATGTTTTATATACGAATATGTGATGCGAAAAGGGTAAAATTTAGGAGCTGGAGACAGGCTGTGTTTTCTTCCGGCAAAGTGCCCATAAAGCCATCTTTTCTGGTTGGTTCGACCCAACAAGCAATTGACCGATTCTCTTATGCACAGAGATGCATGTAAAATCTTAATGGGATTATACGCACATATATATATATATATTTCGGAAGCCGGCATCTCCAAGCCATAAAACTATATATTATACTTCAAATATATGGTTATGGTTATGTTACATTAAAAAAAATAGTGGGTACATTCGATCTCTCTTATTGTCACGGACTGCCGTTTCCGCTGCCCGTCACCAATATCCCATGCGCTTGTTTAATGCGTCGGTGAAAAAATATCATATGTGATTATTTCTCATACGTACATATGTCATTTCTTATTGCGATTTAGAATTATCATTAAAAGGGTTGTTAAAATTTATAATATATATTATTTGTTTTGTGCTATGGTCAGTCAGCATACGTCTGTGCATCAACACAGCTGAGATGCAACCTGTATAATTATCACATTTAAAGATTTCCGTATTATAATTCTTACGGCAACAAAAAAAAAAACTCCATGAAAACGATTACCAACCACTAAATATACCTTGCAAATCTATCTTATTAATAATAATAATAATATTATTATTATTATTATTATTATTCCCCATAAGACATGATCATTCTTTGATTTGGGAAATCATTTTAGCTCTAAACACAGACCAGGTGGCCTCAATTATTATATATTATTATAAAAATATAAGAAATAAATAGTGATAAGGAAGGAAAAGGGAGAGAGAGAGAAAGGAACGCAAGACGAGCAGTGAACAATCTGATTCAAGAAACAGAGAAGACTAGAGAGAAGGGTGGGGGCCCACAGACATCAATCAGCTACAATTGGAATTAAAATCCCGTCCACGTCAGCATTATCTAATGTTTGCTATTTATTATATAGTGTGTCGATATATTTTCGTATTGTCATTTATGTTGGTTCAGTCTTAGTCATCTCGGATCACAGTATCTCATTCTTGTAACCTTTACTAATTTTTAGAAATGAAAAAAAAATAAGTCTGATCCGCATAATTATTATTAGGGATAATCGCATAAAAATACCCGAACTTTTACAAAAATCTCATATAAATACCTAAACTATAAAAATGTCATATAAATACCTGAACTTTTCATAATTCCGACATAAATATCCAGACTTTTAATTTTTTTTCCAAATCAAACATCCGTCCGTTAACAGCATCAATTTCAATCCAAAAAAGTAATAAGTCAGAAAAAAAAATGATGAGTCAGCATTAAATATTTTATATGCTGATGACTCAGTATTAAACATCCAAATATTTTATATGCACTTAGTATTTATTTTTTAAATTATTATAAAAATCTATACATTTTAAATAAAAAGTATATTAAAATACATTTAAAAAGATTTAAATTTAAAACTATAAAAATTAAAATTAAAATTTTAATATAAATATAAAACTTAAAAAGATTTAAATTTTGATTTTTTATAATATTTATAAAATTTTTAAATATTACAAAGAAATGAATTGATATAGATATTTAATTTAAATATGAAAATATTTATATAAATTTTATATCTAAAAATATTTACAATTAGTAAAATGTATTTAATTTTAAATACCCGTTTATAAATTAATTAATCTTTATCCAATTATAAATTATGTATTTTTGAATTTTGTTGAAAGTTTATGTGATTTAATTTTTGTTAAAATCATTTCTATTTTTATTCCAATTTAAATTTAGTTTAATTTAAAAATAAAATTTGATCTTTCTTAAATAATAAATTAAAATACAATAATATTTTATTGAAATTAATTATTTTCAATTTTATATATCCAAAAAATTATTTAACGCTATTATTTAATGTCTACAATAAAAACAAATCATTACTTAATGGATAAACTTTCAACAAAATACATAATTTATAATTGTAAAAAATTAATTAATTTATAAAAGGGTATTTAATATTAAATACATTTTACTAATTGTAAATATTTTTAGATATAGAATCTATATAAATATTTTCATATCTAAATTTAATATCTATATCAATTTATTTCTTTGTAATATTTAAATTTTTTATAAATATTATAAAAAAATTAAAATTAAATTTTTTTAAGTTTTATATTTATATTAAGATTTAAATTTAAACTTTTTTATAGTTTTAAATTTAAATATTTTTAAATGTATTTTAATATATTTTTTTATTTAAAATGTATAGATTTTTATAACAATTTAAAAAATAAATACTAAGTGTATATAAAATATTTGGATGTTTAATGCTGAGTCATCAGCATATAAAATATTTAATGCTAACTCATCCATTTTTCTGCTGACTCATTATTTTTTTGGATTGAAATTGACGCTGTTAACGGACGGATGTTTGATTTGGAAAAAAAATTAAAAGTCTGAGTATTTATGTGGGAGTTGTGAAAAGTTCAGGTATTTATATGACAATTATATAGTTTTGATATTTATGTGGGATTTTTGTAAAAGTTCGGATATTTTTATGCGATTACCCCTTATTATTATAAACTTGTATATTATTGTAAAAGGTGTCTGACAAAAAATGGAGATATTGTCGGGGGCTGTGACTTGATGACCGTATTTCATAACACAACACCCATGTTATTATTATTATTTTTTTAAATTCATGTTTAGTATTTCTCTATTTAAAATTATAAAACCTTAGTTTTTAACAGTCAAGTTGTCAACCAATCGGGCTCTGTCTTTACTGTATTATTTAGTGATCGATTTTTTCTTTCTCGTATTTTTTTTTTTTGGTTTTGGAAATTTTATTTCGAATGTTTAAAAAAAAACATTTTTCGATATAGCGAAACATAAGGAGCTATTGATGAATATTAAATTCATTTCCATGATCAAGGGAATATAAGCGTTGATCATGGATATCTTGTGCAAGTCCACATCCCCCGATTATAAAAAAAATTGTCTTTATAAATTCATTGATAGTGGAAATCCGTGACACTAGGTGCACCAATAGACATCAAAAGCGGCGGTGCATATTATTTTATAAATAGGTTAAAATCTCCTTGAAAAGTTATTTCAAAAAGGGAAAAACTTTCCAAAAACTTTCTCATTATCTCGACATGTTAATAATTATTAATTTCCTCATGAACCATGTACGTCTTATGACTCATGGTATATATGCGAGTATTTATCTTGAACCGTGAGACAACATTCACGTGAAAATGAAATATTACAGCGAGATATAGTAGGAACTAATATCCACGAATAGCCTATTGCCACGTGTACATTATTGTGGTTTTAAATTATAATTTTTTGAGCAACAAGTTAATTATTAACAACGGGTTTCGGCAGATTAGGTTGGAGTTTTGGTAAACGTCCCTTTTACCCCTCCGCTTTATATTTACGATTTGGTGGTGCAAGAACTTATTACGACGACGAATTATTAATAATTTAATAGTAACCAAACACGATACGATAGCTAAATAAATATAAAATAAAGCCTCGTCCTATATAAGTAAATTATTCTGTTTATGATTTTTTAAAAACTTTATAAACCAAGGCCTTCAACGTTCTGCATGCATTTCCTGCATGCATAACACAATTCTGCATTACGTAATCACATCAGCAATTCAAACTGTTAACGATCGAATGATTCCTAAAGTCAATGATTTGATTTATCGATTAAATATATTAGACAATCTAAGTTTATAAATGATGCACGTGGAAGAAATAATTACAAAAAATATCATTTAGAATTTATTAAAAATGAAAAATAGTATTTTATTATTTTTAGAATAAAGAATTTACTTTTTTTAAAATAAAAAAAAACTTTTGATTTTTCTTATAAATTATAAAAAATAACTCTAATATTGATTAAAATATTATAAAAATGGGTTTAAACTAATTACAAAATCTCAATTAGGATATCCAATGTCTAGAAACACGATATCGTATTTATGAAAATTTTGGATATAGATTCGGAAACCGTAGACTTTTTTTAAAAACAAAATATTTAGCCCTAAATCAGAGTTAAAAATACCTAGCCGTTTTTGTCATTTCTTTAGTCAAAACATTGGAAATCTAACACACACGTTAAGGTATATCCACCATTTTCTATTTCCAAAACCCACTTGGTGAAGAATTCTTTTCTTAGATCCATCTGTTTATCACATTTCCAGGTTCGTTTTCTTCCTTGCTTCTGGATCAAGATTAGCATTGGAACCATTCCAAGAACCAATATTTTATTACAAAAAGTTGTCGCAGAAGACAGAGATTCGAAACAGAGTTTGTAAGGAGAAAGCGATCACTTTCTTACCCCTGCATGTGAAGCCATGCAATGTGCTCAAACTATACCCAATATACATACAAAGACATTAATTACTCATACATACATACATACATACGCCATCTCCTTCTGATTATTCGTTAGTTTCTTCTTCAAAAAACCAATGCATCATTTCCGTTTTCGCCTCCCTTCTTTCTTATCCTCCGATCCTCCCTCTCGTCGTCCTCCTCGTCCTCCTTTCCGCCCTGCAGGCGTTGCTCGGCCATCCCCTAAGGCTTCTTCGTCGGCTGAAAGGAGTGAAAGTTCATGGGCGGGAGCTTCCACGAGCCAGCATGTTTCTACGTCGAGGAGATCGAGAGTCGAATCCCGAACAAAGAACGAAAACGCTGGAGAGAACGGTAAAAGCACAGACGAAGGTCAAGGGCAACAGAAGAAGAAACTTGTGATCCAAGCAAGGAAAGCTGTTCATGAGGGTAGAGAAGATGCCACTGAGAGCAGAATCATAAGGCCTGTTTCCGCGGCAATGGAGCACGTAACGGCGATAGATCATACGGAGACGAAAACGCAGAAAGCCGAGAGATCGGATAACGATCCGAAATCAACAAACTTACCAATCCATGCAAGTGGAGAGGGCTCTTCCTCCATGAGCAGAAAGATCAAACAAGACATCAAAGACGGTATCAGCAAGCTAGCTTACCCTGGTAACGACGAGAAAGCCGTGACAGTGGTGACTTTATCAGGCGAAAACAAAGGAGCAACGATGCAGATAGCTTCAGACATGGCTAAATCAGACAGTGCAGTCCACATTCGCCGCGGATACAGAAGCAATCCAGACGAAAGCCCTTACACGACCTCAACAGATGACGAACAAGGACGGAAACACCCAAAAGAACAAGAAGAAGAAGAATCTCTTGTTAAGGCATATGTCAACTGCAACGCACAGAGCATCAACAACTCGATCGTGTTCCAAAGCTCTGTTGCAGAAAATGACCCAGGAGCTCATGTGAACTTACGAATCGACGAAGCTAAGAAGGCAAGTGGGTCGCCGGAGAAGAAGCCGACACCTCCGCCGCCGCCGCAACCGGAGAAGAAGCCGGTGAATGAGCCGAGGGTGAGGAGAAGATGTCTGAGAGGGCTTTTGGCCGAATCGACCGAGTCGGAGACAGAGAATCCTCTGAAGCCTCGGCGGCATGGTTGCAGATTCAGGTGCAAAGGCAAAGACAATGGCTCTGAGATTTTCTGAAGAATCTGAGACGATGATTTGTGTACGTACTAATAATTTCATTTTGTGATTTAAATTGTGATTTAATGTAATATTGAATTTATGCTGTGATATTAAAAAACTGTTCACGACTTTTCATATGAGCACTAAGCAATGACATCACAATCATGTTAGTTTCCTTTTTCAATCAAAATATTTATACGATATCTTCAAATATCAGAATTTATAATATCGAGTATAATAATAAAAATAGATCAATGTTTTCTAAAATTTGTATTATTTTTTAAAAGCCAAAAAACGTTATCGCAACATCTCCGGATGGAATCAAATCTAATATACAAATATTCTCTCTTTTTCCATTGGGCCTACAAATAAACCAATCAGGACAAGATTATCGGGCTTTTGTCTTATTGAGCCCAATTCAGCCCATGTTGTGGGGTACCATTTTTGTCAATGATATTTTTTTGCGCTTCTCAACGCGAGCGATTGCGAATATAACATTTATATATTTATAATTTCTCAATAATTTCTGAAACAGAACGATTCTTTTGATATAAAAAAACACTAACTAAAAGATAGACAGACACCTTTGCAAGGAATCAGCAGACAGCAATGGCGGCTACGGCTACTTCAGCGGCGACATTGTGTGATACAACACCGCCTCAACCTGTAAAACACTAAACAAACGCATTGGGCGGCGCTTGCTCCGGAATCTGCCCACGAAAATACGCAAAGAAGAACGACGAAAACGAGAATACGTGTATCAGTTTCGGACTAAAGGAAATGTGATGGATATCGGGGGGAAAGTTTCGTCAAGTTTTTGAGCATTTTACCTCTCCAGGGTTCCATTTCGGTTTTAGCCAGATGCTGTTGTCACCTGAAGCAGCTTCTCCTTGTTGGTTCATTCTGAATAGATTCCGCAAAAGATTATACATTAATGTGAAAGAAAGCTGAATTAGAAGAAGCAAAGCCTTATCGTTTCTATGATCCATCTTACTTTCTTTATCGTCCGTTCACATTCTGAGAGTGCTGAAAACGTAAAAGGGGAGCTTACCCGGAAGAGTTCTTCATCGTGTCTGCCTCGGGAGAAGCGTTAGGGATGCTGAAGTTGAGTGATGTCTGGTTCTGGGACATGTTGAAAGAGGGAGTTCCGGTTACTGAAGCAGAGAATGGACTGCTTTGGGGAGTGCTGGGAGTTATGAAGGCCGCTGGATTCGATGCGAAAGGGCTTCCGGGCGTTGGATTGTTGAGCTGGAAACCCGAAGGACCTGTTTCAATTTTTGTTTTACAAAAAAAAGTTACTGAAGCTTGCAGGAATGAGCAAGATGTGTATCGGTTTAGAGTGAGCCGTTAAATTTCAACAATATTTACCTGAGGGAACAGATTGTGGAGGGTTCATATTGAAAGGATCTGAAGGCTGATTAAAGCTAGCAAAGGAACTCGGAGGCGGCCCGGGCGAACTCTGTGGAGGAAAAGCTGGCCTGAGAAAAATTTAGAACCGAAAATAAACCGTCAAAGCGAAATGATGATTGCCTAGAACTAAAATCGAGTAATATAGGGTTAACTATGAGGTATGAGGATCAGAATACCTCGAGAACCGAGGGGGAATACTGAAAGTCCAGAAGAGTTAATACCTGATCCCAGAGCTGGTACCATGGAATCCACTCTGTTGAGCAAAGCCCGGAAACGCTGAAGGGGCATTGATCTGACCAGTTGGTGGGAACATACTTGGAGAGGTTGCAAAACCCGTGTTTTGACTGGGAATACCGGTGCTTCCATGGCCTCTGTATGGACTCCGGAGAAAATTCTCAAACTCGGCTAACTTGGAATTAACCATATTCCTCTCCCTCTCGACCTTTAACGCATCATCAAGTCAACAAAGAAAAAGAATTGCCTGTGTAAGTTTAAAGAGTGAAATGGATTGGAAGATTATCTCACAATTAACTGCAGACTCGATCCACGTTTAGCTTCATCGTACGATGTTGCCCGCAGCTCTTCATAGCTGGTATCACCGACAACATCACAAGGCAAACTAGAAAAAAAAGAGGAAGATACCGGGATTAGAAACATAAGGATGGCCAACTAAACGAGATATATCAACAGGTTTGTTAGGGAGAAAGGTAATACCATCTCCAGTGGCTGTAACATGTGAGCTTCCACAAGGGCTTCTCGTTCTTAAAATCTTCGTCAATTATCCGCTTACAAGCAGCAGGATCTGTACATCTTTAACCATAAACAAGACACAAAGGTGAAAATTTTCTAAACACAGAAGCTAGATGGATGAATGATAACAAGGGTAAGCAAACATAAAAAAACATACTTATGATCCGCCTGCTGTGGCTTATCGCCAGTCTGGTGTGAAGAAGCACCACCCCCGGGTATAGGAGAAAACCGTGACCATGTGTTGGACTGAAATACAAAAAAAACATCATGCGACAATTAGTTCCCTTGAATCCCTTCAAGAATAAGCATATCATGAGAACAATCAACTGATGTATTTCTGAGGCCAAAACCAACAAAAGAAGCCATATGGGGAGCGAAAACGAACCTTTAATTGATTCGGTTTGTTAGATCCCGCATGCTGAGAGCCGCCCTGGACACCAAATCCAAAAGGGTTGGGCTTTTGTTGCTGTTGCTGAGCTCCGGTTTGAGAACCGAACCCAAAGGGATTTGTCTTCGGTTGTTGTTGTTGTTGTTGTTGTTGTTGTGGGCTAGAATGAAGAAATTTACACCTTGCCCCATATTGACAACTGCAAAGAACCACAACACCAAACCAAGAATGCAGAAAATAAGATTCAAATCTTTGTGCCCACACACACACACACAGAGTCACAGAGTTCAATTACGAACAAAATTCCTCCGCGAATTTAGAACATTCCACAGCAAAATCTACGATTTGTCAATATAAATTACATAAATATCACATCGATTGTGCAAGATTTCTTAAAGATTCGTACTTAACCCGAGATTTACAACAACAATCTAAATTTCTGCAGTAGAAATAGATTAAAAGCTCTGTAGAATGATACAACGTAATCGATTTGAGTATCAAAGAAGAAAGCAAGCAAAAAGAAGACGAGCAATAAAGTACCTCCCGCGCTGAAAGTTTCTGCACAGTTCCCTCCTCATATTCGCAACTCAAATCTCTACGCGCCTACATATATATATATATATATAGATGATTATGTATGTATGAATTGCTTTATTTTTCTCGGAAAATTCCTCAGAGAAAGAAAACATTTTTGTCGAAGCCCGACCGACTCTGAAGAAATGCAGCAAAACAAGGTTTCTGAGTAAATGACATATTTACCCTCATTAAGTGAGCCCTCGGCCCAAATTTCTTTTTGTACTTTCACCATTCGGCCCAAAGTTCAAATCAATTTCTTTTAGGGTATAAAAGTAAATTTGCTAACCCTTCGTTCGAATTCCCCCGACGGCTGGCGGCTTCCGAAGCCTCTGAGCGAGTGAGAGTCTTTCAAGGTGGGGACGAGTCGGTTTGGGCCGTGGGCTTTGGCCCAATTTCATGAGGGGAGGTGTGATTAGGGTTTATATATATAAGAATTAAATGTTTTTAAGGTATTTATGGAAAAAAAAGAGCTATGCACACCGAATTAGAAATTTTCAACCAAATCGTATGCATCTTAGAGCCTTACCATTGGAACATTACAGATAATTATTCAAAATTAAAATTATCTTAGGATATTTTATTTTCCAAATAAGCAAGATTATCAACCCTTTCTAACGAGTGACACAATTATGTTTCCATATCTTGGCCTCCTCTCATAGAAGTAATCGCCAACGATCTCTCCGTACCTCCGAAACAATTCGTCCATCACGTTTTCCCCGAAATGAGATTCCAGCATCGATTCAACCACGGCTCGGATCGTGTTGGCTACCCGTAGTCCCCTAGAAATCGCTTCGGATTTGGATTTAACGTCATAACTCTTTTCGCCGAGACAACCTTCCCAATCGATCTCCACTGTCTCGAGGCGATCTACCCCAAAAGAACCCTCTGCCTCTATCGCCACTGTCACCTCTCCGGAGCACGGAGCGTAGTAAGGAGCGTTGAAAGTATCGATCTTTTCCTCTTCGATGATACCCTGCCATCATGATCACATTGATTATGTGACATTGGAAAATGTTTTACGAGTATGTATGTATGTATATTGCTTTATTAGAATGTTGTTTTTTTTTTAACCTCTTTGGCCATATCCATGAGGGCTTGAGCTAGGAGTTCCCATTGATAGCCGCTCTCTTCGGTGGTCGGATCAGAAGAGTTTCTCCCGATGAACGATAACACCATCCGACCTCCCGGGACTAACTCTTCCGAACGCGATCGAAGAAATTCCGAGAAATCCTTGTGGAATTGAAAAGCGTAGGCCTTCAATACACTTTGGGGGCTCGTCTTTGATATGTAAATCTTCCCTTTATTTGTTACAGTCGCTATACCATTTTCGTTCTCTAGATCGATTGGAACCTGCAATTAATATAACAATGCAGACTAAACGAATTAATATATATATATTTATCGTATTTATATTATGATGATGTTGGCGTCTTGTATGATGATCATCTCTTTAAACACAGTGTGATTTTCTAGAGAGAGGAAATATGATATCTAATGAATTTTTAATGGGGTGATTTTTAGCTTTTTATACTGAAAAATAAATTAATTTACACTTATGGAAGCTCGAAATCCATATTCGTCAGAAAAAAAAATCCAAACCAAAAAGCCGCCAAACAAATGGGATCCAGAAATGAAATAAACGTCGAGATGGGGCTGCAAATATTGGACCGACAATTTCGATCCTTTTAGGGTTAAAGCATGCACCCGTGACAACAGCTAGACGCGTCTGTGAATGAGCATATTGAAAATGTTTCGTCTTGTTATCTGAAAAAAATGCGCACGCAGAGTACCAAACATTATTGACTTTGCCATAAATATTATGCGTTATGCTAACGCGAAATATGAACCGCAACCTGGGACGAGAGAGATTCTGTCGGACGCTTTTTGTTGGCTGAACAATAGATAAGTCGAATGTGGTAATTGTCACGGTATTTTTTTGTGTAAAAAATATATAAAATTTTCGAAAATAATCCCCCAACCACTTATACCAAGCGGATCAAATAAATCTGACAATTAAATCAAATTCCTTTCCCGAGTAAAGATATATCGCTTTAACATGTGGCCCAGATGGAATATTTATCAGCCACCGGAATTAATTGTCGTAAGATATTGAAATTAAAATTTTTTGAAAGTTATAGATTAGCGTAGAACCAATAATTTTCGATATCCATGTAATAAAACAAAAACGACATCATATTCATTTTTTTTGCTCTAAGTCGGCCATTTCAACGTTCACCGATGTTGCCCTAAAAATCCTGATCAGACCAAATTCCATAATATCTATAGAGATATATTTATACAAGAGTGTTGGGGTTAAATATGGTAAATTAACATCTACCAACGCTGTAAAAGGGAAAATTAACAGCATCCAAATCAATTATTACTTGTATAATAAATAGAAAGTGAAATTTCACCTGAGATAACCAATGAAGACTGGACGAAGAGTGGACGAAGTGGAGGCTTCGACGAGGGAACAATCGGCCGTAGAAGGAACCAGCGACGGCGGAGACGAAACACTGTCTGAAACCGGAACCCTTTTCCCTCTCGAGCTTGTCGTGAAACTCCGACAACGATGCGAAAATGTAGTTGAAGTCATTGGTGGGAAGATCGTTGAGGGCGACGCTGAGTTCGGGGATCGGACGATTGGCATCGCGACACGTGGCGTGGATGGCGTCGATGATGTTCCACGCCGATAGAAGGCAGTTCGGACCGGAGGAGCAGCCTAGGTCGGCTATTCCCATGCTCTCCATGACAGTGTTGTTCATCAGCTTTATCAAGGCCTCTTCCGTTATTGATTTCGCAATTGAGATTATGTTGCTCTGCAATGCATATTGAAGATTTATAAACCAGTACTGTATTATATCAGTATATATATGTAGTATATGCATAATTGTATATATACATATGTAAGCTTTGATGGAAGGAAGAAGAGATCATTAATTACCTGAACGGTTGAGTTCTTGGCATAACTTGTTTCACCATTTCCTCGGTTCATATGGAGAACTTGCATCACTTCCATGGCTTCTCTCTCTCTCTCTCTATATATATATATATATCTGTGTATGTGTGTGTGTGTGTGTGTGAAGATGAGAAAGTGTTGGCGGGTCAATATATAGTCGAGGGGAAACGAAGAGAGAGAGAGCATCAAACACAAATATGTGGATGTGGCCAAAGCTATCATCCTTAGATGGATAGTTTTGCTGTCCTTTCGTCACGTTTGAATTATAATGTCCTTTCTTTTACACTTAACCTCACATTATTAATAATGTAGATAAGATGGATATTATTTTCACATCGAGTTCATGGCTTCAATTCTACAAGTGTGGCGAGAACATGGCTTCAATTCCACCTGTGGCGAGAACGAGATACACAATTAATTACTTGACTAAATACTGACTTCGGATTCAAGAGGATTAAATAGGCCGAAGACGAAACTACTGATTATAAAAAAAAGATGGGATATTATTCTGAATCCGGTTTAGTTAGGTTAGAGCAGGACCAGACCGGTTTCTATCTATTTGGTTGATCTTTTGGCAAATTTCTAACACACAATGTAATTAGACATCAAATTACTTTTATCCAACAAGACCAAAATTACGATAATATATTTCATATTCATAAGGCTGAGTTTATAGGTCTGACATTTGAGAAATGTATCATATAGGATGGGATAAATAAAGTGAACAAATTGAAAACCAACATACAACAATCAAAATACGAAATCTTAGAGGTAAAAGCAAAAGGTTAAATTTATAAAACTTAAAATTAACGTCTGATATTTTTATTATATTATAAACATGATATAGTAATTTTTCGATACCATATATATATATATATATATATTTATATATAAAAGATTGAGACAGAGACGGCCAATTTTGGACCTACAACCTGTGATCATGAGACGTCAACAATTATACTATTTTTAAATGCTAAACTAATAAAATATTATTTAGCCGCCGAATCCACTTTTATAGTTGTATCAATGTTTCGATGCATATTATGTAAATGATCGAATCCGAAGAATATTAATTAAAATCCTACTCAAATATTCGAGATTTGATTTGAGTTGTAAAAAAAATAATATAATTTTAAATGACAATTATGGAACTGTTGATCATAATTCACAGTAAACTTATACAGTTCAGAAATGTAATTTTTTTTTAATCTCTCACCATCACAATTATTTCAAATCTTTAAGCGTTATATTATAACAATATCGATTTAATTAGTTTATCAATGTTTATATTTTTTTGTCATATCATTTTTTATTGTTTCGCTGTCTTTTAGATACCTCTATATAAATTCTATCTGTATAAAAAAAAATAACCGAACCAAAAATTAATTATCCATCCTTATCTTAAAAAAAAAGAAGAAGGAAAAGAAACATGAAATTCACATTGCACTAAACTATGTATGAGATTGACCATACATGAGAATACTCTTAAAGTCTTTTCAGATATAAATATATAATGGTCCCATCATTAGACAAAGTATTTCCACACGATGGAAATACATTTTGGAATAATCTATTTCAAACATTTTTATTTTATAAAAAAAAAAACATTTTTTTAAATGATGGGTGTGAAAAGATATGTATATTTTTAAACATTCTATATATGTGAGCTTAATGCAAAATGTTCATAATTAATAAACTTATACGTTTAATTTCTAAATACAATAAAAAGGTTACTTAAAAAAACAAATTACTAGCGAGGGGAAGACGAAAACTCTACGTTATTTATTTCTACTATAGAAATAAACACACGCACTGAATAGTATATGTTTGTGGTTCGCATAATATGCCTCGTAAAAATTGTTAATCAGGTACAACTAATTGCGTAGAAATAAAATTAATTTTGAAAATTCTAGCATCTATATATCTTTAATTATAATTAAAACCACGTGCTTGATTGGTTCCTTACGTGTCTATTTTGAAACCTTAAATGTCTCCATCATCAAATATTAGTGGAAGGCACACTGTGTAACATTTGTTAATCAGGTACAACTAATCACGTATAATAAAAATTAATTTTGAAAAACCTAACATTTATATACCTTTATAATTAAAACCACGTGCTTGGTTCCTAGTCACGTGCGGCTATATGCTTAATTTTTATCGCGTCTATTTTGAAACCTTCAATGTCTCCATCACCAAATGTTAGTCGAGGCTACTATATATATCGCACTCTTACAAAAATAATTATTTCAATTTCTATAAAATGCAATATTATTCCTGTATTAAAGTAACGTTTTTATAAACACAATGTAAATACATTTTTGAATAATCTATTTTACACATTTTCGAAAATGACGGGTACGAAGTATGCGTAAAATTTTACACATTTTCTAATTAATACGAAAGCTTAATGCAAAATGCTTATAATTAATTAATAAACCTACAAGCCTTCTAAATACAGCAACGATTAGGGTTATTTAACAAAGTCAATTTCATTGAATAAAACAAATGACTAGTGAGGGGGAGATGAAAACTCTACATAATTTATTTCTATTGTTTCTTCTACAGAAATAAATTCACGCATTTAATACAATTTCGTATGCTTTTGCGATTTAAATTTGGACAGACCTTTTAGTGCACATCGTACACAAGGGTCACCTTCACAAGCTTTAGTTAGTTCACACGATGAGCATATGTTGTTTGTAATTATTCGTTCTCTTAGAGATAAAGGCCGGCATAATGTCCTACACACAAAAAAAAAAATAGTGAAAAATCTAAAAAAAACTCGAAAAAGTTCGATTTTCAAAATTAATTTTTTATTTTTGGAGGCAGTTCACGACGGACTCTAATTTTTTAATCACATTTTCAATATAATCTATCTTGATTCAGAGTTAGTAAAATGTGATCGTTTTTTCTATATTTTTATATCTTTATCTTCATTTAGTCTAAACCCTAAATTCTAAATCCTATTTATCGAGTTCTTGAATCTTGTATGATTTGATATCTTCGTATTCATATTTTTCATATCCCTGCTTCAACAGCTATTTTTTTTTTTATTAATTTAGACTAATTAACCACACAAAGTCACTGAAATGTCGTCTTTATAATTTATTCATTTAATTGGCTATTTTTTTTTTCCTATGTATTCACGGATGGATGTTCTATTCGTACAAAAATAGTTCACGTTTGGGACTTCTCAAGCGGCAAAAGCTTTCACGTGAGTAATCTTTTGCGCATTCTTACTCTGACCCCTTTGGTTTTTTTCATTTGGCAATTTTTTGTTTAAATATTTTTCAGTTTTTATTAATAATATATATGTTTAGTTTAAAAAATCATGATTGCAGACTTTTATTTTTCGATTTTGAATCATGATTTCAGTTTAGATTTTTTCATTGGCCTAATTTTCGCAGTCTATTTGAAAGGTATATGTGAAAGTCTTTTCATTTTCTCTCACAACATTTTTTCTTCCAACAATGTGGACCGTTTTTGGTCCCTATTTTTTTATTCACCGTTAAACTCCAAATTACGTTTTATTTATAATGACATTTCTATTTATAGTCTCTTGAAGTGACGCGGAATTATTCTGAAACTAATTTCAACCAATGAGAATTTCGCATATTTTAAATACGTGCGGAATCTGGAAGCCACGCATATCAAGGAACGAATGTCTCTCTCGCCACTGCACAAAATAAATAACGTAAAAAATATTTAATTTACAATGCGAAAGAATGGAAATATGCCAAAATGATGGAAGAAGAAGACGCATACATCCATATACATAACATACACACATGTATATATATATATATATATGTAATTTTTTATTTATTATTATTAAGTTATTATTTTTATTATATTCTATAAAAAAAAGGTGTCAACGAAGGATAAAGGACTAAAAAACAGATGCAATTATTGGACATTGGTAGGGGTCAATTACGTTGACGGCACAGAGAATCGGAGACGTTCGTTACTCTTATTTATCACTTACATAAATAAATATAAATAAATATAAATAAATAAATAAAAACGCAAAACATGTTGTTCATGTGATTCATTATTTTATTTTATTGGCCCATACTTGCAATAATAACGTTGGATTTTTGCTTTTTTGCCAACACAAAAATCCAACTAAATAACCTCTTAGTTTGATCATGCCATGCAATAACTAGGATGGATTTTATAAGAATTTATTTTATTTTTTATTATAAGGATGCATTTTTAAACTATTTATTTATATTTGAATATCTAGTTTTGTTTTGACTGATTAAATATGAAACCAAATAGTAATCTATTAGAACAAAATAGAAAGGAAAATTAATAAAAAAAAACTTAAAAAAAACTATTCCAATTTCCAACTATCGTAATAGTATACAATTTTTCCATTTTTCTAAAATTGCAATTAAAATATCACAAGTTTAGTTCGTTTTCGATTTTTTTACAAAACAAAATTAAAAAAGAAAAAGAACAGAAAAAGACAGAGATTTACCAGTTTAGAGCAAACCAAGTTTCGTACCCTAAGTCGAAAGATATAGTTTGAACTTTGAATAGTTGAGATTTTACATTTTGCTTTAATCATTTATTAATTAATAATATAGAATTAAGCATAAGAAACGTGTTTAATCATAGATTAACAAGTAATATTATATTTACACACACACAACATAGAATCATCGTCACTTAGACAACAACGAGTGTAGAAGGAGAGAAGCAATTTCGTGTTTCTTCCGCGCTTTGTTCAGAGCACCCGACAACGGCTTCTTCCGTTATGTACAAAATAGTACTTGCTGTCTTGAACCTAATCAAAGCCAAAAAAACACAAACGTTGAAATGTGTCCAAACCGTGAAATCTTGCATTGGGAAAACGGTTTCATTTCGTCCGAAAAATCGAAACGAGAGCCCCTCGGTTTCGTACCTTTCACGTATATTTCCTCAAGTTTCGTTTCGCCCGGAACTGTCCAAGCTTGTCTCTCCACTCGGCTGCAAATTCAAGGTGTCAAGAAAGATACTGATCTCAGAGCAAAAAGGCAAGAACACCCAGTAACTTGTTCATACAAAAGCTGATGATGCAATAGGCAAATGCTTTCTCTGTTTATTACATCAGTGAAATGTATACAAAACCCTAGGTTAAACACTGAATATAATTGCAGTAATACCCTTGTGATATAATAGCCAGTGTCAATATGAGAACCAGATTCACTGACTTCAACTGCTAGGAAGTGGCGTTGTCAAACCAGGAAAAATTCCTAATGAGGATGGACCGAAGCTGTTAAGTATATGCCCGACAAATGAATTCTATCGTTTAGCGAAAGGGGGTATTATTTCATCAGGGGAATGACCCGGAAAAAATGCATCTGAAACGAGATTTGAGTGGGTTGATGGTACTAAGAGCTTACCAGCTTCATCGTACCGCTCTTGATCAACAGCTTGCATCATGTTACTCAAAAGATTAAACTCTTTTGTATCAAGACAGGGCTGCGAGCTAGGACTGCACATGAACGAACAATGACAAGTTACAATATTCACTTCTTTCATCAAACAAGCATATCTAAAAAGATCGATTTCAAGCTTCAGTCAGAGAATTACCGGTCTAATTCAGTAAATAATAACCCATCTGAAGCAGGTGTGTGTGTAAATAGCTTTCTCGACTTAATTACCCTCATCCCATCACCGTATGCTAGGTACTTGTTGACTTGGATAGGTACCTACGAAGTAGGAGATACTATGATCGCCCACCCGATGATATTTTTAGTAAGAAAGAACCGTATGATCCATAAGCATACCTTGCATCTCACGGCTATATTAATCGCATCTGAAGGCCGAAGGTCAAAGCTGATGCAATCAGATGCATTACCCACCTGAAACATTATTACCGGAAACCGTAAACTGGATAGTTAAGTTTTACAAAAAATTTTCCAAACCAAATGGAGCATGAAAATGGCTGTAGTAGGGAGCAGTTACATGCCTTTGAAAGGTATAACTGAGCAAAGTATGCCTCGTGAACTCTTTTGGTGATTCTTACAAGTCTCACCTGCAGAAGAGTTTGACAATTTTTCATGAATAATATCTTGCAGAACGGAAGCTTCGAGAGAGAGAGAGAGAGAGAGAGAATACAGAAAATGGGACAGAAACAGAAAGAAACTAAAAGGCATACTTCGTAACCCATCTTGTCAACCATCTCCTTCACCACTTGATACATAGTGGGTCTTGCCTGCAATCAGCAGCCAAAAATGCACGAACTCTCCCTTCGTCACTTTTACAGATGCAAAAAAAAAAGTGGAGAATACAGAGTGAGGAATGAAATCATACGATTTGGACATTCGTCAATGCTGCCATAAGCAATACACTTGGCATCTCCACTGCAATTACATTCATGAGAAGGAACTCAGCACAAAGGAATAATGTTGCTCAGGTATTATACCAGATGGGTATGGATACAAGGACACATACAAACGATAATCGGAAGGAGAAGACCGGTTCCATCTTCCATTTTCAAAACGATTGCAGGGTGTGGAGCATAATCTGGTAGATGATCTCCTTGAGGATTGTTATGGACACAACGCAGGTACCTTCCATCCCTCATCTTCACCAGGAAACCATCTGCTCCACTCCGTACCTCAACTACACATAAAACCCACATAATACATCATTCCGAGCAGTAGATAATTATCAAGCGAGCAAGTTTATTAACCAACTTACCGGCTTCCACCACACTGGAGTTAACATAGTCCTCATCATTCTCGTTGAAATTCTCAGCAGTGCTCCCGGTACCGTCGGAATGTGAACTGAAAACACATTGTATACTCTTGCACCTAAACCTTAGATGAACCGAAGCAGCCTGAATCTTGATACTCTTTGGAGGACTACCCAAGAAACGGCTTCTAGGTGGCCTAGCCTTCGAGCCATTGTAGCTGACAAGTGAAACCAATTGCCCTATTAACCAACTTACCGGCTTCCACCACACTGGAGTTAACATAGTCCTCATCATTCTCGTTGAAATTCTCAGCAGTGCTCCCGGTACCGTCGGAATGTGAACTGAAAACACATTGTATACTCTTGCACCTAAACCTTAGATGAACCGAAGCAGCCTGAATCTTGATACTCTTTGGAGGACTACCCAAGAAACGGCTTCTAGGTGGCCTAGCTTGGGAGCCATTGTAGCTGACAAGTGAACCCAATTGCCGGGGACGAACTGCAGGGAAAACGACCGGTGCCTGAAGTGACCTCATCTTCTTTCCTTCAATGCACAAGTAAAACTTTAGTTCGCGTTGACAACGAAACATCTCGGAAACTTCGGTTTAAGTACACATTATATGCTCGAATCTGTTGTATTGTTCCAACAAAATCATAAGTTTCGGTTTCAGAAACCTTGTAGTATCCAACATTACCACACCCTTGATTCCAAAATTCTATTTTCCGGAGTGCAGTTTTAGATCAGAGCTATACCCACGTATATATATATATATATATATATATAATATAAGAATACACGCATATATGAAAGCGCATAAACATGCTGAAATTCAGCTACTACGATATGATCATGAAAAATCACTGATCCATAACAAGCATAACTAAAACCCCAAAACCACTCCCACAGAGCCAAAAAATCAAAGGATCGACAGACTTTTCAATCAAACGAGTAAATTTACCAAGAACTCAGAAATCTATTCAGCCTGATGATGATAAAAGAAACAGAGCTGATTTTACCTACGATTTCGCGAGAAAAGACACTGATTTTCCCGGAAAAATCAGATTCGGGGAGCGACAGATCAGACGATACGAATTGGGTTATGGCAACCAGTGGAATCTGAGAAAGCAAACTTGACCAGATTCGATCAACGAAGTTCCTAAGAACGTAACGAGAGAGAGAATCAAAGAGAAGGCCAAGGCAGAAGAAGAGGATAATGAGATCCTTCACTTGACGGATCGACGGCGAGAGAGAATCTCTGTCGCTTTATCGGCCGATGTTTATCAATTGTCGATTTTACCCTTTTCCATTTTAGTTGTATTTAGTAGTACCATTTATTCTGATTTAATATTTTCTCACTTTACTCTAATTTATTAAAATATATAATAGCTATAACCTAACACTAAATATAACAATGTTTATTAAATCCTAAACCCTAAACCTAATATACCATCCAACATATTTGAAAATTTTGAATCTCGATAATTATCGCATTATTTGAAATTAAGTACCTTGAGTATCATATGACAAGATATTAATATAATATTTTTATGATTATTATTTATTTACGAAAATGAGTAAATGAAGGGTTAGTATTTTTTTTAATAATTTAAAATGAGAAAAGAAAAAAAAACAAATCACATTTTTCGGAAATAAGACTCTAAATTTATCCAAAAGGGTGAAAGTGGGAACTGTAGCGGGACTCACATTATCGGACCGACACGTCATCAGTAGCCGGTGACCAAAATACAATACTCAGTAGGGCGTTCCACGTGTCACTAAGTTCACACGATGATGATGATGATGGATGAGGCGGAAGAAATGTACTGCAATGAACATTCCAAAACTCTTGTATTTTTTTTTCTTTTTTTGAGCAACAATTTATTAAATAATAATTTCTGTGGACAAAATTAATTGGAATGATTTAATTATAAAACATCATCAACAGTAAACTATAAAAAAATTAAGACATGTCTACATCATTCTGCTAATGTTCATACGTTTTAAATATAATTAATTCACAAAAGAGTGACCCACTTAATGAAATATCCAATGTTTTATTCAAGAAGGGAAAATGACATTCACCAAGTGGAGTTTCTGATTGCTCACAAAATATCTAAAAAAATATTCCTATATATTCGAAATTGAATTTTTGTAAATCGCTTTAGGAGCATTCCTTTGTTATCCAATTCCTCGAGCCCCTAATAAATATCTTAAAGATATTTCCAATTTTACTTATGTGTTCCAAAGATTATTGATAATAGTTATGAAGGGTGACTATTTAAAAAAATATATTTTAATTAATTTTTATATAGGGTTAAATTTATTGATAAAAATTATTGTTAAAAAATCAGCTTTTATTGTTTTTTTCAATATGTATTTGATTTTTATTCAATTTTTAAAAATTGTAACTATTTATTTTTATATTAAATTCTGTTCAAATATAGAATTATTCTACGTGGTTGCAACAATTTGGATGAACAATAAAAGAATTTCTATTCGAACTAATACAATGTAACAAAAGTCGTGTTTGGATTGAATAATCGATTGTTTCTTCAGCTTTAAAAAAATATTCTGATTCAAATTCGTGTTGGTTTAAATTATAAAAGAAAAGAAATTAGAATTAAAAATCGAATTAGATCCGTTACCCAAAAAAACAAAATCGAATTAGATTCGATTATATAAACACGTTTTTCCATATCTCCATTGAAGTGCCAACCGGGAGGAACCAAATTCATTTGTTAGGCCCATTTGTAGCCCATGGATTTGGGCCTTTTCAAAGACAAGCCCAATATGCTAATTACCCGATTAGCTCAATCGGGCCTCAATTTATCCCGAATCCATCAAAAACTTGGATGTCGAGAGATTCGATTTCGATTCATTTTTTAAATTATTCTTATTTTAATAAAACAATTATTTCCGAATTTGATTAATTTAGCTTATTAACGAACCTAAAATTGTCAGTTCTCCATCCAGAGTTATATGCTTTGAAAAATTACTTCTGCAGCTCAGATTCAGTAGACGAGAGTTTCTAGGGTTTGCATGCCTTTGAAAAACCCTAAAATATATGTAATAGAATTATGTAATTATCTTTATATTTTTTTGTATACACAAATTCAAAAAGCCATGCTATTATACATGAGGACACGTATATACGCGCAAATACGAGTGCATGGTTGAATATATATATATATATATATATATATATATATATTCACACGTTGTTTTAATATGTGAGATTTGGTTGATTATGTATGTCGGGATAGTGACTGGAACTTGTTCTCTCTCCCCTTTCTGTTCCTTCTCCTTTTTGGTCGTTTTCTGGTCACGGTTTAAAGAGAAGCACTAGAGCATTCAGATGCTTTTTACATTTTTTTTATTAAAATAAAATCGAATATATTTTATTCATTTATTGAAGGAAATGCATGTGTAATGTAATTTATATAGTCGAGTAAAATACAATTAGTATATACTGGATGCCAAGCAAAGCACATGGTTTCTACTTTTAAATTTGTCTGCGGGGTACTTATATGTATCATGCTGAATAAAATTTATGTAATACTGCAAACTTGTTAGACTGAAATAAGAATAATAAAGATGCAGGCTAATTATGTATGATTTTATAATTATATATGGTCCTAATTAATTTGTAACGAATCATATTCTTAGCAAGTCTCGTACCGGGATATGCTTAAGGGTGATGCTTCGTGCTTCGTGCTTGCCAATGGCTCCATTATACCATTTAGCACCATCACTCTATTGATTTATTTGATCACGTGAGAATATACGACAGAAAACAAATGGGTTAAAATGTTTATTTAGTGAATTCAAAATCAAGATTTATAGTCAATAATTGGGTTTTTTGAAAAAACAAAATTACGAAATATTTGAATGCCATACGATTGAGAATTTGTACATATGATTTTGTGTGTGTGTTTTTTAAACCTAAGTTAGGTCACATTTTTTGCCTTCGGACCGAAGGCAAATTCCGTGACCGTACAAAGGAATGTGTAGACAAAAACATTGGACCCACAAGCTTTGTATTTACGTAATTCTATATTATTTTTTTCTCCATCAATTCTCCACCTCTCCTTTAAGAAATAATAAATAGTGTTACTTATGTTGTATGATTCTTATGTCTTTTTTTTTTGTATTACGTTTAGCACAAAAAAAAAATTGTTACATGTCTTTTTTTATGAGATGTAAAATTATATCACCAAAAACTTATTTCAAAATTCATATACAAATCAAATTTATACTGTTTTATCTAAAAGAATCGATTCTCGGATGTATATTAGAATATGATTAAGATAAGTAATAGAAATACCGATATAAAGCCAACTTAAATTGTGATAATTAAATATGATTGATCTAGAAGTATATATGTGAAAAAAAAACACATGCTAAACATTATAGGCAACGTGAAAGATTGAGAAAATGTTGTAATCAATTAGCCAATATACAAAAAAATTTAAATATACTGAATTAAACATTTTTGAAAATGATGAAATTGACCTTAAATGACTGTAATCTATCGAAAATTGACCCTCATGACGGATCATCAATCAACCCGTATAATTTTCCTCCTCCAATGATTAAAATTCGATCGCTTCAATGATTACGACCAAAATATCCGTAACTAATTACACGGAATAAATTTATAACACATGATTTACGATCAATCTAGTTTCAAATCCACGCGACCAATTTCTTGATGTTAACACTCGAGAAAAACTGAGGGGTTATTTTGCAAATATTAAGAATATCGGGCAGAAAAAGAAAAGGAAGAAAAGAGGACAGACCAACAAACAAAGGCTCCGATCATGTAAATTTTGATGGAGACACGACACAACGAACTTTAGGCGGTGATTTTCCATTTAGCACATTAGTTTTATTTGGTTCAAAACCAACCCAATTAAAGGTTTATTACCACTTTGAAAGAACTGAAGATTCCCAAACACACATCAACGTTTTCTGTGTTACATCTAATTTAGGCCTCCGTGCTGTTTTAATCAATCGTTACCAAATAGATTTGGACTTTTTTTTTAATGACGATTTAGCACCAATTTGTCAAAATGAATTTGTTTTATTTAACTGAAAAATGGAATATGGTTCGAGGATATTTTCATGTAGACCATAGGAACTATATATATATATTCATTTTTTAATGTAAAGTTGATTCATATAAATTTGACTACTCACCAAAGTGCCCATCTTAAATAAATAAAAAAATTGGTAGAACATCTTTTGGCTTTTTGTTTTCCATATTGGTCAATTGCAAATTTCACTTTGGAAAAGTTTTCTTACAAAAATCTCACACAAAACAAAAAATGACATAATTTCATAGCTCGTACTAGTATTAATAGTATCTGATGAAACGTTATATTCAGTGGCGGATCCAGAAATTTTTTGTACAATCGTGGACAATAGTATGTAAGGTTTGGAAAGCATGCAAGGCTTGGAAACCATATGAAGATATGAAGAGGGAGAAAGAATTAGATGAAGAGTGAAAGGAAAGAGGCAAAGCCAAAACCTAAGAAGATACGAGAGGACATGTGAATGCGTGGAGATGTTAGGCAAATTCAGAATCTTTCAGACAGCTTTTCTTTGCTCCTTAAACTTTTTTTTTTTTTTAAAAAAAAAATTGTCACAATTTGATTCCACTTTTTATGTCTTTTCCTTTTTTCCCCGATTGTTTAAAACTTTTGTTGCGATCTCTAAGCCTGCAGTAATGCAACTTGGACCCCCTTTTGTGTTGGGTAAAAAGATCACTTAGCAAGGCATTGTAGAATATATATATATATATATATATATATGATAGAGGGGATTTTTAGATCGAACTATATATCGATCGATAATCCAAAGGGAAAAAACGAGACATATATAAAACGATATTTAATCAAAAGAATAATGATCATAATTATAGACAGATCGATGTAAGAGATTTGAGAATGAAAAAACTCGTGAAATTAAATGAATCTTAAATAGTGTCTTGAAGGTAGGAAATAAGATCTCATAATTACTTATAGAATTCATAGAGTAGATTTTCAAGTGATCACTTCCATATCTTTCAAAGCTATATAGAAGAAATTTTGGATTAGAGCAGACATACATATATCTATATGTGTGTGTATATATATGTGTGGTGAGAGTGTGAAAGAATCTATCAAAGAACACCTTAGCAGAGGCAACCATGACAACTTTAGTAGTGAATGCAAATAATGCTTGGAATGAAGTTTGGTAGTTTTTGGTATCCCATTTTAGGGCGTGTTTTCAAGTGGGGTTTCTTTTACATATGGAGCATTATGTTACTTTTGGATCCTCCCTTCATTTTGATTTTGGTTTCATATCAAATTCGTCAAAAGCTTTCTTCAATTCCACGAATCTTTATTTCGGTATCTATAGATAATGGATGGTTATACCCGAAAAATATCGATTTTTTTCTGTACAAGAACTTATCCTATATTCTACAATAATATAACCAAATGATCTTTAATTAGCATCTTGTTTATGGCTCAAAGAATCTTTCACCATTTGGCATAGGCATATATATATATATATATATATATATATATATATATGTATTCTTGAGTGAGTACTTTGTGAGGGAATTTTGAATGTGTTTCAATGAAAACCATTGACATTCACTTTTCCCACAGCTTCCACATATGTAAAAAAACATAATATTTTAAACTTTAATGTAATATTTTCGATACTTTTATCTTAAACTATTTAATTTCCCTATAAATTACTCGACATAATTATAAATTATTTATAATATCCGGCTAATAATTTATTCTCTCGGAATAGAAAGATTCCACGAACTATATGCCGAAATCTGTACAAATTACTTTTTACCCAAAACAGATTTGATTGATTAACCTAATCACCTAATTATCGTCGGACAAACACCATTTAACCCATCTTTAAAGCTAAACCAACAATTTTAAAATTTAATTCAATCACCATATAGATCGAATGCTTTGTTGACGCGTGTCCTCTTCTAGATGATATCCCCACGACCTCGTACTTTTGATTAGATCACAATTTCGGGTTTATCATTAATTTGATTATGTTTTTCAATTTAATAATACTTTATATATATATATATATATATATATATCTTATTTTTTGTATTTGATTTGGGTTAAATTAAATTTTATATAGAAAAAAATACTTTTATTGAAATTTGTCTTTATTTAATATTTTCGATCGATCAATTATAAATCTTGTTGGAAGTTGAAACTTTCTAACTTGCCAACATTTTTAGTTTAGGCTTAAGTTTAATATTTTCATTATATATATGTGTCAATATTGGAATTTTCTATAATGTAGGATTCATTAATTTAATATTCAAAAGTTTGGAATATAATTAAGATTAAGAACATAACAACTTGAAAGCCACTAGAAAAAGCATAACTGAACTGCCGAAAATACCCTGGAATTAACATTGAAATACCACCTCTACCCCTTGTTTGCTTTTGTCTTATTCTCCACGTGTCCGTTTCTGGACGGTTAATTCTGGTACTTTGGGGCGGTGAATTTAATGTATTAAAAATACATGCAACAACAAAATCTAAAAAAAAGTTTCAATTATTATTTTTTAATGATAAGATTCTCTTCTCTGCCAAATATTCAGAAAGATATTATTATCGAGAGAACAAAACGATACACACCGTATTCTATAAATTCTAATTTTACATTTAATTAAACCAACATAATAAATTTTAATACAAATTCATTAAAAATCCAATGTATTATGTAAATGTATCTTAAGTCTTATTAGTTTACGGCATGAACTATATATGCACTTATATATATATATATGTATACGGAGAGTGTAAAATTTTAAAATTAGAAAAGAAAATGTTGCAAACCAGCTGGACTTGGACTGGTTCGGAAATTTCACCTCCGCCCCACATGCCTCATCGTCCTATACGAATCTCTCTCTCTCTCTCTCTCTCTCTCTATATATATATATATATATATATATATATATATGTAAGATACTTCCTCCATCTTTTATTTATAAAATAATAATAATTCCCTTATTATTAATATATATATATATATATTTATTATTTACTTTAATCACTCAAATACATTTTTCCTTGCTATAAAGCCCCCTAAGACTTGCTTAATTAACCTCTTCCCCTTCCTCTCCCCCATTACTCTCTCTCTCTTACTCTTTCTCTCTCTATCACTCTTTTTCTTCTTATTCTTCTTGTTGTGAATCGAGGGCTAGTGTGTGTGTTTTTTCTCGGGAAAATCCGTACGTGTTGCATTGATGTGGCGAGAATCCGGATCTTGATGTTAATCGCCATTCATGTCTCCGGTGGTTAGCGAAATCCTCCGTTCCGGGTTTATGGTAGATTCCTCCCTCCGACGCAGGACCCATCTCGTTCAATCCTTCTCCGTCGTCTTCCTCTACTGGTTCTATGTTTTCTCATAAATCATTCCCTCCTCTTCCTTCTCCTACATTATAAGCTATATACTTATATATCTATCCATCTTCATCGCCTGCATCACCTTCTATATCGATCTATATATAAACCCCCGGGTCCTGCGTCTTCGATATATCAATATACTTACATATACAAAGCTTTGAATCGAAACAACGGTGCTTGTTTTCTTCTGGGTTTGGTTTTTAGTTCGAATATTTGTATGAATAAATTTGAAATGGGTTCTTCGACGACGACGAGTGGAACCTACTCGACGGTGCTGCAGAACTCTGGGTCGGAATCGGATCTCCGGCGACAGGAATCGAACCTAATCGAAGAGAGGAAGTGGAAGCGGAAGCTATCGAACAGAGAATCGGCCAGGAGATCGAGGATGAGGAAGCAGAAGCACCTCGACGATCTCACGGCTCAAATTGCGAATCTACGGAAAGAGAACGGTCAGATCATCGCCGGAATCACCGTCGCGACGCAGCACTACATCGTTCTCGAGGCCGAGAATTCCGTCCTCCGAGCTCAGCTCCTGGAGCTCAACCACCGTCTCCAGTCCCTCAACGAGATCGTCGAATTCATCGACGCCGCAGGATGCCCCGGCGGCGGAGCGGAGGCGGATCTTCTCGAGGGAGTGGTGGTGAACACTTTGAATCTAGGCTTCTTCAACCAGGTACCCCCGATCATGGCCGCCACTGCTGCTGATATCTTCCATTGTCGATGAAAATGTTCATCATCATCGTCATCACAACGTGTGTGTATATTTGAAAGTATGATCGATGAGACGGTGAAGTGGAGGCGCTATTTCAGTTGCTTGTTTTATATTTTACTTCTTTTGTCTTTTTGTTTAGGGTTTCCATTTTCCTTATTTGGGTGTATTTTGATGCCACTATTAGCAAAAAAAAAAAAAAAAGAATGGAGAAGGACAGAAGGTGCCATGTGTAATGTAAATTATTAAATACAAATATATAGATCTATTTGCATAATTAATTATTATTATTATTAATTAGCTCAATAATTTCACTTTTTTAATTTGTAGTTGTCAATACGAAAATTAGTATTTAATAGATCCAAAAACTTTATTATTTATGAATTTGACACTTTTTCTTCCCTTATATACATATATATTCCATGCTTACATTACAATTTCAAATCTTCCAAATTAAATCATTAGGAAAAGTGTAATAATCATAAAAAGGAAGATAAAATCAATAATATGATATCAAATTTATTTCCAAAGTAAAAAAAAAACAAGATGTTCACACTTGCAAGTATTTTCTTCATACCACCATGAACCTTATGAACATTATTATACACAAACATATTACAGTATCGGTTTACTTACCACCACGTATACAAATGTATGTAAACTATATATAACTACACTTTCAGAAAATCTACCTTATATGCCACAGAGAGATATACTACATATATATCATCACATTGTATATATATGCACCCCCTCCCCCTATCTATAAAAATTCAAAACGCGGCTTCTTGCGCGTTTTCAAGAATCGAGTTCTTGCCCTGGCAGTGGCCCAGTTCTTGAACTGTGAAGCCAGAGATCATCAATGGTGGTATTTTTTTCAGACAACAAAGTCATGTAAGTGATGGGGATTGGAAAACCTGCTGTCTTGCTGATTCCCGAGGCCGATGTAACGGTAATCGTCGAGATTAAACCCGTTATAGTTCATCAAACTGTCGTAATCTGACCGGTTTATCTGCTGAGATTCGTCTGGTTTCGGTTCGGGGAAGGCAGAGTTCGTCGCGGTGCCTGCAAATGACTGAGAGTCCTCGTGCTTGAACTGAGACATCGCGTGTGAACTGTCTTGCCCTTGCCCGGTGGAAACGTTGTTTTCTTGATAGGATTTCGAGTTCATCTCCGAATCACCAAACTCTTCTTTGTACATCTCTTCGATCATCGGTTTCCAGAGACGAACTCTCGCGTTTATGAACCAGTTCGCGACCTAATGGGCGGAACAAGAGTTTGTATCGTTGATCAGTTAAGCAGAACTAAAGAGCGAAACTCGGGGAAAGAGACAAGAACCGAAGCTACGAGATATCGGAAAACCTGGCTTTTCGTCAGTCCTGTCTGCTTCGCCAGCATTATTTTCTCCGACTCCTTTGGATATCTGCAGAAATCCATAAGAACAGAATCATGGGCATGACTTATTCAATGATTCGATGAAACCCTGTTCGAAAGACGAGAATCTCTAACTTGTTTCTATCTCTGTTCGGATTTCAGCAAAGACAAAACCAAGATTGTGTAGGCACTGAGTGGAAAACAAGATATGAAGAGAGCTTTCTTGCACGGTCCCGGACATTCTTAGCTAGATTTTAAGCGAAGAACAGCTATCCGTTCTTACAAAACTCGATGTCCAAACGCGATATCGAATAGGTTAAAGATATCCAAAACAGCAAGAAAAGAAACAGGATGAGATTTCGAAGAACTTACGGGTGAAGAAAATGCTCGAAAAGCCAAGCCCGAAGGATGGTAACAGCATTTTCGGGCAGACCTCTCTGGGGTCTCCAAGCAGGTCGGACCATCCCGAGCTGCTGATGCAAAGCCCTCTGTTGCCGAAGCCGCTGATCCAAATACCGAAGACGTGGAATTCTCTCTCCTTGATCATCTGAATTCTCCCGCTCCCCGAGTTTCCCTCTGATAATCTGAATCTGGCCCTTGATGGCATCACGTAAGCATCGGAAATGGCGAGATATCCTGTTCAGCGCAACCGACGTGTAGGGCTTTGCTGCCCTTAGCCCGGCTACCATCTCGAACGACGAAGCTAATGCCTCCATTTGATGGTAATATTGATTGTACCTTTTATCCACCTGCGCATATACATCACGAGATCTCTTCAGCAATTCCCAAGAACAACATTCTTTTGCCTAATACTGAAACCCGATTTATAACATCGAACTCTTTAATCTGCATATTTATATTGGCAAATCAAGAACATACAAACAAGTCCACAAAGTATATATATATGTGTGTGTGTGTAGCTTATACCTCATCCACCATGGACAGAAGCTTGCTTTTCTTGCTCTGCAAGTCCTGTCTCTCTGAGGGGGATAACTCAGGCGGTTTCATGTTCGACTCGCTCACGTTAGAAGCTGTTCCATTACTCGCAGAACCAATTTCTGTGTCCTTAGAATCACTTAAACCATTAAAGTCTTGGCCTTTGTTCTTGTTCTTGTTCACCTGTTTCAGATCTTTTCTGACACTAACCACTTCATCAAGCAACTGTTGCGCCGGTTTAAGGTACCTAGAACGCAACACGCTGCTGACGAAACCCGACGTCTCGTAGCGATAATTGTTGTAGAATCCGACGCTGAATCCGGAAGAGGGCATGTGTTCAGGTTGTCCTAACAACATCTCCTTGTCCTTACCGCTCTCACTGACGTCACAGGACAACGTTTCCTTAACAGATAGACTGTGATTCTGACCAAAACCCAAGTGGTTCGACATGTTCTGATACTGATACTGAAATGGAGGAACAGGAACAGTGACTGCGTTTGGGATCTGTGTCCCGAGGCTCAGAGACAATCCGTGGAAACTGAGATCGCTGCTGGAAACAGCGTTTGCGGTTACGTTTGCGTTTAGACCCTGCAGAGCTGTTACGTCTCCGTTCGGTGGGATAAAGACCATTTCGTTTCGAACGCTGGCGTGAGGGATCTCAAGACAGTTTCCTCCGCCGCCGCCGTTGCCGTTGACTATGTCGGAGAAAGTTGCGGCGGAGGCAGAAGAAGCTTGTTGTTGGTTCAGATACATGGGTTCTTGGTACAGAGATTGCATGCCGTCTCTGTTACATGTTACAGAGCCTGGATAATACACCGACATGGTTAAGCTCTCGAAGCTTCTCCTTCTTCTTCTTCTTCTTTTTTGTTTTTGCTCTGTTTCAGGAACTATGTACCTTTGAGTTGCGAGTTTCAAGAGAATTGCGGAATCTTATTGCAGTGGGATTCATCCGATGAAGCTTTGTCGGAAAACAAGATCCTGTGGAGGAAAAGGAGATGGTAAGTTCAAACGCATCGGATCAAAAATTTAAGTAATAGACATGAATTTCGCATGATATCATCAAGAAAAAGGAAACCCAGTTCAGAAAACATGTAATCGGCACCCGATCTATCAGGATTAACATGAAGGATTAAGAAAAACCCTAATCTATGGAGGAAGGAGATGGGAATTCAGAATTAAGAATTTCAGAAAAGAAGATTCTTTTGAAAGCCCAGAAGATCAATCATAGCGTTTGACGATTTCATCACCACGAAAATGATTATCAGATGAGAGTTTTTTTTCAAAAAGGAGGGGATGAAAGCAAAGCGAAGAACTCATCAAGAACCCACAGTGCAAGATCAATCATGGCGAGTATCCAGAATCAAGAACTTGGATAGAGAGAAGAGAATTCTAAATAAAAAAAAAAACACCACTACCTGAGAAGGAAAATGAATTAAAAACCCAAAAAAAAAAAAACGGAGAGATTTGGGATTGTGGTTGAATCAGGGAACACAAAAAGGGGAGAGCTTGGAACAGTCGAAGACAAAAAGAGGAGGAACCCAATCCAGAGGGATGAATAATAATTGCAAAATTATATTAAACAATTTCAACCCACAGGAGCAGAACCAACCCATCTTATCATTGGAACATCCACACCAAACCAAGTTCCTTTAAAAAAAATATACAATAAAATCAACAATAAAATAATATCACAAGAGATATTTGACAACAGCTGCTACCAGTAATTATTTATTTTTATTCAACAGAAGCTTCTGTATCATATGATTTAATATATCTAAATTTTATATTTTTCTCCGCCAACCATTCGGAGAGTACCACGCCAGACCAGAAAAGGCCTTAAAAAAATATGAATAATGATAACATTTTACCATATGATTTTACTATCTCGAATTATAGATAAACTATGTTATAAACCGGAAGAAGATGTAATACGTGATCATTGCCTTGACTTGGTATTTCTTCTCTATTTTAAATTATACAGAATATACGGGGAAAAACGAATTTTTAATATTAAAAGTAAAGGAAGAGTTGAAAAAAAAAATTATTATTATTTTTTGGTTTAGTTTAATGTAAAACAAATCGTTAGAGATAGTTTCTGATTCTTTCAGAGGGTTTCGGTCCGTTAGAGATTCCACGGTTTCGATATATAATATAGGATATATGAATTCTTATTAATGTTTAATCTTCTTTTCTAGTTCATTTTTTTTAATTTCTTGCAATTGAACGCATGAATCGGTCCAATTTTATATTTTTTTAATAATTCGAAAGTTTTATATATCTTCGATCCAACTATATCTCCTAAATTTTGGAAACCGTGTGTACCGTACCGGTTTTGTAATTCTTCCAATAATAATATACTATAAATTTTTTGTGAGTGTGCTCATTATGCTTTTATCGGGCCGATAGAGAGGTTGTGCACCTACAAGTTAAGTTCTGTAGTTTAGATATAACTTCAAGCAATCGTTTGAAATTTTATATTTTATTTTTGTATAAATTTTACCCACCTAATGGTTGAATATTTTATTTTTTATTTAGGGGAAGAAATTGTTGTTGCGTTGGTAAAATCATTGGTTAGTATGAAACATACTATTTTATCAAATAAATAAATATTTATATATTTCCCTCCAACTCTAAGCAATCGTGTTACCAGAAATAACACTGTTTTTTTTTCTTGTAATATCATGATTTGTATTTTAACAAGTCTCTGAAATTTTTAATAAATCTTTCGGATTTTTTGTGTGTGTATATATATATATATATTATAATTTGTGTGGTTATATCAGTATTTTCGAGATTTTTAAAATATGGTTGGTATAATGGATATCGTTATGACAACATATTGTACAGAAAACTAATTTCATTTCTATGATTTGGTTTAATTTACTGTTGTGTCCCGAATTCGATGCATGCTTGCGTCAAAAAAATGTATATTTTTTGAAAATTAATTTGTAATGTAGTTCTTACATGTATTTAAATATTTGGAGTCTTGATTTTATTTGTGTTTTGTTTTTTTTTTCTTTCTATTTTTTAGTTTTAAATTCAATTTTTATATAGGTAATTTATTTTGTTTACAAATTTTATTCCCGCTTTAGTTTTTTTGTAATTATTATTAGCTGTAATTCTAATTATTTTTATTTTTAAAAAACAAATTCAATTCAATTACCGTTGAAAATCCATATTATTCTCACACATATATTATAAATATCAAATTACACAGATTAATAAGAACTCGACCATATCTTATTTTATCCTCCGTTTATTTCTCTATCACTCCTTCAAATATAAATTTAAAATGAAGATATATTTTAGGATTACCTTGGATTCAAATGTATCATTAGGGTTATTATTGCAAACTCATGCTATGCAATTGATGCGGAAAATAACCTTATAATCCAGCTACAAAATGTTTTTTTTTTTAATTATAAAAAGAAACAAATTTAATTTTCAAAAAAAAAGGAAAAAGACAGAAGTACCCCTGGACCTAGAGAGGCTTATACGTTGTTGCAAGGATGTTCAAAGTTGGGTGTGTGTGTTCAATTGCTTAATTGAGGGATTAAAGGGCTTAACCACCAGTTGGTGACTCCCCCTCCATAGTCTTCCCTCATACCCTTTTCTTTTTCACATATGATTTTATTTTATCATTTTTTTAATTATATATATATATATATATATATTCTTTGATGCAATAAGATGTTAAAATATTATTTTTTTTTTAAAGATGTTAAATTGTACCGATCTTCTCTAACTGTGTGACAAAAAGAAAAAAAAATATCGTATTTTTAGTCTAATGTGTTGAAAATGCATAATCAACGACTAACAAACTTTTAAGAAATAAAAGAGACGCATAAAACATCTTTACAATATGAAAAATAAGAAAGGTATCAAATTAAACTGCAGTTGTTGTGGATACACTTTATTAATGAAAAATTAATGTATATATACGATGTAATTTACTTTTAGTAAAACTGTTTATATAATAATAAATCGAAATCAAATTAAATAAACTCTTTATATTCGTTAATTAATAACACAAAGAAAAAAATATATAATAAAATTAGTGGTATAGCTACTAGCTAGTAAGTTTGTTTTATTATTTGGGACAAAAACGTATGTATATATATATACACACATATACAATTTTTTAAAAAATATGTATTATGAAGGATACAGGAATTATATCCCTCGAGTTAGGACCAATTTTTATGATTCGTAATGAAGAAAGAAAAAAAATCAGAATAATTAAAAAGATTTTAACATATTAAAAAATGAAATAACGGAAACGTAAATTTAATTTAATTATGAAAAATGATAAAAATAAGTTAGCTGTGTGTGTCGGACGTGAGTTTGGTGAAAGCGGCCAAAATAACGCCGACGCGAATTTGCTTTCTGGACGCTAACGGAACGAAACTAACGGTATACATATATATATATATATATATAGAGAGAGAGAGAGAGAGAGAGAGAAGTGTTGATTTTATTCAACAAATTGCGTTTTTGGAATTTTTATATGAGAGGTGTAACACACATTAACGTTTTTCCATAAATAGTAATTAATAATAATAATCATTAAGTAACGCTATAATAAGCGTTAATTTACCGTTACTAATGTTAAAATGTAATTCTCCCTTTAGCAACATTTTTTTTGCGTTACTAGTTCATTTCTCATATAGTTGATTAGAAAAATATATGTAAATATTTTATAAAATGCTAGAATTTTTTTACTATAATTTCAGGAAAAAAATAAAAAATTGGTATGTCCATCCGAAAAGATGAATCATCCACTAACAAAAAGAGAAACAAGGGCAAAAAGTATTGGTTAACACAAAATATATCGAATTTTTTAGAAACATACTTCTTTTAAAAAATGTGTTACTTTTAGCTGAAAAAATGTGCTAATTTCTCGGTATTTAATATTTGTTATGGAAATCAACATTTTTTATTTTTATATTGGTAGATTATGAACACATATGGTGGTGACTTTAGATACCCCACAAGTGTACGAAGTTATTTATACACAAGTCATATCGCATCATAGGATAATAGATGCCACACAGACTTACATATCTCATTATAAAAATAGGTTCAATTTATTTTGTTTGTAAATTCCGAATTCCTAGATCGACCACAGCGAACCAAAATCTATTTAATATGAATTTTAAAGATTAAATTAATTAAATTCCAACAAAATTTTTATGATCTTTTTATAAAAAAATAATAATGTTTTTAAGAAACCAAATCCAAACTCCGTAGCACTGAAAATTGAAAATATTGAAGTTTGATTCAATAAAATAAATATTTTGTCGAAATCGAATAATCACATAACAGGTCAAACTGACGTCGTGCTGAGGAGTGAGGAAAACGGAAAGACATTCTCTAAGGACACTCCAAAACGGCGTGAAGTTCAAAGCTGCCAAGACGAGACAATTTCCATATCAGTTGTCTCACTTCACTTCCGGCGAACATTTACAGTTCCCCCCGGCGACTGATTCTTCCGGCGAATTTTCCTTTCCATTTTCTCGGCAATCAATCAGGCCTGCAGGCAGAGAAATTCCCTAGTTTCTTCGCGGATTCTTGATTCGATCGGTGAGGAATTTCAGAGATTGAGATTGGTGAACCCTAGGAATGAGTCTGTGGTGGAGGAAATAAGAAGAACAATGGGGAAGCATTCGACGAGTGTGTGGATCACAGTGCAGAAGAAGAGATGACCACTGATGATACTCTTAATTTTATCGGTATCAACCGCAGGTGTGGTTCTCGTGAGATCTACGTTTGATTCGTGCACTCTCATGGGTAAGACGAGCGGCCAATTCGCGGCGGAGGAGAAGGGAGAGAGCGGCGGCGCGAAGCTCTGGTCTGTTCCAGAGCCTCCGAATCCTCTCAGTTTCATGAAATCGAAGCTCGTCTTTCTCGTGTCTCACGAGCTCTCGCTCTCAGGTGCTTCTGATTTCTGGTTCATATTTCATCTGTGTTTTTGCGTTGGTTTCGTGGAAGTCAGATTTTTTACGTGATTTGGTTTGATTCCGTGTGATGTTAGGTGGACCTTTGTTGTTAATGGAATTGGCGTTTTTGTTGAGAGGAGTTGGAGCTGAAGTTGTTTGGATCACTAATCAGAAACCCCTTGAAGCTGATGAAGTTATCTACAGTTTAGAACACAAGATGTTGGATCGAGGAGTGCAGGTTCAGACACCACATCTCTGTCTTAAGTTGCTTTGGTTCGTTTAATCCCCATACAACGTACTGTATGATAGGTACTGTTTAGTACAGCTGATTGCCATGAAATCGTTGTAAAGACTTTACCACATTACTGATGCATTATAGATTTTGGGAGGCTTAATTCAGCATCTGATCGTTGCTCATATGTTGTATTCGCACTAAATGTTGGGAATTCTGGTTTTGTTGAAGCTATTGATCTTCTTTTTGGTCAAGTCACTCAACTCGAGTGTACATGAGTACGTAGATCATACAAAGTTTAGTGTTTGATGTGTCTCCTATATGCTTGTTCTGAGTGTCTGCTTTCAAAATGCATTATGATGTTTTCATGAAGTTTATGATCGAGGGTCCAAAAGGAATATAATTCACCATCGATTAGTTTCCATAATTGCTCTTTTATTCTCGATTTTTCTAGGTCATCTCTGCAAAGGGTGAGAAAGCCATAGATACGGCTCTCAAGGCTGATTTGGTTGTTTTGAACACTGCTGTTACTGGGAAATGGCTTGACGCTGTTCTCAAGGACAATGTTCATAAAGTCCTTCCCAAAATCCTCTGGTGGATTCATGAGATGAGGGGACACTATTTCAAATCAGATCTGGTTAAACACCTCCCGCACGTGGCAGGCGCCATGATAGACTCACATGCAACAGCTGAATACTGGAAGAACAGAACTAAAGCTCGTCTTGGGTCTGTTTCCTCTTATGCACTTCCTAATTCTTGTTCTTTTTTCTTGTATACTGTCTCTCGGTGTTGGAAGCTTAACATTGTGCTCTTGACTGTGCCACGACAACACAGGATTAAAATGCCGAAAACATATGTTGTGCACTTAGGAAATAGTAAGGACTTGATGGAAGTAGCTGAAGACGGTGTTGCAAAGAGAGTTCTGTGTGAGCATGTGCGAGAATCTCTGGGAGTGCGGAATGAAGACATACTATTTGCCATTATAAATAGTGTGTCTTCTTTTATATTCTTTCCTTTCCCCGTTTTCAATTTCCTGGAGAACAACACCATTGAAAGGCGAATTACTTAGATGTTAGAACATTGCTAAAAAATGTTGTCTAGTGCAGGCGTGTCGCATGGAAAGGGACAGGACCTCTTCCTTCGAGCGTTCCTTGAAAGTCTTCAAATAATCAAAGAGAAGAAACTTGAGGTACCCACAATGCACGCAGTGGTGGTAGGAAGCGACATGAGCGCCCAGACAAAGTTTGAGGCAGAACTGCGTAACTTTGTTCAAGAGAAGAACCTTCAAAACTACGTCCACTTTGTCAACAAAACCCTAACCGTAGCCCCATATCTGGCAGCCACTGACGTCCTCGTCCAGAACTCTCAAGCTAGAGGAGAATGCTTCGGGAGAATAACCATCGAAGCCATGGCATTTCACCTGCCTGTACTGGGTACTGCAGCTGGAGGGACAATGGAGATTGTCCTGAATGGGACGACTGGTATGTTACACGGTGTCGGGAAAGAAGGCGTAATGCCTCTTGCCGAAAACATGGTGAAGTTGGCAAAGAACGTGGAAAGGCGGCTCACGATGGGGAAGAAAGGGTATGAGAGGGTGAAAGAGATGTTCTTGGAACATCACATGTCGCATAGAATAGCGTCGGTGCTCAGAGAAGTGTTGAAATACGCGGAAGCTCGCTCCCGTTTGTAAAAATCCGACCTTTTCAACCGGGTTTTCGTCGTCTCTCTCCGGTTAGATCCTTTCCTTGGTTGAATGGAGTATGTTCCGGTCGAATCCATGTGGTTGTTCTGGAGCCTCTTGTACAGTACATGTAGAAAGGAAGATGGCCAATTTTGCTTTATACTACTCAAAATGTATTTACGTGTTTGTTTGTTTTTTCAAGCCGTATATTGTTATTTTTAATTTTTACATCAGCTCACATTTTTTTTATTAATTGATTAGTTGATGATTTACTATAATAATCACAGGATCTTTTCTTTACCAAGTAGATGCAGCCATCAGCGTTCATATTTTGCAGAATCAGGTACGGTAGAATACCCAAATGTGAAAATTATTAAAGTTTCGGGTTTCATATGAAGTCAACGAATCAGAACCGACGATGACATCAAACCATATAACTGTCGTATAACTTCATTCCAAAAAAAAAAACAAGGTTTGGTATTTAAATGAAAGTTTACACGAATTATTTCTTTTTATTACGATTATACCCTTATGGGGACCAGGAAACTTCGGTTCTACCACCGACGGCCCATAGTGTTTGTACCGTAGCTAGCCGATGACCCCTACTTGTTGTGTGCCACGTGTCAAAATCGTAACTGTCGAAATATTCTCCTTGACACCAGATTCTCGTGAAAGTGGATGTCTGAGGCCGACGAATCTCCACCGTCCGATCTTAGCTTCTTCTCCGTCCTGCAAGCGAAAACATCTTTTCTTCTTCTTCTTCAACGTTTCTCTCTCTCTCTCTCTCTCTCCGTCGTCGTCGCCGGGAAGCCATGACAAGCTCCGCCGCTACCTCGCGCAAGGTCTCTCTCCCTCTCCCTTTCTCTCTATCTAATTTTGATTTTGGACTAGGATTTTGACCGTTTGACTTTGGGAAACTGTATAGGCTCTGAGCAAGATCGCTTGCAACAGGCTTCAGAAGGAGCTCGTGGAATGGCAGATGAATCCTCCCTCGGGATTCAAATACAAGGTCTCCGACAATCTCCAGAGGTAAATTTGGAATGTTTTTGGTCTCTAGGTTCAGATTCAGATGAGCATGTTGGTCAAGGAAACGTAGTATTCCTTGATTGTGATCTGCATATTTTGGGTTTGCAGATGGATAATTGAAGTCTCCGGAGCTCCTGGAACTCTGTATGCGAACGAGACGTACCAGCTTCAGGTTGATTTTCCAGAGCATTATCCCATGGAAGCTCCGCAAGTGAGTGTCTGAATTTCGGATGCCTATGAATTTGTATTCTGCCCGTTTCAAATGCAGAAAAGAATTTGTTTTTCAAGGAGAAGATGTTGAATGTTGAACAAGGATGATGAGAGGACTTTTTCATGGGGATTGAGATTGATACTCTTCAAGGATTCTTGACATTGAAATTGCCACTTGAAACATCAACAAAGATGAATTTTGTTCAGATAGGCTGTCATCTAGTTAGCTTGAAAATTTTACCAGGATACCGTATATATTGCTTGTCGATCAATGAAAGGAAGATTTTTTTTCCTTACTTGTATAATGGGTTTATCTTAGGAGATCTTGATCTTTCAAGGGTAATCTGGTTTCGGTTTTGTGCTTGCATTTGTAATTTTTTCTGTTGTGATGCTTATTGTGCAGGTGATTTTTGTTCCTCCAGCTCCTCTGCATCCTCACATCTACAGCAACGGGCATATCTGTTTAGGTATTTATGTGTTCTGTTTCATGGCTGTCCTTTTTTCTCTCTCAGCACTCACCTTTCTCTAGTCTTTGGGTTTGGCTGCAATTCGTTACTCTAGCATATACCTGCATTTCTTGTTTGCCTGTCGTTGTCCATGCGAGTCAGTGAGTACACTTCTCAGCTTCATTTTACTTGCCTATGGTATCTTCGTATGTAAAGAATCGCCTTTTGCCATGTTCTAAGCATATCTACTTTGGGATGTATGAAAGAGCTACCCGGATACATCGGGGGTATTCGGTAATCCTAGGAATGAAAACAAAGCCAATTTGGGTATTTGGTATTTGGTAACTCATAGGCATGTATACCCTCGTGTATTTAGTATTTGGGTGTAGAAGTTATGCATACCCTCGTGTATATCTGCACCATCATAGGCGATATAGGAACAGTCTGATGAGTGTAATATCGGTTTTTGCAGATATTCTGTATGATTCATGGTCGCCTGCCATGACCGTGAGCTCCATCTGCATCAGCATCCTCTCGATGTTATCAAGCTCGACCGTGAAGGTACGGCTCTCTCTCGCCATTGCAAGAGTCGGAAGCTTTCCTTTCGGTTTGAATCTTAAAAGTTTGGATTATTTTAATTTCGTCGCAGCAACGGCCAGCAGACAATGATAGATATGTGAAGAACTGTAAGAATGGTAGATCTCCAAAGGAGACGAGATGGTGGTTCCACGATGATAAAGTGTAACTTCAAGAACCAAACCCTTCATCCATCGTATCTGTAACATATTGTATAATAATTATCAAAACATTTCGTGGTTTCTCTCTAATTTGATTTAAAAAAAAGGTTATTTATCCGCAAGGTTCGCGCTTCCCTTTTTCACCTCTTCATCCATGGCATAAAATAGTGATAGGAGGTTTTATTAATTTAGTTTTATAGTTAATAAGAAAATCGCATATTGATACACAAATTTGTAAATAATCTCATATAAATATATAAGCTTTAAAAATTTTAAAATAGTGCACAAAACTTTTAATTTATACATTATTAAGTTTAAACTATATGGTGATTTTTCATGATTTAATTTTATGGTGGTTTTTGAGAATTGTATAAAAGTTTATGATTTAATTTCGTTATCTTAAAAAACGGTAGGATGTTATATAAAAATTAGGAAGAATTTATATATTTATTTGAAAATTTTAAAGTTTGTATATTTATTTGCTAGTTAATATATAACTGCAACATCAAAGGCTTTTATTATTATTACTATTATTGAAATAGGTGTTTCAGAAGAGTTTGAAATAAGAAGACTTGTAAGGCTTATGGTTCCCCAGCCAATGCTGCATATGAACTCCAATGGCGTCCAAGTAAGAACTGCTCCTTCCATGGAACCCCACCACTTTCCCTTCTGTCTTCGTCGATGTGTAATACGTTCCGTTTTCTTCGCCATACGGTCCATATTTCCCTCGGCTCGTGTAGAAACTCACCGACTTCACCACTTTAGTTGTGTCTGAATTGCTCACTGGACCGTAGTACCCGGAAAGGCAGGTGAGTACTTCATGCGGACACTCGAGTTTTATCTGCATTTACATGTGACGTAAGGGTGATGATGCATTTAGAAAGATTTATGGAATCGAAAACTCGGGTTTCGATTAGATTTTCGGTTTTATCCTTACCCTGTGTGTGGCGACTCCTCCGTTGTTGTTGCCACCATGTTTGACAGACCAGACCGACTGCCCATTTCTATCGTACTCGACTTGTATGGAAGTGATAGCGGTTTCTCCTCTTGTCACGAATATCTGCTTGATCCCCGAAAACACACCGTCGTCCCATGGTTTACCTCCTTCACCTCCCCATGGCCCCGGCCCACACGGTGCTGGTTCTTTCACGACTCCACGTGAAACCTGAGAACGAGAATAGTCAGAGTAAGATGTTTCCAGCTCGAAAACAAGAAATGAGAGCTTAATTAATAAGCTTTCTGTAACTAAAAAGAGCCTAAAACTGTAGTTTTATCTAACAGTGGATGACACAGGCACAATTACTCAAGAGGCTGGAGTTTTCTTGTCAAGATTACCTCTTCGGATTGTCCATATCCTGCAAGTACCAACTTGTTAGCCCAGGGAGAGTTCTCGATTTCGGCGATTTGGGAGTTGTGGGGAACGATTGCGTTGTAGGGAGATGGCTTGAGGGGCGTTATCTTGCACTCGTGGACATGTACACCAATGGCATCGAGGAATAAACCCTCTCTCCCGAGGAATCCAACGATCTTTCCTTCGCCAATTTTGTTGGTAAAAGAGGGTCCTTGTTCTTCTCCATAAGGCCCATGCTTCCCTTTGTTGGTGTAAAAGGTCAGTGACCTGATCACATTAGGCCCCATATACATCAAAGAACCATAAGTTCCTGTTATGCGTGTTAAAACCTCTGATGGGAAATCAAACACAACCTGCAAGCCATTTCACCAGAGAAAATATTTTATGATATGAGTTTTAGGCACAAAGATTAGATCTTCATCTTAAACCGGGACGAGGTAATTATTCACCTTATCATGTTTAAATCCTCCTGTACCGCCATGCTTGCTTCCCCACACAACCTGCCCGTTACGATCATAACAGGCCTTTATCGATACAATTCCAACATTCCGTGACAAATTGATTTGTCTAATACCCGTAAAACTCCCATCGTCAAACATGGTTCCACCAGTTCCGCCCCACGGTCCATACGTCTTGCCACCTTCTTCGAGATTTGAGCTAACACCTTCAGTCTTCGGGTGTGATTTCTCTGGATCCGCCAACTAAAAATTAAACTTAGATCTATTGATTCACCTCCAGGAAACCAGTAATCATAGGCTCGAATATTCTCTAAAAATAAACGTTGTTTCTCTCCTCACCTTATGTTTGGTCTCAGTGACCGCTTGGTCTCGGGGTACAGAAGGAAGCAATGTGGAATCTTTCTGCTTGACGGCAACAACTATATCGAAGCTTTGGCCTACACTTCCTTGTATCACTGAGTACTCGAGTTTCTCGTTACCGTTAGTGACATGATACTGTGCTGGCAGAGCAATTTTTGAGGAATTTTCTTTGTGAAGCGGTTGAATATGAACACCAATGGCGTCCAGGTACCAACCAGTTTTACCATGGAACCCTACAATCTTTGCCTCCGACTTTGGCAATGAGAAGTAAGTACCTGACTCAGAGCCAAACGGTCCATATTTTCTACGGTTACTCTCGAATGTAAGTGATCGGACACATAAAGTTCCCCAAACATCAAAGCTCCCATAGGTTCCATGAACTGAAGTTAGATATTCATCCGGGTATTCAAGTTTTACCTGAAACAAGAAAAATCATTCAGTTTCTGAAAGCCATGAGATCTTCATATGAACAAATGTGCAGAGGGACCTTGTCAAACTTATTGCCACCCTTTCCTCCGTGTTTGTCTCCCCAAACCGATTTTCCATTCTTGTCATACTCGATTTGGATGGAATCAATGCCCGAACCGTGAGCTATAACTATTTGCCTTACACTGGAGTATACTCCATCATCCCAGGGAGAGCCACTTTGGCCTCCCCATGGACCAACTGATGTAGGTTTCTTCCCCAGGCCTTCACCACTCTGCATCAACATATTTTGATGGAATATTAGATAAACAAAGCTGAAGAATGAGGTTAAAAAAAAAGATAGATGTCTTACCATTTTTTCCGATATGTCAATCTTTGAAGGGTTTGAAGTAACAATTACACGAAGCTCTTAGAGTAAAAGAGCTACTTCACTACTGCAATGGCATAGCTGAGAGATTTGACGGGAATTTATAAGGTCGGAAAGGGTGAAATTTGAGGTCAGGGATTTTCCGGAGCATATCAAATCATATTGGGGAACACATCGAATACATACAGCCCATACTGGTGTCCACTATGAAGGGATGCTATGAAAGTAAGAAGAATCAGATCCTTCAGAGAATCAATCTATCCCAGGAAAAGAAGAAACACACCATAATTTTCTAGATGGGCAAACATTTCATTGCATCACAATGATAGAATTATAAATGTTTATCTCAAAGTATCAGAGAGGACAGGCCTGTTACTTTCCCCAAAAGATCCAAAGAGAACGATAAACTTTTTTGTTGGGCATATTGTGCACTTTGTGCTCAACTTATACACTTCCAGAAGAAGCTAAGAATCTAGCCAGATTATCAGGTGACCTAAAAGTCTGTGTGAAGTATCGAAAATTGGTAAAGAGAAAGAAAAAATCGAAAGTAGACGAAGAAATTACCCAATCGATGTGCCGATGCCTACAGATCCTAGACCTCCATTTACTGTTCCTTGCACCTATGTTGCCTGTAAAGATTCGAAAAACACATACTACAAAGATGAGGTACGATTAAGCATGGACTTATATCAGAATTCAGAAAAGATACAAAAACACACCTCATCTGAAGGTTATATTTGACACAGAACCAAGAAACAAAGAGTAGCACAAAGGAATGACCACATATGATATGAAGTATCTGGCAATGTTTGCCCATCACGATTTGCATCGGTAACAAATCAGCTTAAGTGGAGAGGAAAGGCAAGAATTCAAAAGCAATCCCGACACTGAGCCAATTGAATAAGGGGGAATGACAGCTGTTTTAAAGAACAAAATGTAACCTCTGAATGCTTGTGGATGGAAATGAGAAGGATACTTTATGTTGTCATTGTTCACTCTACCAATAATCTCTACAGGAGCACCCTCCGTTCTTAAAATGGTGCAAGCACTTTGTGTCATCCAAGAATATGTCACAGCCATATCTCCTAGATATGTCCTTTGCAATCTGATGGCAATCCCGGCACATTCTTACATTTTTCAAAATCCTTATTGTCCGAGGTGCAAGAGATGAAGAAGTTAGACCAAAAGCAAAGGCAATCTTTTCACTGTGGAAGCCATGGGTTGCCTCTGTCTCTTCATCTTCAATCAAAAGTTCTCCATGATGCTCACCTCTATCATCCAGCTTAGACACTGTTTTCAACCATGGATACAGAAAATCCATACATAATTTCGATTTATCACCTGTAGTGAATGTGTAAATCATGTTTCGGACTTCAATCCAGCTCTGCCCAAGAGGTTTCTTTGACATGTTATCTTTCCCCGACTTCCATTTTAAAGGTCTCCCATGTTTGGCACCTAAAGCATATGCCTGCAAAACTAAATTTTGAACTGAAAGGTTCTCAGGTTCCAAGTCAAACAAGTGGTCTGCTGCACGAATAGCCAAGCTAATGTCACCATAAATCCGGCATCCAGTTAAGAAGGCTTCCCAGATAGATGCCTCTGAATAAATGTTCGTCTCGTAAATAAACTGGAGAGCTTCTTCAAGCCTCCCGGACCGACCATATAAGCAAATCATGGCAGAATAATGTTCCAGAGCTGGAATGATATGGTAGTCATTAGCTATTCTGGAGAACACTTGCTTTCCCTCATCTACATTTCCTGCAAGACCGTGCGCAAGAATAATGCTTGCAAGAGTTCCCCTATTTGGTTTAAACCCCAGTCTTTTCATTTGATCAAAGAGATCAAGAGCTGAAGCACAACAACCGTGTAAAACATATCCCCCAATCATCGAGTTCCAAGTTACGATGTCTCTTCTTTCCATTCCATCAAATATGGCTCTTGAATAACTTATATTCCCCGACTTAGCATAGGTATCTATCAAGGAATTTGTCACAGCATGAACGGAATTTAGGTTTCTACGCAGTACACAACCATGTATCTCTTTTAACTTTTTGGCCGCAAGCAGATTACCACAAGCAGGCAAAACACTAAGTATGGTAACTGAATTTGGAACAAAGCCAGAAAACTGCATTTTTCGAAAAATTTCCAAGGCCTCATCTCGTTTTCCATTTTGCAGGTAACCCGCGATAATTAAGTTCCATGTTGCAGTATTCCGCTTGACTTTCCCATCCTTCTCCAACCTATGGAAAAGGTCCATAGCCTCATCCTCATCCCCATTCTTAATATATCCCGATATCATCGTGTTCCATGTGATAATATTTGGTTTCACATATGAATCTTGCATCCTTGTAAATAGTTCATAAGCCTTTCCACAATAGCCTGCTTGGCAATAACCCGTAATCAGTGAGTTCCACGTATATACATCCTTATCTTTTACCGAATCAAAAACTTTTCTTGCAGCTTCCAGCTCTCCGCACTTGGAATACATATCAATTAGTGAATTTACAACAAGAACGTCATCGATAAAACCCATCTTAACAGCAACAGAGTGAACTTCCAATCCCAAGTTCAAAACTCTCAAACATGAACAAGCAGATACTGCACTCATGAGAGTAATTCCATTTGGCATGACACCCACCAAAAGCATCTCCCTAAATGTATCCAATCCTTGGATTGTCCTTCCATTTTGTGTTAAACCCGAAATCATACTCGTCCACGTGAACACATCAGCAGTTACCCCGAGACTCTCCATCTCTTTCATCAAATCCATGGCAGCATCACATTTCCCTTGTTGGTTATAACCACCAATCAAAATGTTCCAAGTAACTAAACCCGGGATGATTCCTTCCTTTTTCATCTCCTCGACCAATCGAATAGCTTCTTTATGTTCATTCCTTTGGCAATAAGCCAGAAGCAGTGAGTTCCAAGCAACAACATCTCGTTCATCCATGTTCCTAAAAAATCTCGTAGCCAAACTTAGTTCCCTGCATTTCGCATACACAGCCAAAATCGAGTTGCTGACACGAAGACAAGAACTGGTTCCGAGCTTTGTCGCTAACGAATGGATTAATCTCCCCGTCTGAACATCACCGCAGTTCCCACAAGCCTGTAATATCTTGGGAAGCAAGAAATCATCAGGTAAAACCCCATCTTCCATCATCAAATAGAAGAGCTCCACCACTTCCCTCCATTTCTCCCCCCTCGAGTATGCACCGATCATTGCAGACCAAGCGTACAGATTCCTCTCACGCATTGAATCAAACACCTTACGTGCATCAGCCAGACACCCGCATTTCGCGTACATACCCACCAGCTTAGTCTCCACAAACACGTCAGGCTCCAAAACCAGATCGATTCGAGCATGAAGAATCCGACCCAGATCGATAGAGCCCGAACCAATGCACAACTCTAACAAGTCGATGTAAGTGCTGCGATTTACCTTGGACCCATTTCGGGATATCGACTCCAAAGCTCCTTCAGCTTCGAGCAAGCGTCCGTTCCGACAAAAGTAGACCAATTGTTCGTCGGACATCACCAGCTGGTGTTTATTCTTGACGAAAGATATAGTTTTCTTTCTGGTCTGAGGGTGAGCTTCGGGAGAATTCTCAAACTTTACCGGAATTTGGTAATTCAAGCAAGTTTTTGGGATTGAGAGTGTAAACAATTTCTCCATTATCTATAACACTGCACCAGAAGTTGCTACGACGATTCCAGAGTTTATGCTGCTGTTTTGATCGTTTCGTCTTTGACTCTTGAATCTGCAGGAACCGATAGAAGAGATAACAGAGCCGATGAACAATGGGGGAAGAAGATAAGGGTCATCACCTTTATTAGCGGATCATCCAGAGAGTGTAAATATTTCGTGATAAGAATTTCACCCAGTAACATCTCGCCACGTGGCGTGAGACCGCGACTTCAACCAAAGTACATTAACGGTTCTTTTCTCCCTTTTTTTTATTGTCTTTAAAAATATTGAGGAAATAAAACATCACTAAATAGTAAAACATTAAAAGAAAAAAAATTATTGATATACAACGAAAAATACATATAACCAAACAAATTGACATTCTTATCCATACACCACATGGTCCCATCATCATCATCATCATCATCATCATCATCATCATCATCATGTTCACCGTAATCATCGTCAAAGTTAATGACCATACACATCAATAATTATGTCTCAATGCCTTTCCTAAACCTTCTTAGATATTTAATAAATAGAAAGATTGCTCAAACGTGAACATAAACTTTTATTACAACACAAAGGGCAACTGTCCATATTCTCACGACTTCTAATGCAGATGCTAATTTCCAATGAAACTTTGCATGGTTTTATAAGGTAAAAAAAAAAATCTACGGAAATATCAAACTTGATTTATTTAAGAAATTCAAAATCGTAAAGTTCGAATACGAATTTGACCTATAGATAATTTATTTGTCAAATTCAAAATGAACCCAAATTCTAAATACCTAGATAATTTTTTTTTTACAACGTGAGAATCACAACAACTACTTTGCGGACGCGCTGGTTGGATAAATACCCGTTTACATAGGATGTGAATCAACCGTAATTTACTGACGACAAGAAAGTGGATAAAGAGTCGAATCCGACCTCTCGATATATTGATCATATTCCTTACCAATTCACCTAGATTTTTCCATACAATTTCAATTGTTCATTTGTAGTAAACATAGTTATAATATCAAGTAGTATCACAACTAATTTTATAAATATTACATCAATGGAGAAACATAAAGCATAAAGACTATATGGTAGGATCATTATCACACAATAACCACAACTATGGAGAATAATAGCCAAACTAATTGACGTTCATCATCTCCATGCATGCCCCCACATAGTCTCCATCATAATAATGATCACCATCATCACCTTAACCACCATGCCCATGAAGATCATGATGTCTCACCCTTTTTTTTTTTGGTTTCCTAAAACCCTTTTTCTTAAATATTTCGATAAATAACCAAAAGAAAAACTAAAACAGGAGAGAAAATGCGAAAACAGATTAATATATAGAACCCATATTCCATGAACACGAACAGAAAACATCGTCATTGTCTTCTTTTTCCATGTTTCGATGTTTTCGTGAGTATTTTTGTCAGAATCTTCATTTTTTTTCTCTTAGTGGTCAAACGTGGTCCGTTGACCTTGCGAGAAGCGGAGCAGCGAGAGACGTCTTGATGACGTGATTTGCGGGTGCACGATTGATCCCGTGCTCCGCGATGGACTGGATCGCTGCCTTCTCCATCGCGGCGAGCTTCCTCTCCTCGTTCTTTCCGTATAGAACGAAGTAGAGCCCCGTTATTATCAGCACAGCTCCAATGATCCTGTGCGATCACTAACACCGTTAGTAAGGAACGAACACGGAGTTTCTCCCTAATAAATAATTTGTTTCCAGTTAGGCCCCAAAGAATATAAATTGATCAAAACGATCCCTTTCTATGCTCTAATTCTTGCCCTATTAACAGGTAACGACTATTTTCACATGAACACTCTAGATTAGGGATCTTATTTGCGAATTGTTGTAAAAATAAAAGTCATGCTTTGTATGTACCCTCCCAAATAAAATTCTTCGCCTAATGCGATTGAAGCCATGATCGCGACGACGAGAGTCTGGACGGGTTGATAAACAGCGACGAACACTGGACCTCCTCTGTCAATACACCAAATCTGTACTGCAAACGCGATTCCAGACGCAACCACACCCTGAAAAAAGAAAACTAATTACGGTTAAAACTTTGCTTCGAAACGAGGACTCAATTGATCCATATTAAACTACAAGGGTTAAAATCAAAACACCGAAAAAAGAGATGAAAAAAAAAGAAAAGAGACACTGACGGCGTAGAAGATGGTGAAGAGCTCCCAGCCAGAGTGAAAGGCCCAAGCAGTTAAGTCTCTCTCTGCGAAAGCGGCAATGATCAAGAACTGAATAATACCGAAGAAGCACGTGTATGACGTCACCGACAGCCTGGCCGGGTAAGTCTTGAGGACCGGAGCTTGAAGCACGAGCCATCCGGACCACGAGAGGCAATGTCCGATCAAGTAGATGCAACCCATGGTCCAGTTCTTGGGCGCCGCGTCACCGAGCCGCCCGAACGTGGTGGCTCGAGCCGATGCTAGACCGTGGTTGAGATGTTTGGCCGGAGAGTAGATCGTTGGGCCCTTGTAGAGAGTGATCACCGAAGCTCCGGCGACACAAAGTGCAGTTCCCAAGACTTTGGAAAGACCATCTCTTCTGTTCAGTCGAACTTTCTCGATCCTGTTTCGGTTCAGAAAGGGGTCATTCGTGTTAGAAATTCGTCTGAGAAGAAAAGGGTTTCGAGATGTTACGTTCATGAACAAATTGAGAAAAGAAACGAGGGAAAAAATCAAAAAAGGCAGAAACTTTCACTAAGAAAAGGATGAGCAATAACAAGACAAAAACAGGGGATGTTTTAGAACTATGTGCTTGTGTAAGTCTGAATGCGTTTGACAATCTTTACAACTTAAACCAATAATGTTATTAACAATTCAGATGAGTAGAAAAATGCCTGAGAAGAGCAGCCATGAGGAAGGTAATTGCAGGAACAGAGTTCTGAATTGCAGAGGCAAACGTCGGAGATGTGTTGTCCAGTCCCAGCAAGTAGAACCCTTGATTCGCCGTTATTCTGCACCCGACCGTATCATTAGTATTTCCGACCGGACAAGGACACGAATCCGTACGCATAATACGTACCCGACAAGTGCAAGGAGGAAGAACTGAGTGAGGAACTTGAGGCTAATCGCAGGCCTCTCCTTCCTAGACAAACAAAAGAACCGCAATTAATTATTATCATCGCATCTTGATTCACTGTAACCATGGACAAGTAATCAAGAACGTGTAAAGAGAGATACTTTTCGAGGAAGTAAGCGAAAGGGAGGAGGAGGAGCAAGGCGATGATGTTGCGGTAGACGGGGAAGACGAGCATGCTGATGCCCATGTTGAGGGCAGCCCGAGACACGACATGGAAACCGGCATACCCGAACTGCAGAGCCAGCATCGCCCCATGGAGCTGCAGCCTCTCCGGCACCGAACACCACCGCAATCTCCCGCCATCACCTCCGCCGTTTTCCGCCATTGAAGAAAATGAAGTGTTTGTTGTGGTTAAGATGTGGAAAAGGATGAAGAGATGGTGAAGTTTTTTAGTGTGGGGAAGCTTGTGGAGGTATTAATATATATATATATATAGGTCGCCCAACGACAGGAACCGGTTGGTATCTTCGTAAAAAGTATATGTGCAACGATTTTTTTTTTTTTTTGAAGTAAAAAGAATTATAAGAGAATCTGCCTGTGAAGAAAATTATTGTTTTTAATGGAAACTATATTGCAGAAAGAAAATCAAGAACTTGTTGCAGTTTTAAATAGAATGAGTTCAACCAAAATGAATTGAATAAAAATCTAACCAAATTTTAATACCAGTTTGATTTTAATTCGATTGGTTTTATTAATTAATCCAAATGCTGTAAAAATAATTTTTTTAACCCAAACCGAACCAAATCAAATGCAAACCGAAAGTGCCCGTTTTATCCATTTTATATTCAACAAATATTTTTGTTTCTTAACTAAAATTAGTTATCTAATTTTGAGTTGAAAGTTATAAACAATAACAGATGATATCAAATTTTACAATTTACCAACCCCGTAATCTTATTTCTATACCATTTAAATGTTCGGAAAAAAAGTAAAATTTATAATTCATTGTGTTATAAATAAAAAAATATCTTCTATTTTATTTTTGTATGGAGGATATATCGTTAAATTAATTAATTGATTGATAAAAGGACCCATCATAATTAATTGTGAATATAGAAAGAAATTATGAAGAGGCAACCGTGAAGAAGAGAAATTATAAATGTTTGAAGGCTGTCTCCCATATTCTTTCCCTCTATTTTAGCTGACAAGACAACCCCCACGCCACACACTACTCGTCATTATTATTATTATTATTATTATTATATTTATTTCTTGTAGAAAATGTTGAAACTAAAATATGAAAAGAGAAAAATTGAAAAATTTAATAAAAAGTCACATTGATTTATTATCATTATTATATCTAAAATAAAATTGATATAAAATCTTAACATATATTTTTTTAGAACAAAATGTTAACTAAATATAAAGCAATCTAAAGATAATATAAAAAGTTTTTAAGTTAAATAGTTTCAATAAAAACAAAAAATCAAATAATGAAAGTAAACAAATATCGGTATTTCAAAACTAAAAAATGTGACTATAATTAAATAAAGAAAATAAAGCAAGAAGAATGGCTGACCCCTCGTTGACATAATTATTTCGAATACTTCATTTTCTTTGGTAGCATGGCATTGGTAATAATAATTGTAAAGGACAGCGGTCGCTCCAAAGGATATCCTCGTTATAGATGTTTTTTATTACAAAAAATGAATTCGTTTAATTTATATATTTATATATATATATATATTGCTTTAATTTTTTGTTGGTTCAACAGTGAAGATTAGGGGTGGGCGTTTCGGGATTCGGTTCGGAATTTTAACGGTTCGGTTCGGGAACGGTTTATTCGGTATTATAAAATTTGTACCAAATTTGTACCGTATATTATTCGGTTCGGTTCGGTTCGGTATTATGACGGTTCGGGATGGTACGGTACTAATAAATAAGTACCAAATAAGAACCGAAATAAAGACGGTTCGGGAACGGTTCGGGACGGTTCGGAACGGTTCATAACATATTCATAATTTATATAGTATAAAAAAAAACATCCAACATAATAATTTTAGAGAACAAAATAAAAGTATTGAACTTTATATAACCATAAGAAAATTTTACATAATAATTTTGAAATTTTCTATAAATACGATCAAAATTTTAAATTACACTTTAAAAATTATATCATATATGTAGAAATCCTTCTTTACCGACAAGTAAAATGTATGCAATATAAAAAAAGACAAAAAATAATATAAATAAAAAGAGATAAAAATAAAATATTTATTAAGTAAAATATAGTAATTATCATAATTAATTATTAATATTAATTTTTTTAATTAAAAATAAAAAATACCGAAATACCGTTCGGTATTTTCCGAACCGAACCGAACCGTTCCCGAACTGTTCGGTATCTTAAATCTTGTACCGTTCGGTATTTTTATATAATACCGAACCGAACCGTTCCCGAATTAATCGGTTCGGTACGGTTCGGTACTAGATTCCCGAACCGAATTGCCCACCCCTAGTGAAGATGATGTAAACTCAACTCTAAATTCGAATTTAATTCCGTAGAATTTAATTCGATATTTTTTTTCTACAAATGGATTTCGACATATTTTCAGTATAATTCATGCGATGTTTTTCATATCGTGTAGACTATAGTTTAGACTTCCTATTTGAACACGGGTTATTCAAACATTATACGACATATTGGATTTAAAATTTTATAAATATTTTTATATATATTCTTGTAATATTATATATTAACACTATCCAATATTCAATAAACTCCCCGTGTTCCAATATCCAATATTTATCTATAACAAAAATGTTTTGATTTGCAAGAAAAAAATTATTTTATGCCGTTTTTATTGCTATTCATCATATTTAATTTCATTTCTTCATAATAAAATTCTATAAAAGGTTTTTTTTTTATATGTATAGCCTAATATTACATATTAAACTATTCAATATTCAATAAACTCCCCTACCTACAACAAAAATGGTTTATTTTGCCAGCAAATATTTATTTCGTTTTTTACTTTTAATAGGAAAATTGTTTTTATATTATTTGATGATTGCAAAAATACATCTTAATATATAGCAAACTATAATAGAATATTCTAGGAATAATATCTTCCTATATTTTCTTCATATTCAAAATGAAAATGTATAATTACTTAATATTTGGTTATTTTTATCATGGAGGCGGGGACGGAACCCCACGCGCTCTGGTGGCTCGTGAGACCCACAGTACCTCCCACCACACGGGCAAAGCCACACGCCTCGAATGTATCTATCTATCTACACGCTTCGGTCCTTTTTTTATTTATATTATCTGTATCTTATTATTTTCTCGAACTACCAAATCTTCTGTTTTTTTTTTCTCCTTTGGGATTTTCCGATGTAGTTTTTACTTATATATTGTTATCGTTTTCCTTTTGGAGAGTTCTAATAATGGTATTGCACTGCACGGACATTTCGTTAATAATATGCTCTAGATATGTGAATATTGATATTATTATTAGAAAAATTACTTAAAATTAAATTAAAAAAACTTATCAAACACTTCCACATAAATAAATTGTATTTTCTTCTTATAAATACATTAACTATTTGAAATTTCTAAATAAATATATAATTTGTCAAGATTTTATCTGATTTTCATAATGATAATAATATTAAAATATATATAATTTTAATTTCTAGGTCTAAAGATGGACAAGTAATGCTTCTAAAAAGATGGAAAACTTAGATATTTGTCTAGTCATCTGATCTAAAGATCATAACCTTCACAATATAAAATCTTAATTCCCATGTATTTATAATTCTTTCCCATAAAATATTAATTATAAATCACATAATAATATCTACACATCACTCACTTTATTTTATTTTTTTTGAAGATAGATATTTAGGTCCATCAATATTATCAGGTCATACAATATAGCACATAATGTATTTGCTATTCGATAGATGTTGAGTTTAGATAACATCTTTAACAAAAAAAAAAGTTTAACAAAAAAAGTTTAGACAACAACTTAATAGATACATGAAATCAAATTGAAAATATTCCAATACAAAAGCTTTAGTATTTTTGCTAAGAAATTCCTTTTTTTCTGTTACACGCGCATTTCACAATTTAGTTATTCATATCTACGATTTTCTTAAAACAACATTACATAGATGTTTAACTAACACAATTTATTTTATCTATTATATATCTAATTAATAGATACGTGAAATCAAATTGAAATTATATATATATATATATGTTTTATACTACAAAAATAGGCTACTTTGATTTCTTAGGGCATCTATCTCTTGGATGGGTTCTCCAAAGTATAATATCAAGTGGGGTGGATGTTTTTTGGCATGCAATGTGTAAAGCAAAATTACAAGCATTTGCATGATTTCTCTTGATGGCATTTGTTTGGCTTTGCATGCACAGCAGGAAACTTCAACCCACTCCCACTCCACCTTCTTGACATGAACTTCAATATTGGTGATTTAGTTATATGTTTTTTTTGCCCGACATGATTAAACTACTAATGTTCTTGTCATAATTTCTCCACTTATTGCTTTCCTTCCACGTATTATTGTCCAAGAACCAGATTTCCAACTCGGAATAAATATCCTTTTTATCATTTTTTTTTTACTTTCACTTTTGAAAGATACTTTGAAATTGGTCAAATTTTGAAAATCTACTGTATGGCCAAAAAAAATCTTTCTCTTTGGATATCTCATATATATAAATTTCATAAGATGTTTTTTTTTTATTGAATTATGTATATACACTCTTTTACCCTAGGCCATATAGGAGTCAAACTTGGAAACCCCATGTAAACTAGTTTCTTAGAACCAGATATCATATCATCATATGTTATTGTAAATTAAGTTATTATAAATTTTTACCACTTAATTACTTTGTGCCTCCATCTTCATATATATATATATATAGTTGCCCTTGTCACTCCTGATAGATGATAGGTTTTCTTAATCAATATTTTGAGAATCACGTGAATAGTTTAATACCTCCTATGGTCTTGGAACTTGGAACTTGGAACTTGCTAATTAAGAAGGGCAGATCATCTACTAAGTTACGAACACAAGAGCAAAGAACAAAAGATTCTTCCTAACTTGGTGTCAAGATTCTTGTTTTGCTATGCATTTCTATATAGACAACTAAGGATTACACTATAGCTGACACTTGAAACACGACACTCTCTAGGAAATGCTCTGGGCATCTCTCTCTCTCTCTCTCTCTCTCTCCGGTATATAATGGTCTGCCACTGATGATTTCCACGTAAGGGGTAATAACGAAGTCTCCATTAGCATTGTCCCAAAACGCATGCACTCGACACTGTTTTCATAAAGTCACTCAAGTTGCTGATCCTATATGGCTTCCATTCAAATTCATCGAATTACAGAATCCCATTAACGATATTTCGATTTTCTGCTCCCAAGATTCTGAAACTGTCGCTTTCGATGGATTTCATATCAACCGTTGCCTTGTTCGCACGAGCATCTTGTACAGACATTATCGTAACATGTACGTATAAGATTTAACCTAAGATTCCTACGTATTTGCTCTTATGTCTCGCGGCATATTCTACTCTGGTTGAATATCCATCATCACCAACGTCTCGCTCTTGACGTCATATATTCGTGTTCAACGTTTTGATCAATCCATCATCGGTTAACGTTGTGGAACCTTTCAAGCATTGGGAGGCACATTATGCAACCTCCATTATATATATATATATATATTAAACAAAAATAAATAAATTAAAAGGGAAAAAAAAACAAAGGTAATAAAACTCTCACATCACAAACTCGAACTCGCCAATGAACGTAAACGTAAATTATGATCCGAGTGTACTTGCCATGCCAACTGCAAGGACTCGTAATGGAAGTGGTCGAAATCCTCAATCACTAACTGACGACTTAAGCTTTTCAGTACGGCCTAAATCCACGGTCGGCTCGGATTGCCGACCCGACGGGCACTCGTAAGCCATGTGTCCCCGGCCGCCGCAGTTGTGACAGATTATAATCATCATCTGACTCATGCAATCCCGACCCATGTGACCCATCTGATGACAGTTCCTGCACACAATATCTCGGGTTCTGAACCCGCCTCCCCTATCCGAAGGGTAACCGTCTCCTTTAGGGCATTGTCTCGCCAAATGTCCCGAGATGTTGCAGATGTTGCAAACAGGTTGTTCATGGCAGTCACGAGCGATGTGACCCGTTTTCCTACAGTTCTTGCACGCTTTTCCGTTGGTGCAGTCGGCGGCTAGATGACCGGGCTTGAAGCAGTTGTTGCAGAGTCTCGAGTCTCCTGAACGGGGCTCGGGGTTAGGGCAGTCTCTGGCTCGGTGTCCGGATTTCCCACAGGAGTGACAGATTCCCTCGTTAGGACAGCTGTTAGCAACATGTCCCGGTTCTCTACAGTTCCAGCATCGTGCTTCGGCCGTGCACTCTGCTGCAATGTGCCTGTAGAGAGATGGTTTTAGACCAAAAACCGAAATTCGTAAAAGGTAGTTGAAGGTTGTGTAATGAAGGAGTGTCAAATTACCCAGGAAGACCGCAGTTGTTACAGACAGAAACATTAGGACAGTCCCTTGCGAAATGGCCAGGTCGCTTGCAGTTATTGCAGAGATTCCCTTGGCTGAAAATATGTTCCAAAAAGATAAAAGATATTGTCACAATCCTAACAAGTTTGTTCTTGAGATGTTTCGGTATTTCTGCATATGTTCAGTTAACAAATACAAGATAATTTCATTCAACTTCAAGCGATTGAATGCACAAAATCACGGTCACATTATTTGACATGAATTCACTTCATATTTACGAGTTCATTTGCTAAGAATCCTGTCAGATTATCAACAAGTCAAAGAAAACATGGCAACCAAACAATGCAAGAGCAGAGCAGATAACCACAAATCTTGCCCATAATCATAATATATCAAGCGAATGGACGATCAGCCTTAATATCATATAGACGAATATTTAAAATTGCTACTTCGACAACCCTTTATCTTTGAGTTAAAGATTGGGTATTCTATTTCCGAAAGAACTTTTCCGTTTCTCCATGTTCTAAATTTAAAAAGCCTTTCCTTACTAATTCTAGAGAAAAATAAGGGCAACAAAGGTTCCAACAACAAGAGTCGGGACAAAACGGACCTGAAAGGACGACGTGGATCCCTCCTAGAAGGACCATTAGGGTAGGAAGAACGTTCAGATCCAATTCTCCGATCTCTCGGCCCTCTGCTTCGACTCCTACTCCTACTTCGGCTTCGGCTCCTGCTCCTGCTCATGCTACGTGAACCCATTTCCATTTCTCCGACAACTTCTCAATGCCCACACAAACGAAAAAATAATCACACCGACACCATTACATGCCAATATTAACCACACAAACCAGATTACATCCAGCAACCCAACACAACTCCAAAGTAAAAACTTAGTCAACAGACAGACAGACATGTGTACCGATTATACCAAGAACCGAGTCTAAACAGATTCCACAAGGACAAGAGTTGCATCCAATCCTCACATACACCAAGACAACTCCAATGCCACATTACGCAAACCTTAAAACCGTTCTGGCAATTAGTGGCTCCTCGCATCACAACACTACTCATGGAATTGCATACAATATATCTCAAATTTCACCTGTTTCTCTGCACAAAAATTAACCTAACAATCTTCCATCGCCACGATTTATTGTCTGATTCCATGGGATTTAGTAAGAAACTAAAAGAATCAGCGGCAGAACATTAAACTACGTTGCAGCAGGTCATAGACGGAACTGGTTACGACAAGATCGTATCCAAATTTCAGACAAATGCCATTCCCCAATCGGCTAAGGATTTTCTAGGTTTCAAAGAGAATCAGATAAAAATGGAAAAATCAAGCGACATGAAATAAATTGCACCCCCCGAATATACAGGTAAAATTTCCCAAAAAAAAAATGGGAAACGAGTGACGATATCGCAGATTAAAGAGGAAAGCACCATGAAATCGAATTCGTAAAATCTCCATAGCGAAAAAAAACCACAAACCACAGAAAAAAAAAAAACAGATTCAGAAACGATAGAGGAACAATACGTCGTAGAGATTGGGTTTTGACGAACCTGAGGGGCGCATTTGCAGAAACTCTATCAGCGATGAAGACGCAGATTTTTGCTTCGACCAAAGGAGAAATTAGAAATTATCATGTTAGGCAATTCCGGGCATGACCCCTAAATCTAATAATAATAATAACAAGGGAAAATGACATTTTCCTACAACAACTTGGCAAAATGTGACCTTTTACTACACGAATTTTTAATTTAACAAAAAACTACACCAAATTATCAAATGTGCCAAATTGATACACGAATTACCCGATTTAACTGCAATTTCCTACACAATCCGAAAACGATGTTAAGTGTCCGTTAACCGCTGACATGGCATGCCACGTGGCGGCTGACGTGGCACGCCACATAGATTTTTTACCACGTCAGCATGCCACGTCATATTTTTAAAAAAAAATTCCGAAAAATATAAAAAAAAACGATTTTTTTTTTAAATTTAAAATAAAATAAATAAAAGAAAAAAAATATATACATATATATTCATATCTATATACAAATAAAAATATAAATATATATACAAAATAAAAAACATATACATATATATACAAACATCTATACAAATATATATATACATATACATACAAACAAATATATTTATATATACATATACATATATAAACACATATATATGTATATATACATATGCATATACATACATACATACATACATATATATGTTTATATTTGTATTTGTACATAGATATGAATACATATATATACATGTATATGTATTTATATATGTATGTGTATATATATAAATATACTTGTATGTATGTATATGCATATATATTTGTATAAATGCATGTATATATGTGTATATTTTTATTTGATATATATAGAAATATATATACATAGAAGTATTTATGTTTATATTTGTATTTGTATGTGGATATGAATATATATATATATATATGTGTGATTTTTTTTATTTTGTATGTATGTATGTATGTATGTATGTATGTATGTATATGCATATGTATATATACATATATATGTGTTTATATATGTATATGTATATATAAATATATTTGTTTGTATGTATATGTATATATATATTTGTATAGATGTTTGTATATATATGTGTATGTTTTTTATTTTGTATATATATTTATATTTTTATTTGTATATAGATATGAATATATATGAATATATATATATATATATATATATTACTATTTATTTATTTTATTTTAAATTTAAAAAAAATCGATTTTTTTTCATATTTTCGGAATTTTTAAAAAAATATGACGTGGCATGTTGATGTGGCAAAAAATCTATGTGGTGTGCCACGTCAGCCGCCACGTGGCATGCCACGTCAGCGGTTAACGGACACTTAACACCGTTTTCGGATTGTGTAGGAAATTGCAGTTAAATCGGGTAGTTCGTGTATCAATTTGGCACATTTGATAATTTGGTGTAGTTTTTTGTCAAATTAAAAATTCGTGTAGGAAAAGGTCACATTTTACAAAGTTGGTGTAGGAAAATGTCATTTTCCCTAATAATAATAATGAGTTAATTTAAGTTTAATTTTTGGGTTTGTCCTTTTCTTTTTCCGATTTTGATATTGAAACATATTGTTCCAATTTTATATGTTTTGCCGTGACTAATAAATTTTTTTTAAAAAAAACAAAAAACAATTCCGTTGCCGGGACTTGAACCCGGGTCTTTCGGGTGAGAGCCGAATATCCTAACCAACTAGACTACAACGGATTTGATGACGATGACATTATATCTCTATTTTTGTTACCAAATATTTACATATAAATTCAATTATTAGATTAAATATGTTCAAATCATGACTAAGCCATCTATATTAAGCTTGTTAGCGTACCATCTTTTTTATTCTAAATCCACTCTTTTGTGAAAAAAAAGATTAAGGGTCTATAATTTTCCGCCAAAGGAAATGCTCTAGTGACATTGAAACATGAGCACATGCATGTAAATTTTTATATACAGAATAAATACCATATAGTAATAGTAACAATCTTCGTAGTTATAGCGTATCTATGCATAAGTAGGGTTTCTCATAACACATTTGCATACACCACGCAAATCTCAGAGACAACTCGTGACACAAAAGCATCCATCATCCATCAATGGCACGAGCTAAGTTCTCTGCTAAACCTCTCTCTCTCCTCTTCATCTCCTCCGCTCTCCAATTCCTCCTCCTCGTCCACGTGGCATCTGCCGCCGCCGTGGCCGTAGGAGGTCGGTGGCAGCTCCTCCGTCGAAGCATTGGGATCTCGGCGATGCACACGCAGCTCCTCCGGAACGACCGTGTCGTGATGTTCGACCTCACAGACTTTGGTCCCTCAAACATCTCCTTGTCCGGAGGGAAATGCCGCCACAGCCCAAACGACGGTGCCTCGAAAGTGGACTGTACGGCACATTCCGTAGAGTACGATGTCGTCTCGAACAGGGTCCGTCCACTCACCATTCGGTCCAACACCTGGTGTTCCTCCGGTTCGGTCGCGCCGGACGGGACGTTGATCCAGACCGGAGGGTTTGGAGACGGAGAGAGGCGAGTCAGAATGTTCTCTCCTTGTAGGAAGAACAAGTATTGTGACTGGAAAGAGATCGAGAACGGACTGGTTGTAAGGAGATGGTATGCTTCGAATCATGTTTTGTCCGATGGCAGACAGATAATCGTCGGTGGTCGTGGACAGTTCAGCTTCGAGTTTTACCCGAAAACGAAAGATCCGAACGTATACAGCTTACCCTTTTTGGCTCAGACCAACGATCTCGGAACTGAGAACAATCTATACCCTTTTGTTTTCCTCAACGTCGATGGAAACGTATTCATTTTCGCCAACAACCGAGCCATCTTGCTTGATCATGGCAACAACACGGTGGTCAAGACTTACCCTACGATTCCGGGGGGTGACCCGAGATCGTATCCAAGCACTGGCTCTGCCGTTCTCCTGCCACTGAAGAATCTCGAAGCTCTTAACGTCGAGGCCGAGGTTCTGGTGTGTGGTGGTGCAACTAGAGGAGCGTATGAGCTAGCACTGAAAAACACTTTTGTAAAAGCACTCAACACATGTGCAAGGATCAAGATAACGGATCCGAACCCGAAGTGGGAGATTGAGACGATGCCTCGTGAAAGAGTCATGGGAGATATGACCCTTCTCCCGAATGGACATGTTCTACTCATCAATGGCGGTTATTCAGGAACTGCTGCATGGGAGTGTGGTCGCGAACCGGTGTTTGCTCCGGATCTTTATCGCCCCGATAACCCATTAGGGTTTAGGTCCGAGAGCCAGAAACAGACCTCAATTCCGAGAATGTATCACTCAACCGCTGTTCTACTTCGAGACGGGAGAGTTCTTGTCGGAGGAAGTAATCCACATCGTTACTATAACTTCACAGGCGTGCTTTTTCCGACAGATCTAAGCCTAGAAGCTTTCTCACCGTCGTATCTTGATCAAGAATTCTCGAATCTCCGGCCGAAGATTATAGCTCCAAAGTCACAGTCCAAGATCAAGTACGACACGAAGTTAAAGCTGAGATTCACAGTGTCGGATGAGGTCAAGAGTCCGGTGAAGGTGACGATGGTTTACCCGTCCTTCGCGACTCATTCCTTCTCGATGAATCAGAGGGTTCTATTTTTGGACAACGTTAAGTTCACCACAAGAAGCAAGACGGCAAGAAAAACAACGTATGGAGTCGAAGTGAAGACACCGAGATCGGCCAACGTGGCACCGCCTGGTTATTATATGATGTTCGTCGTGAATCAGCATATTCCAAGCAAAGGTGTATGGGTACGGCTGCTATAAGATTCTTATTCAACACCATGTATTAGCACCTTTTTAATGACGATGATTATAAAATAAATTATTGTTAGAAACAAAAACTAAACGGTGTATTTACTATTTCACTAATACGTTAGAACACGACGAACCAAATAAGATATAGTGTAAACTAAAATAATCGGATCGGATATTCGGGTTTGTGACGTTTTTAACATAATTAGAAAAAATAACCTATAGTTTAAACTAAATCAAAGGAGATCACATAATTAGAGTGCCTCTCATAATCATGCATTTGAATACACAAGTAGAAGAACACGTCTTTGTAATCATCAATAGGTTAGATGGATATTCACATGTATCCCGCTTGTTTGTTTTTATCTTATTATGATAATGACAGTCTTAATTACCTTACCAGATTAGGCGGAGGCTCATTAGAGAGATGGATGAATATACACACTGATGCTAAAGTTGAATTTCCACATTTGCCCCCTCTTTGCTCTGCAGTGGCATTTATTATGACATGGACTTTATAGCCCTAAAAGGAAAAAAAATGGCTATTTGTTTATATAGAATATATGCAAATATTATTTACATAATTTATATATACAAATATTATTTACATAATTTGTTTTTAAAAAATTTAACTAGTCTTAAATGATAGCTATTAGCTCCGAAGAAATCTAATCAATATTTATTTGGAGTTTGTATAAAAAATAAAATAGTTTTTATTTTGAATTCGGAATTTTGTTAAAAAAAAAAACCCATGCGTACTCTATATTTATTTGTGTTTGTGTTCGAAATTCAAATATTAACATTGAAGTTATCCATACAAGCGACATTTTAATAGATATAGCAATAATAATGCTGTTAATAAAATTTAAATAAAAGATAGAAAAAGAAAAGGCATATTTATGAACCTGACCAGTCCGCGGAGACTATATGTTAAGAGAAAAAGGATCATAGAAAATGCCAATCAGATTCAATCCAAATATAGTTAAGTCTTGGAACCAAATTTAACACCTTTAAAGTAGTTTTTGTTGCTATTTTCTGTTAAGTATATGTAGTTCGAAAGTATAAAATTGAATTAAATCAAAGAGAATAATGTATATTATATAGCATTAAATTTTTTAAAACAAAAATTGTTATATAAAATTAATCTTAAACGGCGATGAATTTGATCGGTTCGCACAGTTGGCGGGTTGAATTTTTTTATTTATTTATTATGGATTTAGTAATTATAAGTTACTACTAGGACAAATTATTTTGTTAACGTGTATATATTTTAAAGATTATGAAAACACTGTTTAAGGCTGCGACCTAGCAAAACATATAAGTAGAATTTGAACAAATGAATTCGATATTATTTATTCCTTTTATTATATATATTTTAACCATATTATATTTAACTTAAATATATTTGTTAGCTGAAATATGGATCGGCCTTGTCCTTGAAGAAGAAGATGAAACATGATCTTCTTCTTCTTTTTAATAAGATTAGGAAAAAAAAAAAGGAGAGATTTTTATCATACAAAATAAGATCTTTTATCTTTCTTTCTAAAACATTATCTCCTTGAAGAAGAAGAAGATGATGATGAAACATGATCAAGCACGCTCTCCGCGAATCCGACGGGCTAATTGGATGTCCTTGGGCATAATGGTGACCCTCTTGGCGTGAATGGCGCAGAGGTTCGTGTCTTCGAAGAGACCCACCAGGTAAGCTTCGGCAGCCTCCTGAAGAGCCAACACCGCATGGCTCTGGAACCTCAGATCCGTCTGCATTCACAAAATCAAGCCTTTCATATGAAACCCAGTTTGATGATAGACAAAACAAATACACAGATTCCTTAGCTATCAGAGTTTCAGATTGCAAGAAAAAGAGAATATACCCAGTGATCATACAATATGTCTGTCCATGCAATTGGATACTTGGCTACCCAGTTTCGGATTCGTAACTCAGGTTGCTAGAATCCAATCGAGCATGTCATGTCATATGAAACCCAATTTCAAAAAAACACAGATTCCTTGGATCATATGACAAGCCGTTAGTTTCAGCCTCTGCAATGAAATCTGTCACTAGCAATCCTTGCTTGCAACGCCAGATTCTTGAAAACACAAAAGATGAAACCGATTTGCTGTACCCTTTTCGAAGAAGACAGATTCAAGTTTACAGAACAGCGTAGGTAACAAAATATGGAACTTCCTGTGGTACTAGTTCCAAAGAATCCCACATCAATCTGCGAGCCATATCTTCTCGGATACTAACAGCACAATAACTTGAGGTTCTGAAACAGAGATCGAAGAAAAAGCTTGATCAGACAAGGCCGTTCATCGATGAAGAATAAAACCCAGAGAGTGAAAAGCCACTTCAAACCCCAGAAAGAATGACACCACCGAAAGATCCTTACCTTCGTAGAGAATTTGGAGTCATGTCATATGAAACCCAATTTCAAAAAAACACAGATTCCTTGGATCATATGACAAGCCGTTAGTTTCAGCCTCTGCAATGAAATCTGTCACTAGCAATCCTTGCTTGCAACGCCAGATTCTTGAAAACACAAAAGATGAAACCGATTTGCTGTACCCTTTTCGAAGAAGACAGATTCAAGTTTACAGAACAGCGTAGGTAACAAAATATGGAACTTCCTGTGGTACTAGTTCCAAAGAATCCCACATCAATCTATATTATCTCATCCTACTACGGGAAAAGCCTAGAGTTTGAATCCATTGCAGAGGCTGGATTTGCTCATTCAAACATCGAGCAAATATAAACATGATCGAGGAAGATGGATTTGTTCACCTTGAAGTCCTGGGCAATTTCACGAACAAGACGCTGAAACGGAAGCTTACGGATCAACAACTCCGTGCTCTTCTGGTACTTGCGAATTTCACTGTTACATTATTAAAAAAAAAACCATTGAACCCATTAGATTTCACATCGAAGAGAAGATGGTTTCACAACCCGAAACGTGTAATTACCGAAGGGCGACGGTTCCAGGACGGTAGCGGTGAGGCTTCTTCACTCCTCCGGTGGTCGGAGCAGATTTCCTCGCGGCCTGCGTTTCGATTGCATTAGAACCATAACCCAAACTCCAAACTCCAAAATCATTCAAAACTAAACCCCAAAACGAAAACCCTAGATCCCCTTTTGGCATGCCGATTGTAATCCGAAACCGAAACGAAACTAACCTTAGTGGCGAGTTGCTTCCTCGGAGCCTTTCCTCCAGTCGATTTACGAGCAGTTTGCTTCGTACGAGCCATGTCTTGTCAAACGAAAACAACGCAAGGGCTTGAAATTCGGTGACAGACAAGGCGAAAAAGCTGAATCAGACAAAATCAGAAGGAATTCGCAGAAGAATCACGTCATCGGAACATTCTTACCTTCAAACAGAATCGCAAAAGCGCAACATGATACTGGGCATGTTAGAAGAATGTAGTAAATAGGTGAAGTTACAAGTTGACGATCTTTGTGTTGAAATCTTATTGGTTAACTCTCTCTATTCTATGCCTGGATCGGTGACGTGTACAGCCTTGTGTTTCTATATCGACTATTTGTGTTCCGCTGGTATAACAGCTCGACAATTTAACAAAATATTCATTGACAAAGTTAAAAATTACAGCTTCAAAGATTATCAAATTGTCAACATTATGAAACAATTAGGGTTTGGGACAATTACGGTTTTACAACCAAAACCCTAAATTGAAGGTTTGAACTTTTAGCCAAATCATGAGATGTAACATCCAAGGATATTGAAATAGTCAAACTACTCCTTCCAAGTTTAGAGACAAATGATTCAGACAATGTAATGTCCTCATAAGAAATCGAAAAAACGAGGAATTATCATACAAAGCGTCCTCCTATTGAGCTTTCGCATCTTTCAAACCATCAAAATACCCGACAAAACTAACACAAATGGCTACTGAATAACGGATTAAGCACGCTCTCCGCGAATCCGACGGGCCAACTGGATGTCCTTGGGCATAATGGTGACCCTCTTGGCGTGAATGGCGCAGAGGTTCGTGTCTTCGAAGAGACCCACCAGGTAAGCTTCGGCAGCCTCCTGAAGAGCCAACACCGCATGGCTCTGGAACCTCAGATCCGTCTGCATTCACAAGACAAACACCAAATTAGGTTAATTTCATGACCCACGGAAAATTGAAAGCAACCATTTGATTAAGTTACTGGGCACGGTTCCAAGTTCCAGACTTCAGAAGTCCAATGGATGCTCAGAAATTACCTTGAAATCCTGGGCGATTTCACGAACAAGTCGCTGGAAGGGCAATTTGCGGATTAACAACTCCGTACTCTTCTGGTACTTGCGGATTTCACTGTTTCATGATAAAAAACAAACAAAGCATTAGATTACATTTCGCATCGAACACAAGATGCGTTCATCATGATAATTCACAAGTACTCACCGAAGGGCGACGGTTCCAGGACGGTAACGGTGAGGCTTCTTCACTCCTCCGGTGGTCGGAGCAGATTTTCTCGCAGCCTAAATTTGAATTTCGTACAAAAATAATCATAAACCCTAACTCGGAATATCCCCCAAAATCATTCGAATGGAAAACCCTAAATCGATAGTCTAATGCCGGTAAATCACCAAAACCCATACCTTGGTCGCAAGCTGTTTTCTCGGAGCCTTTCCTCCTGTCGATTTACGAGCGGTTTGCTTCGTACGAGCCATATCTTCTCGGATACTAACAGCACAATAACTTGAGGTTCTGAAACAGAGATCGAAGAAAAAGCTTGATCAGACAAGGCCGTTCATCGATGAAGAATAAAACCCAGAGAGTGAAAAGCCACTTCAAACCCCAGAAAGAATGACACCACCGAAAGATCCTTACCTTCGTAGAGAATTTGGAGGGAGAGATCGAAAATCGCAACACACAAATTTTGAGAATCTGAGAATACTGTATGAATTAGATGGATTAGGGAATATATACGGGAACGTTAAGTGGGTTTATTCTGGGGAGCGATGCATGTGAAGCTTAAGATCCGGGATTAGAAAATTTTGACGGTCCTGATTCATTGGCTACTGACGTGGCAATCCCCGACCACGAACGTTATTGGTGGCTTTTTTTTTATGTAGATTGATGACATGGACGATTTGTGTTTCTCCTTTTCCGGGACGCGTGCGGCGTACCCGAGGGAGCATCGGTTATGTATAATTTGAAAGAACACTAATAAATTTTACATAATATTTAAAAAAACATTCAGCCAAACAATCCATTTTTAAATCAATTTAAAATGAAAAATAAAAAGAGAACTAAAATTGATGGACAAATTGTCTAATAATACAATGACTAATAGAATGTTTAAGAAAAAAAATCAAGAGGGAAAAAATTCCAAGAGGATACTGTATTGTTTTTCATTTTAAATATTGAAAAGACTACCAAATATTTATGATTGTTTAACTATAGATATAGATAGAAAACAATTGTATATCAAATTATCAAATATTCTAAGATGCGTATTAAAATTTATAAATTATCAAATATCCTAAGATGTGTATTAAAATTTTTCATTAAATTTTACCAATCAACCAAAATAGGAATGTTTTAATGCGACATTAACCACTCACATTCATCAGGCAGGTTAATTTTCTAAAAATTCGAAAATTTAGTTTTTTAGAAATTTAATAAATTTAAAGAAAATTCTGTTTTGTTTTAGTTTTTGAAATCTATCAAATTTGTTTTCTGAAGCAATATTTTAGATTGAGATATTTGAAAAAAGGGCAAAAACAAAAAGAATTAAATAAAAAAAAAAAAGGAAAGCGGACGAAACGTTACACAAAAGCAAAGGGAAGATATATGGAATTTTACTTTTTGGATAATTAAAAAATTGCATATTGTTTTGGGTATTGATAATAAATCCTGGTTTCCACTTATCACATTTGCTTCTTCCGCAGTTCTTGTCGTATATTTTTTGTTTCTCAAATTAGGGTTTTTATCTGTTCTTCATCTCTGCTTTTGTCCCAAACTAGAAGAGAAGACCCTTTTCGCTGTCCCTCAGATCCGACCAAAATACTAGCCGTTGTTTCCCGTTTTCCCGCCATTTTCAGCTCCCCGAAGGAACCCACTCTCCGCCATTGAATCCGCTTTCGTTTGGATCCATTTTCTTCTTCGCTGGACTCCTGAGAAATTTCTCCCTCTTTATTCTTCTACTATTGTTTTTGCTCGGCCATGGCGGCGATAGAGTCGGAGAAGAAGGACGAGAACTCGTCCGGGGGAGGTGAGCTGTTGTTCTGTGGCGGGACGTCCTGGGACAACATCGGACGTAAGAAAGGACAGTTTGAAGGCAACTTGGTTTCTCCGACTCGGCTCAGGCCTCTTGTCGGCGTCAACATTCGATTCGTCGCCTCTGGTTCCGGTAAAACTTCTCTTGATGAAATGAAGTTTGATTTCTGATCTATAAGAATGGAAGAAGCGACGCCATTGTTGTGAAACTTCACTACTTGCTTGGGTTCTTATTGCTTTTGCCCCTGTGAATGTTTCTGCAGTTTCATGTCATTGTGTGGCATTGGACGTCGAAGGGCGTTGTTACACTTGGGGACGCAATGAGGTATCTCAGACAACTTTATTGCTTTTGTTCTTGCATTGTCTTACTTTGGATGGATTTCTTTAGAATGAACTTAGGATATGAATTCCAGTGATTGAATTGTCTGTTCAGAAAGGCCAACTGGGTCATGGAGATATGATACAGCGTGATCGGCCGACGGTTGTTTCAGAACTTTCTAAGTGAGTGTCCATCTTTCCTTGTTGGGCTTCCTTACAAGTTCTGATGTTATTGTGTTTTAAGGACTGGCTTCTTTATCGTGATGCTCCTCTTAAAGGTACAAAATTGTGAAAGCTGGAGCCGGGAGGAACCACACTGTTGTGGTTAGCAGCGATGGCCAGTCCTTTGCTTTCGGCTGGAATAAACATGGGCAGCTGGGTTCGGGTTCGGCTAAAACTGGTATGAGAAAATGCATGGATTTCTGATGTTATCTTACAGTACTAATGACAGCCTTTTGTCGTCATGTTTGTAGAAGTTGAGCCATCCCCTGTTCAGTGTCTTGTTTCTGATGTTTCAAATACTGCTTGTGGAGCTGACTTCACTGTGTGGTTATCTTCCACTGAAGGAGCATCTATACTGTATGGTTTCTTGTTTCTTGGGTTAGAATTTCCTTTCTGCGTTATCATACTCCCATTTAGAATGACTTCTTGCTCACTCTTGGAATATTTGGTTTTTTTAGGACAGCGGGCTTGCCACAGTATGGTCAACTTGGTCATGGAACTGATAACGAGGTGTGTCCATTGAAAAAAAGTTGTCTGATCATATAAAAGATCTGGCTATCATTTCTTTATTGGCTCTTTCTCGGGTTCATATTTCAGTTACACCGATAAAGTGGTTCAAAGATTCGGAATCTGGATGTAAACTCACCGCGGTGAATCTTCTTGAAGTTTTCATATACATTTTAGAATTGTATTTCATTACCATTGCTTGTCTAAAACCCCTATCCAATGCGTTTGAATGAAAAAAAAAATCTGCGTGGACTGAAAGATCTCTACTAGTGTCTTCTCATGTCGATTCAAATTGCTTAAGAGCCATTTAGATCTTGAAACTTGTGTTAGATAGATGTCTCAGCTAAATATTTGTACCAAGTTATACTTTTTGTCTGTCTTTTCAGTACAATATGAAGGATAGTTCGGTTAGACTCGCATATGAAGCCCAACCACGTCCTAGAGCCATTGCTTCTCTTGCGGGAGAAACGATCATCAAAGTTGCATGCGGAGCAAATCATACGGGTAAGAAAAAAAAGATTTCCCTTTCGCCTTCTCTATCTCTGCCTTTGGTCTTCGGCTTTCTATCAAGCTAACCCCTCTTTCTCATCGTTAATTATCTTCAAACCCAGTGGCTGTTGACAAAAACGGGTTTGTTTACACGTAAGTATCTTCTTCCCTTTATTTCTCGTAAATTTTATCATCTGTTCATCTAATATGTCCATTAAATATAATTTTCTGTTTCGAAAATTTATTTCAGATGGGGCTTTGGCGGCTATGGGAGGTTAGTACTAGCCTCTCCTCGATAAAGCGTTTGCATGAATTTTCGAATTCTTCATGAATTAGCATTGCATTCTCTCCCTCATGATTCTTCAATGGTAATCACAGGCTTGGGCATAGAGAGCAGAAAGACGAGTGGGCCCCTCGTCGTGTCGACGTCTTTCAGAGGAACAACGTTCTTCCTCCCGATGCAGTTGTCTCAGCCGGATCTGCAAACTCGTCTTGCACCGCTGGTGAGTTGACTCATCTGAAAACCTGGATGGTTCCTATGTTACTCTTCTGCTCCTCGTCTGAAAGGTCGATTCTTTGGTTTCGTTTTCTAGCTGGTGGACAGTTATACATGTGGGGCAAGATTAAGAATAACGGTGACGATTGGATGTATCCTAAACCTTTGATGGATTTAAGGTTTGTCTCGTTAAGTTCGGTAACAACAGTTTCACACGGGCTTAGTTTTGGTTGTATAACTTGTCGATCTTCTGTTCTGTATGCAGCGGTTGGAACTTACGATGCATGGATTCGGGAAACATGCACCATTTCGTTGGTGCTGATAGCTCATGCATCAGTTGGGGTCATGCTCTGTATGGAGAGCTCGGTTATGGCCCCAATGGTCAGAAGTACGTTTTTCGTTGCTTCTGAGTAGTCTAACCGGATTCTTCCACCTTTTTTGTACTTCTTTCCCGATGTGTAATCCTTACTTTCGACCCGTTTCTTCTTCCTCATTTCAGATCCTCAGCTGTACCGAAAAAGGTGGATATACTTGAGGGGATGCATGTGATCGGGTGAGAGTCTTTGTTTAGTAGGATGCGTACATTGAAGTCAGTGTAGATTATATTTCTGGATAGGGATCTGATGAATTCGGGTTATGTTTCTGCAGCGTGGCATGCGGGTTTGGTCACTCGATGGTCATCGTTGATAGAAAAAATGTCGGTGATCGGCTTGATCAGGTAAACATCTCCATGTATTAGTATCTTCTGCGAAATTCCTGCCCTGTTTCTTGATTTGATTTGTCGATATCTTCACTATCAAACAGTTTACCGGGAATTTTTCTCGTTTATGCAGCTCGATACCTATGACGGGAAAGGGTCGATAGAAGGTAAGATGAACCCGGGGAAGCTCGATCCTTACGACCGAAGAAGCGTAGATAGAAGGGTACTTAATTCTTTACAAGGATTGAGACTTGTGTTTAATCGAGGTGGTTTTCCGACAGGAAGCGGAGAACCCGAGGAGGAAGCCCCGGCAGCAAAGCATGCTACGAAAAGGGCTGCAGCCAAAACATCGGGTGGATCCACGAAGAGGAAGAAGAAATCGAAGGCCTCGTCGGAATCGGATGAAGACGAGGAGGAAGAGGAAGAAGATGAGGAAAGTGAAAATAGCGAAGATGAAGAGGCGAATGATCGAAAATCCCGGAAAAGAGAGAGCAGTCGCGGTGGTCGTGGAGGAGGCAGAGGACGGGGACGTGGCCGTGGTCGGACTGCCACATCATCGGCGAGTAACGGGAAGGCTGGGACGGTGAAGACAGGTAAGAGAGGACGACCCCGTAAGTCTTAGTACTCGGAATGTTTTATTATCCAATTTGGTCGGTTGTCACTTTTCCGTTCATAGAGGGCCAAAGAGGGGAAACCAAATCATTAAAAGGAAAAAAAAACTCTGTTGTCGAATTTTATTTTATTTTTTGTTAGTTAATGAACACTTTGCAAAAACACATTCCATCTTGGCCAAGTAATTTTCTTTGTTATATATTGTCTGAAAATACTGAGCGTTCAAGTTGTATCTTATTATAAACTTTAATACCCACATATATATTAAAATTACAAAATTAACCTTATATTTTTAATATAATTTCTAAAATACTTAGGTTATTTTTACTTTCTTTTAAGAATATATATTGGATTTTCAAGTTTTGATATATTCAACTTCAAATTATTGTGTATATTTTAAAATATTTCTAGGATTCTATCCATATTAATATATTTTAAAAAAATTAAACTTAAAAATATATTTTTTAGCATAAAAATATATATTTTTATTG